GGCTGAAAGTGGGTTTGACCAAAGCCAGGATCTGGGATCTTCACCTGCGTCTTCCATGTGAGTGGCAGGAATCCAGTTACTTGCTCTATCACTGCTGCCTCCAGGTGCTACATTGGTGGAAAGCTGGAGTAAGGAACCAGGTATCAAACCTGGGTCAGTAGGAAATGCAGGCATCTTAACTGTTAAGCTAAATGTTCCTCCCCTACTTTTTTTTTTATTGTACATTGAATTTCTCTGAGATTTTTGACTTCAATATTCTGAATTACTTACTTAGAATATATTGCTAGATGGAGGGTTTTTTGAAAGATGATTCATGTATCTGTATAAGATATATAATTTAAATAGTAGTACAATTCTGGATTTTTGATTTTTTTCAAACTGAAATTCCTTTTTTCATTTTTTGGGTCAGACTGTCCAAAATAAAGCTTTCTATTTAAGACTAAATACTACTGCTAAGTATGTCTTAGCATGTTTCATAAAGTTTTAATGTGCTCTCAAATTATGTTTCTCTGTTGATGGGTATTGTTAGAGCTTTAGAAACCTGTTGATTGCCTTGAAGTAAAACAGCTGGTAAATGACAAAGCTTGTAGTAGAAACCATGAGTTTTGGCTCCTAGCCAAGCTCTGTATCTTAGTTTGATTCATGTTGTAACTTTTTATTTTTACTTTAAATTTTCTTGTAAGTTGTAATAAACTACTTTCAGGATGTATATTAGAAAAATATCTGCTAGCACTACCTATTTTATTAAATAATTACTGCTCCTGATACACCACTGTATTTCTTGATTTAAAATTAAGTCATGTGGGGAGGGCACTTAGGTAAGTCTTTGGGATGCCTGCATTCCACATTGGATCTTGTTCCAACTCTACTCCTGACTGCTGCTCCTTTGCATGCCCTGTGAGGCAGCAGGTGATGATTATTCAAGTGGTTGAAGCCCAGTTACTCACGTGGGAGACTGAGATTAAGTTCCTGGCCTCTTGGCCTGTCCCCACCCTGATTGTTGCTAGCATTTGAGGAGTAATCTTGCAAATGGGAGTTATCTCTCCCTACCTCCTTTCCTGTCTCTTTCCTTTTTTTTTTTTTTTTTTTTCCTTAAGATTTTATTTGAAAGGCTATCCTCTGCTGCCTTCCCAGGCCATAGCAGAGAGCTGAATTGGAAGTGGAGCAGTCAGGTCTTGAATCTGTGCCCATATGGGATACTGGCACTGCAGGCTGCAGCTTTCGCCACAGCACTGGCTCCTGTCTCTTTGCTTTTAAAATATGTAAGATTTTAAAATTAAAGCATTTGGTTAATATACTGTAAGGTTGTGAGGAGGAAGCAACTGGAGATGCTTGGAATGATTTTGTGTTATCTCTTACTGTTTTTTCCTCCTGTGGGGGATGAACTTGTCATCTGCATATTCTGAGTAGTTTAAGAAATATTCTCTTCAGAAGTTAATCATAGCTGTTATTGAGATTTTTTTTAAATACTTTGGGAGACCTAATAGTAATCTTTAGTCCTAAAACTTCATGTCAAAATTAGTTGGAGAAGGGAATGAACCATCTGTAAATAAAGTTCTGGGGGCTGGAATTGTAGGGTAGCCAGCATCCCACATAGGTAACAGTTTGAGTCCCAGCTGTTCGACTTCTGATCCAGCTCTGTGCTCCCTGCTAATGGCCTGGGAAAAGCAGCTGAAGATAGCCCAAGTGCTTGAGTTCCTGCCACCCATTTGGGAGATGCAGATGAAGCTCCTGGCTTCTGTTTGGCTTGGTCCTGGCTGGTGAGGCCATCTTGGGAGTGAACCAGTAGCTGGAAGGTTGATTCTCCCCCTCTCATTTTCCTTTTCCCTCTCCCAACTCTGTTCAAGTAAATAAATCTTTAGAAAAAAAATAGTTCAGAAATTTTCAATTTAAATATACAGAAAAATCAGACTGGAGCATAAAAAAATGGAGATTGTTAGTCTCTTTTTAGAATTTTTTTTTTAAAGAAATAGCTTTACTGAGACTTAACACTCCAAGGATTTTTGATGCAGTAGATCAAAGTTGTATTCCAATAATTTGCATGTTAGTATTTGCCCTTGATCCTTTGACCACATTTTACTCCCTAAAGATAAATCTATACTCCAGTTTCTAGTCCCATTTTTGTCTATCTCTCTGTCTTTTAGAGATTTGAAAGGCAGAGTTAGAGTGGGGGAGAGAGAGATACCTTCCATCTGGTGGTTCACTCCCTAGATGACCACAACAGCCAGGGGTGAGCCAGGTTGAAGCCATTTGACAGCAGCTTCTTCTGGATTTCCCATGTGGGTGGCCCAAGCACTTGGGCCATGTTCTGCTGCTTTCCCAGGCACATCAGTGGAGCAGCTAGGGCTCAAACTGGCACCCACATGGGATGCCAGCAGCTTTACCTATTATGCCACGTGCTTTGAGCTTTGTGGATTTTATGTCCTTCGTGTGTTACCTATCTACTGCAATATTGCAGTGTGCTGTGGCTGTTATTTCAGTTTCTTAGAGTGGTGTTTCTTTAGTTTTAGTTATTGTTATGCTTTCCATGGGGAAGAATGCAGGAATGATTCCAGGGGTATCTGGAATCTTGGCAAGGCCAGAAACAGCCACTGAGAGCAGAGCATATTTCTTTGAACTCTTCTTTTTATGTTAAAAATATCTACTGCTTTTTGAGGAGATAGTTCTCATTTAAGAGTTTAACTTTCAAATGATTCTAGCTTTCACTCCTAAATTTAGAGTGAAGTTGAGCAGGAGACTTGAGAGACTGCACCATGTTTGTTCAACAGCCTACAATATCTATGGCAGCAGCCCTGTGTGTAGGACCTTCACATACTGTTTTCGCTAATCTGTTTGCTTTTCCAGTCCCATCGGCTGTGAAACTTTGACAGTAATTATTGCTGGCTGAGTCCAAATCAGATCCAAGTCTTGTCACTGTTCGTCTTGTTCTGTGTGATCTCAGTATTTTTACTAAAGTGAGATTATGGGGTTATACCTTTAAGTGACAAAAGGAGCTGAATAAATTCAGAATAGCTGGAGGAAATAAAGACTGCTCTTCATGGACTAAGAATTTTGAGAAATTTCAGGAATGTAGAAAACCATGCCCTAATTTTCAAAATTAAACATAAATTTAATTTGTTGTTAGCTGTTGGGAGAGTGTTTAAAATCATAAGGAATAGGCCGGCGCCACGGCTCACTTGGCTAATCCTCCACCTGTGGCACCGGCACCCCGGGTCCTAGTCCCACTTGGGGCACCGGATTTTGTCCTGGTTGCTCCTCTTCCTGTCCAGCTCTCTGCTGTGGCCCAGGAAGGCAGTGGAGGATGGCCCAAGTCCTTGGGCCCTGCACCTACATGGGATACCAGGGGGAAGCACCTGGCTCCTGGCTTCAGATCGGCGCAGCGCGCTGGCCATTTGGGGAGTGAACCAACAGAAAAGGAAGACCTTTCTCTGTCTCTCCATCTCACTGTCTCTCTGCCTGTCCAAAAAAAAAAAAAAAAGTCATAAGGAATAGTAATACTTTGATTTCTGCTGACTTATCTGTCTATAAAATGAGCCTCTTCAAAGGGGTTTGTGATTTTAAGTATCCAGTAATTTGTTTAAAATAAAATTTGAGTTAACTACTTCTGAATTTTTAAATGTGCCGTGATTAGTTATTTTTGCATTTTGGGATGCCTTATTTTTAAATTGCTTGTAGTTGATTCACAAAGATTAAAAATGTGTGTAATTTTGAGATAAAATATTAAGCTATTTTTAGTAATAATTTTATTATAATTATGAATTGTTGGAAACAAATTTTAAAGATTATGTAACCTGCTGTATTTCAAGATTCTAAGTAACCTGATGCATTTTTTAAAAGATTTATTTATTTATTTGAAAGGTGGAGTGACAGAGAGAGAGAGAGAGAAAGATCAGTTGATCTTCCGTCTGCTGGTTCACTCACCAAATGCTCACAACAGCAGGGGCTAGGCTGGGCCGAAGCCAGGAGCCTGGAACTCCATCTAGATCTCTCATGTGGGTGGCAGGGACCCAAGTATTTGAGCTACCACTTCTTGCTTCCCAGGGTGCAAATTAGCAGGAAGCTGGATTGAAAGTGAAGCAGGGATTTCTTTTTTTGAACAGTTTTTCTTTCTTTTTTTTTTTTCTTGATTTTATTTATTTATTTGACAGGTAGAGTTACAGACAGAGGGAGAGATAGAGAGAAAGGTCTTCCATCTGTTGGTTCACTCTCCAGTAGCCACAACGGCTGGAGCTACACCAATCCGAAGCCAGGAGCCAGGTGCTTCTTCCTGGTCTCCCACGCAGGTGCAGGGGCCCAAGCACTTGGGCCATTCTCCACTGCCTTCCTGGGCCACAGCAGAGAGCTGGACAGGAAGAGGAGCAACCAGGACTAGAACCGGCACCTATATGGAATGCCGGCGCCACAGGCAGAGGATTAATCTAGCGTGCCATGGCGCTGGCCGCTGAAGCTGGGATTTAAACTCAGGCACTGAACACAGGACGCAAGCATTTGGCATAACTGTTATGCTGCAATACTTGTGTCCCCTCCCCTTTCCACAATTTTTAAGTGTATTGTTAACTGTAGATACGTTCTTGTAGACTTTTGTAAAACTTTATTTTGCATGATTAACTCTATGCTAGTTGAGTAACAATTCCCTCTTCCCTTCCCCTCCCAAGCCTTTGGCAGGTACTATTTTATTTTACTTTGTTTCTAATAGTTTGAATACTTTAGATATCTCATATAAATAGAACCATGCCATATTTGTTTGGGATTGTTTTATTTTGTTCAAGATCAATCCATGTTGTAGCATTTGACAGGATTTTCTTTTTTTTCCTTTTTTTTTTTTAAAAAAAAGGCTGAATAATCCATAGTATTGCATATCATATATCACATTTTCTTTACCCATTCATCCCTCCATAGTTAGTAGGTTGATTCCATATAGAGCTGTTGTGGAAAACATTACAGTGAGCATAGATATGTCATCATATGTTTTTAAAAGGCTATGTCCATTTCTCTTGCAGATATATTCGACTTTATGGGAGAAAATTTAGCAAAGAAGATCATGTTCTTTTTATTAAGTTATTGTATGAGCTGGTATCAATTCCAAAACTGGAAATCAGCATGATGCAGGGATTTGCCCGTCTCTTGATCAATTTGTTGAAGTAAGTCTGTTTCCTATGATTTCTCTTAAAGTTTTTTGTTTCTCAAGGTTTTAGATGAGAGCTAAGTATTTGGCAAGAAGACCAAGTACCAAGTGGCTAATTTGGAAGTAGATTGCATCATCACATATTTAATTGTGTGTATTCTTACCACATGTAATTAAAACTCTATATGTCACCATTTAATTAAAATGTCATCTTTTCCATGAAGTTTTCTCTTTAGCACAAACGGAATTATATGTTTGTTTTCTTTATGCTAATTATTTCCCTCATGTAGGTTATAGTTCTTTGAGAAGACAAGGATCTTGATGTTTTGTTTGTATCCATCACATTGCTAGAAATATCAAGTACTCTATAGTATGAGAAACTAAGAAATTTGTTGTATTGGTGGCACAAATTTAATTCCTCCTTTTACCTGGTGCTCTTTGACATTTGAGCAGCAACAGGAATCTGGAGCATTGTTCTTCCTAATAACATGTTGTACCAGTGGGTGGATGTGGATGGGGAAAAACAAAACCTGTTGTGATGAGCAGCAGTATTTTGCTGTCCTCCCTGTATATTATGTATGATGTACACATATCTATGCACATACACATTCATATATATTCCCTTTTCTTAAAAATAGGAAAAAGGAACTTCTTTCAAGAGATGACTTGGAGTTACCATGGAGACCACTTTATGACATGGTGGAAAGAATATTATATTCCAAGACAGAGCACCTGGGATTAAATTGGTTTCCTAAGTAAGCGTTTTCATGTAAAGTACTTCTTTGAGAGTACATGATAGTTTTAGGGAATTGATGATGACTGAAAAATAATAGGTTGTTTGAAATAAGCAAACAAATATATATTTTAATGTATTCCTTTCTCTGTGACTTGACTACTAAGACAGTTTGTTACCCTCTTTTAAAGTATATTTGAAGATGTACTTTGCAAGGTTTCCTACCAGGTTATCTCTAACAGAGATACCGGCCAAAGAAAGGACAGGATTTTTGTGTGAAATCTACTTTTTGACATTATCAGTAGTGCACATTTGGTGTTCTGCATTATATATCCACATGTGTTTTCACTCTTAAAGTAAAATGAATATTTCAAAAAAAGGAGCTTGCATATTCCAGGGGCACCCACATCACAGAGGTTTTATACTCTACGTTACAGAAGCATCAGTTTCTCTGATTAACATTTTTAGAACATAAACTGTTAAAATGCACAGCCCTTGGTTTATGTTATTTTCTGGTAAGTTTAGACTATAAATTTCTTACTGATTATTTCTTAGACATATATCCTGCCCCTTCAAGATCTCTAAGTTTTATATATTTAGTATTTTTGCATTTTATTTTACTTTTTATTTTGAGAGAGAGCTCTTATCTGCTGGTTTACTGCCTAAAGGCCTGGGGTAGCTGGGACCACACTGGGGCTTGAGCCAGGAGCCCCATTTCCTCTTGGGATGACAGGAATCCAATTACTTTGAGCCATCACCATTGCCTCCCAGAATATGCATTGGTGGGAAGTTGGAATCAGGAATCAGAGCTGTGAATCTAACCTAGGCAGTCTGATGTGGGATGCAGCCACCTTAGCTGCTTAGGCTAAAGGCCTGCTCCATGTTTAATACTTTATTCTGAATACACAGCATATAACATAATTTTTTGCCTTTTTTTCATTAATAGTGTTTTCATACTTGACTGTTAAATATTGTTTCTCTCTGTTAACAGGGATTCCAACCAGTTGCTCTCTAGCTCTTAATTTTATTAATCTTAATAAATTTGTCTTAAAATGTCTTAAATGTGTAAAATTTATTTTTGGGCAATTTTTTCTTTGATTTTATGGTTTTGCTCTCTAGAACTGTTTGTCATATACTTATATACCCATTTCCTGAATAGCACCTTATTTTATATGCCTGTGTTAATTTCCTTTTTTTCTTTTATAAATTAAGCCTTTAAAAATTTTTTTTCTGGTGCTTTGTTTCTCAATCTTACACATATTTATACTGCTTCATTATTTCTTGTAGCCTTTCCAGTTCACTTCATGATTAAATGTCAGACTTCACTTAAATCAGCAGTCTGTCCCTTACCATGGGATATTTTGAAAATGATTGCAGATGGCAGACTTTAAAATATTTTCTGGTCATAGATAAGTTGTGAAAAGTGAAATTATATGAATATAAAAGGCAAAAAAATGACTGTAGGTGATCCTAAACTGAGGTGCTAGTTGGGTTTTGGACAATGGTCAGAAGTAGAGTGATCAAAGGGCCAGAGTTATAACGTAACGGGTAAGCCGCCGCCTGTAACATTAGCATCCTGTAAGGGCGCTGGTTCGAGTTCTGGCTGCTCTGCTTCCTATCCAGCTCTCTGCTAATGGCCTGGGAAAAGCAGCAGAAGATGGCCCAACTACTTCATCCCCTGCCAACCACGTGGGAGACCTGGAAGAAGCTCCTGGCTCCTAGCTTTGGCCTTGCCCAACCCTGGCTGTTGCTGCCATCTGGGGCGTGAACAGCGAATAGAAGATCTGTCTCTCCCTCTATTTCTCTGTAACTTTGAGTTTCAAATAAGTAAATCAATATTTTTTTAAGAAAAAACAAGAAGTAGTATCAGAAGTAATTTATTTTCTGCAGGTTTCATATGTTGAAACACAGAAACTCATTTCAGCCCTAAAAATAGCGAAAATGTGTTATGAAAGTGAATGGTAACATATGCAAACATGCTTTTCCAAATATTTGTTAGAAAAAACCCAGAGTTGATATATTAGCTTTGTTACAAAGATTCCTTTTGAATGGTAATTGTGCTGCAGGGAGTGTGACATGGATTGAATTGACTGAACCTTCTTTAAAGTATGATTTGAAACTAACAAGCAATGCTGAAGTAAAGACATGATATCAACATAAGATTTTCACAGCATAAATTGATTTTTTTTAAGATTTATTTTATTTATTTGAAAGACAGAGTTACAGAGAGAGGTAGAGACAAACAAAGAGTTTTTTTTTGTTTGTTTGTTTGTTTTTTTTTAGCATAAATTTCCAAAGTACAGCTTAAGGACCACAATAGCCCCCCCCCCCCCCCCCCCCGTATCTTCCCTCCCACCCACAACGCTCCCCTCTCCCACTCCCTCTCCCCTTCCCCTTCACATCATGATTAATTTTCAATTATCTTTATATACAGAAAATCAATTTAGCGTATGTTAAGTAATGATTTCCACATTTTGCTCCCACACAGAAACACAAAGTGTAAAATACTATTTGAGTACTAGTTATAGCATTAATTAAACACCTATGAGTAATTGTGTATTAATTAGAGTTCAACCAATAGTTTTAAGTAGAATATAAAATGTATCTTTTGTATTGTTGTGGCTTCCCCCACCCCGACCTCCCTCCTTACCGTGGCCCTCCCCTCTCCCACTCCCTCTCCCATCCCGCCCTTCATCACGTTTCATTTTCAATTACCAGAAAGAGGTCTTCCAACCACTGGTTCACTCCCAAATTGGCTGCAACGGCCAGAGCTGTGCTGATCTGAAGCCAGGAGCTTCTTCTGGGTCTCCCACAGGGGTGCCGTGGCCCAAGGACCCGGGCCATCTTCCACTGCTTTCCCAGAGAGCTGGATCGGAAGAGGAGCAGCTGGGACTAGAACTGGCGCCCATATGGGAGGCCAGAGCTTTAACCCGCTGCGCCACAGCGCCGGCCCCGATAAATTGCTTTTTGATGCTGTACCAGAAAGGGACAGCAATAACATGAAGCATTTTAGTAATGAAGTTCTATGACATCATATTTTGTGTCTGTGCTGCTGATGCTAATTTAATGACACCTGGTTCTAAAACTATTAAGACAATCTTCAGTTGTAGTTACATGATTGTATGGAGTAACTACTTATGCAGAGAGCTATGGTACTGGCAAATCAAGTATTTCAGTTGCCATTGCCCTGATTATGTGATTTTTCAGAAACAGTGAATAACTCCAGGTAAAGTTTTCAAAGAAAGCACAGTACAGTTTTCCCTTGATTGACATGTTAGTAGCATTCCTAGATGACTCAGTGTCTATTAAAACTACTTTATATTTGAAGCAGTTATTTTTAGGTTCAGAATTTTCTTTAAAAATGTCCAATGGGACATTTGAAAGTCTTACCGTTTGTTGTTGCTGTTGTGTGGGCCTATTACATGAATTGCAGGATATCTAAAGGTCATTTGAGCCCTCCTCAATCATGATACTTAAAAATACCCCTTAAACAAGTATTTCCAAGAAGTTTCCTTATGTGTGATTTGAAGCTCTTGAATTTGCCACCTCTTATATCTCTGTAGTCAAAGGTTTTCTACATCATTAATCAGTCCCTAATTTTAGTATATGTGCTGCCGAAGCGAGCACAATCAGTCCCTAACTTTTTTTTTATTGTTCTGGCTCTTTGTTTTTCATTCTGTAACTTCCAGATCTTCTCATTTCCAATGACTATTCTTTTCCCTGTACTACTTCTCAAACTTGCCATTTAATTAACCTTTCCTTTCCCCAGAGCTCTGAGCTATGATCTGAAGAGTTCCTGATTAGAGAAATTTCTGGGAAAATTCATATTTTACCTTAAATATTTGTATCTGTATTATGCTTATTAGGTAGTTCTTTGAGTAGAAATATCTTCCTTATAGATATCTGACTAAAATTGATGCTCTCAGAAGATTAACCAGTGACCATAGTAGTCTGTTGGCTTGGAGTATTTCACACATAGGCCATGTGCCTTCACTATATAGAGTACACTTGTTGAAGGGCAGCTCTGTTGAGGCAGTCTCTTTCAAATGATAATAAATAGTTCCAACTTGAAGGGATCAGAATGGATACTGTGAATCTGGAAATAATTTTAAGGGGGCTTTTGGTCGGTAAGAGGCAGAACTCTAGGACAGATTGAGAAACATGGTGTCTCTGAAAAAAAGAATGAAGAAAGTACTTAAAACTTCTTTCAGGACTATAATTATTTATTAATTTTCTTTAGTTTTCTGTTAGCCTCTTATCAAATTTTACATCCCTTTTTGGAAAAAATATCTGCTACCTTACTTCCATTTAGATTACTTCATAAATAATTATAAAATTTTGCATTTGAAAGTTTGACTTTTTTTTTTTATTCTTTATTTGTTGTGCTTGCTTTGAATTTAAACAGTCTTGGTTCTTCTGTGGAATTATTAGAGGAACTGCTTGGGGAACCATATATTAATACTTTTTCTTCCTTGTTCCTCAGAGTGATTCTCTGTTCACTGAATTTCTAAAAGAAAATAACTACAAAAATTTATACTATTCTACCTAAAATTCTATTTAGATCACTAATACAGCATTAAGCTTTCATAGTTAAGGGATAAAATTATGACTTTTTATGAGCATTTTATTTAAAAAATCTCATTAGTTTTTAAAGAGCCATTTAATATGACGTTTTAAAAACTCATGTTTTTGAGTATTTTCTTCTTAGGTGTATTCTAACGCGTTTTAGAACAGTAGGGACAGCCGGCGCTGCGGCTCACTAGGCTAATCCTCCGCCTTGCGGCGGCGGCACACCAGATTCTAGTCCCGGTCGGGGCGCTGGATTCTGTCCCGGTTGCCCCTCTTCCAGGCCAGCTCTCTGCTGTGGCCAGGGAATGCAGTGGAGGATGGCCCAAGTGCTTGGGCCCTGCACCCCATGGGAGACCAGGATAAGTACCTTGCTCCTGCCATCGGATCAGCGCGATGCACCGGCCGCAGCGCGCCGGTATGGAATATTATTTAGAACAGTATTTTTGGAATACTGTTTTTATAATCAAGTGAAAAGGCTACTTCATTTAAGTCTTTCAAGTCTTACACTCATGTGCCTTTAGTATGCTATGCATTTCAACATGATTTTGGAAGCTTGTTCTGTTGTTTGGTGTAAGGATTATCAAGTTTCTTCCTTTTACCCTACTCCCTTTCCTTTTTCTTCCCCTTGTCTTAACCCTCCTTTTCTTTTTTTCCTCCTCTTCTTTCCTTATTCCTTGGTTCTTTTCTCTCTGGGTCAAAAGACCCTGGTCATTCTTCCTGTATGTTTCTAGTTTCTACTGGAGAAAGAATTGTTTATAGAGCTTTTTGTTCAGTAGAAAAAACAAAAATTAAAAGGAGATAAATGATTGGAACTTGACACTAGCAATCTAGGAATTGATATTGTTTACTTCGTAAAAGAAGCACATCAGTCTTTTGGGCATGGTTTTATTTCATAAAAGCAATGTCCCATACACTATTTTAGGTAGCATACTGCAAGTTACAAGTATACTAATGTATACACATTAGTAATTAGTAATGTAGAGTATTACTACTAACAGTGTTGGGGGGAATGATGCTTTCAAAGACGGGCAAAGACAATTTAGTTTGAATCCCTTTGTATAAATTTATCATGTTAGCACTGCCAATTTAATTTTTGTTATTTTACATTAAGGGTCTACATATTTTCATCATGAATACAGTTTGGATTTACTGTTTTTAAAAGTCATTTTAAAATTTTATATTTCTTTTACATGTATTTCTGAGGGTATACAGTATTATACTCTTTATTTTTCCTGTTAATCTGCCTTTAGAGAAATTTGATATTTCCTTTTTCTGGGACTTATTCTTGATGGCATTTGTTTCTATCCTGGTCCTTCCAAGAGCCATTTGAACTGGTGCTCTTAAATGTAAGATACAAATTAAATCCTTTGTCCTCCCCTTCCCTGCTTACCCCTTGGAAATGACATCCGAATCTCTGGTTTCTTGACATGCAGGGCCACGTTGCTGAGCTTAAGTTACAGCAGCTCATGGATGATAGGTACAAAGTTTAATGAAATACCGAAATGATTAAAGTCATTTTTCCGAGTACATTTGGAAGTTTTAAAACTTAAAATAGTTTTTATGGTTGTTTTGTTTATAAACAATGATTAATGTATTTATAGTGATTTTTAATGTTTAAAAAGGATTGTATTTACTTCTAAAATATTGTGCTTTTATTTGGAAATTAGAAAATATGTGGTTGGTTTTTTTATTCATGATTTTGATGGTGTTTCATGTAAAAATTGTGTCTATGCTAGGATCTTAAAAAAAACTTTAACTTTTTTTTAAAAATAGTTCAAAGATCATGCTTGTCATTTAAAGTAGTTACACATGCTGTTTACATGAATGATAAGGATAATTATAATTTCTTTATTTGCCATAGAGATAATTTAATTAATTTAAATGATGAAAAAAAGCAATGTTAATGGTGTATCAGTGTTGATATTGTTGCACCTTATTTGCACTTTTCTTTAATGAAATTATCTTGACCCTGATTTTGAGTCAAGTGGCTATGGAAAATGACTACTTGCTAATTAAATTGGATAATACTGGATTTGAAAGATTAGATATGAGGTGGATAATGTTTGACTAAATTACGGTGGATTTGTTTAGATTTAGAGAAAGCAAGTAAAGCTGACTGTTAGGTAAGGTGTTTGCCACAAACTTTAAAGAAAATAATGTATAAGCAGTTGCCATTAAATTATAAGGGATTAAAGCAGTTACATACAGAACATCCCACTGTTACAGCCTCCCAGTCAGTTTATGATAAAGCAAATATGAGTATTCTGAAATTTTGTTTTGGGCCAAGGAAATCCAGTATCTTAGTAACTGGAGACTAAGGCCATTGGCTTTCACTAGGCTTCTCTGCTATGTATTGGCATTTACTTATTAACCACAAAAGGAATGTTATCATAAGGTTCAGAGAGGAAAATTCACACAGTCCTTGATTAAAACTGGAACAAGAAGTTAAGAACTGGGACAAAAACTCATTTTCTGCCCTTCAAAGGAGAGTGGTTGGAGCAGAATTTCCTGAATCATAAATTAATAGCTTCTCATAGGCATTACCATGTAAAAAGAAAGTGAGCACAAATTTTCAGTTTTTAAGGAAATTATGTACAGTTTATTTTGGTTAAGCATGAAATAATTGTTAAATTTTATTGTGCTTAGTTCTGGACCATGTAACTGCTATATTTACATTATCATTTAATTTTTCTAATGACTCTGAAAGGTGAATGTTATTATTACCCCTTATGATGAAAAAAACAGCTCTAACTGTACTGCTAGAAAGAGCAAAACTGGCATTCAAATTCGTATCTGTCTGATTCTAAGCCAAACTTAACCATTGCATGCTCTGCCATGGCTTTCTTTTTCAACTTACCATTACTTTTTTGAACGGGAAATAGAGTATGAGAAAACTCATCCAAAGACTAGTCACTCTGTAGATCCCTTTTGATTTAAAAAAAAAAAAGTATCTTAAATTGTTATCAGGTTTTTTTTTATTATGAATCTCCAAAAATTGGAAAGTGTATAGTGATTATTCATTCCCTCTAAAAATTAGAGAAATATGATCTGGTAGCATCTAGCCTTAACCTTTTATTTTATTTTTAAACAGAAACATTGTTCCCTTCATCTTGAGAGATTACAAGAATCACAAAAGGTCACTATACAGATATCACAGGTTAGAGAGATTGTACCCTTTTCTGGATAAAGAACATAAATCCAATGGTACAGGCCTTATATATAAGAAGGGGTTGAATTGACTTCATTTAGATGAACTAAAACACATTCCCACATAACTCTAGTTCTCTAATGAGTGAAGTGATACTATCAAGTGTTAAAATTAACTTTCTGTTCTTCTAAAGAGTGAAGGGAATTGGAGAAAACATGTAGCTCCACGGCCTTTTGTGACTTGCTTTCTAGAATCATTTATTGATTCAGGGAAGTCAGTTAGTGGCAAGAATAAGTTTTCTGTGTAGCTTTTTCTCAAAAAAGTTGCCAGAGAATCAGCAAACCAAATGTAAAGTTAATGTGAACACAAACATTAGAAAGTAGTAGAATTATTGGTCTCCTGCTTATTGGAAAGACAGTTTGCCATTTTAGAGTTACATTTTTAAAATCTGCATTTAAATTGATCTGTATCTGTCATTTCTTTTGGAAATAGATGGCTCTTAAACCTTGCCTGCATAGTTTGTTATTAAATGGGGTTCTTCAGTCAAAAAGACTAAAAGAAGACCCAAGATCCTGGGCTCTGTTGCCCTGATGGAAATTGTTTACTGAGTATAACAAGAGACAAATGAATTACAGAATCTAAAAGAACAGATAGCCTTGTTATAAGCACTTTGGAAATACCCAGAAGTAAAAACTGTAGCCATGGTTTTTAGGGAACTTTAAATGTAGGTGGAGAGAGATTTGCCTCCTTTTCTGAGCAAACATAGATGTTCTGTAAACCATATTTCTGACTTGCTTAACTTTCTGTGAGAGACAGTGGAACATCTCTCTGATCAGAGAAAATGCTACATGATGGTCATGTTTTTATTCAGAATTCATCTCATGAATTGTTGGTTTCCTCTTCAGTTAACTTTTCTCTGAATAGTTTTGAAATTAAAGAGGATTCCCATTACTCGAAAAATGAGATTATATTTAGCTCTCTTGGTTATAGAACATATTGATTACTTGTATTGAGTTTGCTTTGTGTTTTTGGAATTCCTTTGCAGTTTAGTTCTTTAAGCTTTCAGAGAAGTTGAATAGATTTCTGGACTTTAGAATTTCAAGAAGCTTACAGAAAGGGTCAGGTTGGAACACTGCTTGAAAATTAACTGCTCCCCTCCCCCCCTTTTTGTGAAATTTAGGGTGTTTTTTTTTCCCTCATATATCATACTGTAAGTAGTCCCATTTATTTAAAAATCGGCCATGTATTTAAATCAGTACACATTGGCCTATTTACTAGAACAGAAATGTTGAATGAATTCGTACACGTTTTTGGTCTTGTATATTCACCAAGGTACTTGTATGCTGGAAAATAATCTGTAGTTTTTAATGTTACTTAACTAACTTTGTAAGTAACTGGTCGAAGAAGTGTCTCTTGCCCTTTGAAATATTACTGTGGGCAGTGCCTTGGAGTATTATAGAACTCTTGTCAATTAATTATGGAAACTAATTTATGACAGTTACTGATAGAAGCATACCAGAATTTGGTATGTCTCCAGTTTGTGTTTTGATGTGGAAGCACTATAATAAAAATTACTACTTGACATTTTAAGCCACTGAGCATGCTTCATCTTTGGATTGTTGCCTACTTTGAAGAGATTGAAAGTAATTTGTCCTTTTCCTTATGTCATATTTTTTCATACCAGAGAATGAGCAAAATTAAGGGAAAGGAAAGAGTAGATTAAAGGGTTTAGGTAGTTAACCGTTGGTAGTTGGGTCTGTAAGAAAGAGGAAGATGGTTATACATAAACAGTTAATGTATGAGTGTGTGAGAGTATCTTAGAGATATTCATTAGTTGTATTTGATGTTCTTTAAATACATTGATCTAATTTATCAAATGGCTTTCCCCCCCCAGTTCTGTAGAAAATGTTCTCAAAACACTCGTGAAAAGCTGTCGACCGTAAGTAGCTTCTCAATTTATACAATTTTAATTTTCTGGGGGCTTTTCCTTATCTTTAGTGTGCTTTGAAGAGGAAGTTAAAGGTATAAACACTTCCTGACATTGTGACATTAGACACTGAGCACAGCACAATTTCCAGCTCTTGAACTGATTTTTTTTGGACTTACACATCTAAAAACATTTAATTCACCCTTTATTAAAGTAAGAATATTTTAATTTACATATGATCAAAAGGTTTTCCTTGAGTATTATTAATCAGGTACAAAGTATTTTTCAAAATGAGCATTATGGGTATGGCATTAAAACATGAACAGTGACAAGAAGGTAGTTCATAGTTTTTTTCTCTTTCAGTTGGATTTTTTACTTTATTAAATAAATCTCATTCTTTTAAAGATTACTGTAGATAGAATATAACTTGAATTAAAGTCCAATTTTATATACTTGAACTGTTTTATTGTCTTCAGGCTGTTGTATGACTGTTTTCCTACTTTTAGATGCAATAAGTTCTTTTGAAAATGGAAAGCCCTTTCTTTATATGCTTATGAGTCGCATTTGCTTAAAAAAATAAGCTATTTAATAATCGGATACTTCTTAACTGACCTTTGGTGCTATGTACAGATGTCTTGAGGATATAAGATTTTTCTGTTCTTAAGAGGCTTAACATCTAACTTGAGTCGTAAGCCAACAGATGAATTTCTAGAAATGTAATTTTGTTTTTCATGTGAAAGAGTGAAGAGTGATTTTAGTTAACAAAAATGTTTGAAGATACAGTTAGTTAATAATGCATATAGTCCAAACCTTTAAGTGATTTGGTGGGACTTCTCAACTTCCTTGGAAAATAATTAGAATTTCTCATATGCTCTTCCTTAATTTAAACCTTTTAAGGTGCGCTTAGTAATTATACACCTATGTTCTTTTTGTTTACTTTTGCTTTGTGTGTAAGTGCATACTTAGGTGTTTTTTTTAAGATTTATTATTTGAAAGAGTTACACAGAGAGAGAAAGAGAGGCAGAGAGGGAGAAAGAGGTCTTCCATCCTTGGTTCACTCCCCCGTTGGCCACAGTGGCTGGAGCTGCGCCTATCCTAAGCCAGGAGCCAGGAACTGCTTCTGGGTCTCCCATGTGTGTGCAGGGGCCCAAGGAATTGGGCCATCTTCTACTGCTTTCCCAGGCCATAGCAAAGAGCTAGATTGGAAGTGGAGCAACTGGGACTTAAACCTGCGCCCATATGGGATGCCGGCACCGTAGGTGGCGGCTTTACCCACTAAGCCACAGCGTTGCCCCCCTTGTTTTAATTTATTTGAAAGACAGAGTTAGAGGGGGAGAGACAGTGAAAGAGATCTTCCATCTGCTGGTTCGTTCTCTAGTGGCCACAATGACTAGGGCTGGGCAAGGCAGAAGCCAGGATCCAGGAGCTTCCTGTGGGTATCCATGTGGGTGCAGAGGCCCATCTTTCACTGCTTTTCTAAGTGTAGGGAGCTGGATTGGAAGATGGGCAGCCGGATTCAAACTGGCACCTGTAAGGAATGGCAGCTTTACTCACTACGTCACGTCAGCCCCCACACTTTGAAATTTTTTTTATTATTTATTTGAGAGATAAAGTTACAGACAGAGAGAGTTAGAGACAGAGAGGGAGGTCTTCCATCCACTGGTTCACTCTCTTAAATGGCTGCAATGTCCGAAACTGGGCCATTCCGAAGCTAGGAGCTTCTTCATGTCTCATGTGGGTGCAGGGGCCCACGCACTTCACCCATCTTCTACTGTTTTCCCTGGCCATAGCAGAGAGCTCTATCGGAAGAGGAGCAGCTGGGGCTTGAACCGGCGCCTGTATGGTATGTCGACACCACGGGCAGAGGAATATTCTACTGTGTCACAGCTCCAGCCTCCACACTTAGAATTTTAATTTTGTAAATCCCTAACTCAGGCACACTTCTGTCCATAAGACCAGATCCTCAATACTTTGTTATGTGAGAGGACTTTGGTCCTGTAGCAGTCAATGATTTTTCCAAAGGAGCCAGAGATTTCTGAGCTGGTATTCTCTTTGTCCTTTACTGATGATCTGTTTCTTCCCTGGGCTCAATTCTGTATGACAAGATTTTTTTTATAATTGCAGTTCCATAACACAAATGAAGTAAAAATAGCAACCATACTTATTTAAGTTTGTAACGGATTTAAAGAATATTGTATTTTTATCAACATTACAACATTTTTTGAAAAGTCCCTTGGGGACAGGGGGACAGGTGTTGTGGTACAGCAAGTTAAGCTGCTGCTTGGAAAGCCTGCATGCCAAATCAATGTGCTCATTTGAGTTACAGCTGCTCTACTTCTGGTCTAGCTCTCTGCTAACGTGCCTAGGAGACAGCAGATGATGGCTCAAGTACTTGAGTCCCTGCCATCCACATGGGAGAGACACGGATAGAGTTTTTGGCTCCTGGCTTCTGCCTAGCCCAACCCTAACTATCAGGCCATTTGGGGAGTGCCCCAGTGGATCGAAGATTATCAGTCTCTCTCCCCCGGGGTCCCCCCCCATTTCTGAGACTTTGCCTTTCAAATAAGGAAATATGTATTTTTAAAATTTCCTTACATTAGAGGATAATTTGCATTATCCTAAATGCGATGAAGTATTTATTATACGGCTGTAAAATGGGTGTTTCTTATGGGCTGACTTGACATTTGTGTGTGTGTAACATATCTTATGAAAGCCGTTCCTCTTCTGTTTTGTCAGTCGTATATTGCTATTGCAGAACCTTTAGTCAATAATCAGATACATGAAAACCTTTCTTTTCATTAGATATTTTCCAGCGGATGCCACAGCTGAGATGCTAGAAGAATGGCGGCCTTTAATGTGCCCCTTTGATGTAACAATGCAAAAGGCCATCACTTATTTTGAAATATTTCTTCCTACCTCCCTTCCTCCAGAACTTCATCATAAAGGTTTTAAGTAAGTAACATCAGAAAATACAGATATACAAACTAGTAAAGCAATGATAATTTTTTTAATTTGTAAATCAGCCATTATATTTATTTTTAAAACATGTGAAAGCTAAAACAGTAAAGTAAGATTTTAAATATAAGACTATAATTACTGTATGACAAGCCAAAAAAGATGAGGGCTTTAAGGAATAGAAAAGAAAGGGACACTTGTGAGAATAGGTAGTAATAGGAAACATTATTTTTAAAGAGAAAGGAGGGAGAAACTTGTCAACAGTTGATAGAGCTGGACAACAGTTAACGCAGTAGAAGTTTAATATACGAGATTTAGCATAAGCAAATTGGAAAGGGAATATTCAGACAAGAAATAGTCCTTTGTTCCATTAAGTTTGTAACTTTGAGTATTATTTTTTCTAGGTTGTGTAGTTATCAGTAAGAATAATAGATTAAAAAATTACAAAGGATACCTGGCTTTGAACCACTTTCTATAATCAATTGCTATTCATAACAACATTTTTCTTCTTCAGACTTTGGTTTGATGAATTAATTGGCCTTTGGGTTTCAGTGCAAAATCTCCCACAGTGGGAGGGGGTGAGTATTCAGTTTTTTTCTCCTATACTTTTTTAGGTTGATGATAAATATTAGCACTTTTCAAAAGTTCATGGAAGACGTGTGTGATGAAAAAACTATATATGGATTTCAAAACAATTTTGTACCAAACAAAAGCTCACACACATAGAAAGAAACTTACCTTCTGATTCCCTTTTTCCATGAACATTTTGAAGCGGTTTCATAGGAGTGACTATTCTTTTTTATTTGGTGTATTAGAGAAGTAGACATTTATTTTTTCATTTATTGTGAAATGTATGAAGTATAATACCCTGTTGTTTGTTTCCTTTGGTACTTGCACTAGAATAGTGCTAGACACGCTGAATGTTTTCTGAATATTTGATCTTAAAATTTTCTTTTATCTTTGCATTGTGGTGGTATTTTATTAGTTTCATTTAAAAAAAATTTCAACTGTTGAAATTAAATGGATAATTTTAATTGGGTGACATGAATCAGCTTAAGTTGGGAAGTTTTTAAAAATGAAATCATAAACTATTAAGTTGTGCTAATGATTGCTGAAAATAAATGCATAAGAAGCTTGACTGTGACACTTAAAAACAACAAAAATATTAACTGTCTTTTTGTTTGCTTTCAGCAACTAGTAAATCTCTTTGCTCGGTTGGCCACAGATAATATAGGGTACATAGATTGGGATCCATATGTACCAAAGGTAATTAGAGAAGTGTTTTTTTGCTTCCTAACTCCAGATGCCACTTTAAATGCTTTTTGACTAATTAGTACAAATGTATATCAGGAATTTATAAGGATGTGTCATTTATTTTCAGAAGTTAATTGGAACTTATATGATTTTTATCTAATCTATGCAGGACACAAACTGTAGGTTTTGGAGAAATTTGGAAAGAATTACGTGTATCTTTAACGGTGTCATACACTCATGCCTTCCAGTACATTTTGTGTGTTGGATTGGATTACTGCTTTAGAGTGTTGCCTACTTTTTAGATCACAGTATATATATTCCTATAATAAATAAAGCTAGAGTGTTTCTAGATGCAGTGTTTTGTGACACTGTATCTTCAGTATCATTTCACCAGTGGTAGAATCACATGTGGAGCTTTAGTAAGCCTGGGGTGGGACAACCAAGTGGTTTTGATGTGCATATTGACATTTGAATGGAACCTGGGATCTGCAAAAGGCAAATGCTCTGTTTGCCTTTGCTTGTGTTATCTTACTCTATTGTTGGTCATCTGTTAGAAACTGAGAAAAGTAGTTTTCCTCTACCTTTTGGTAGTTATAACAATATTGAAAATATAAGTTGACTTGTTTTAAAATGCATCTATTAAGTGACTAAAATAAAAATTCTTAGGGGGAAAATCAAGACAACATTAAAATTTTGAGAGGTTAAGTGATCTGCTGGAAGATACTTGTATGTAGGCTTGGACTGTTGTGCATCTTTGGCATAGAAGAGTAGCATAGGAAAAATAATTGAGGTGCATTTAGAGAGGTAGAAAGGAATCAGATTTCAAAATATCTACATTTTACCTTTCATGTTTATAATTATCTCGATTGTTTTTTGGGACATATACCCAGGTGCTTCATTTTCATGTACCTGTGAGTTCAGAGTGTCATACAGTATAGCCGTTGATATTTATATATAATTTTTTTAAAGAATAAATCACATTACTAAACCATATGTAATTCTTTAAAACTCATGATAAAGTGAGAATATATTCAGTAACACTATTAACATCTACTAAGTTATTAAGGAATTATTTTTATACTTATGACTATTTATTCTTATTTTTTTTTCTTTTTAAAGATATTTACAAGAATTCTGAGAAGCTTGAACCTTCCAGTGGGAAGCAGCCAGGTGTTAGTTCCAAGATTTTTAACAAATGCTTACGATATAGGACATGCTGTGATATGGATTACTGCTATGATGGTTTGTAATACCTTATATTTGTCTTACGTAGTTCACCCCTATTTTGTATTACCATACAGAAATTCTGTTTAATCACAGAAGTCTATAGTAATGATTTGGTTGTTCCCTTGATTTTTGGCTTCTGATATTGTTAAGTTCATTTTTCTCAGATCCAAACTGTAATCATAGTGTACCATTTATAAACCTCCCTAACCAATGAAACTTAAAAATGGACCCAAAAGTTGAGTTTTGAAGGTTTCAGAATGTCTTAATATTTTTATAGACAAGGAGCCAGACTCAGATAAATGGAATTTCCAAGGTAGAATTAGAAATTGGGGTTCTGCATATGATCAGAAGCCCCATTACTTATTCACTGTTAATGTTCACATAAAACATTACACCAAACACAAAGCTTCTTAGCAAAGTAATCTCAGTGAAGGGAGAATAATGCAGTGTCAGTTTACTTTATCATTTAGGGAAAGCAAAACAAATCCACAGCTTTAGATTTCAGTGTCATCCTTCAACTAAGAATATAGTAGTAGTAGACTTTCATACAAAGCTACCACAAACCAGTGGCTTAAAACAACAAATATATTGTTCCACAGAATCGAGGTGTCAGCAGGGCCATGCTGTAGGGGAATCCTTCCTTGCTTCTTGAAGCTTCTGGTGGTTGGTTAATGATCTCTGGTGTTTCTTAACTTGCAACTGAAGAACGTGAATTTCTGCCTTCACTGTCACAGGCACTCTCCCGTGTGTATGTCTCTGCCTTCACACAGATGCCTTCTTAGTAGGACACCAGTCATGTTGTTTTAGAGCCTACACTACTCCAGGAGGCCCTCATCTTAAATTAGCTGTACATCTGAGACATCCTATTTCCAAGTGAAGTCAGATTATGAAGTATTGGGTGGGTTAAGACTTCACTAGCTCTTCCTTTTGAGAGAAAAACATAATTTAGCTCCCAGCAATGACAACAACATTATTATAGCACATTCTGGACATCTACTCAAGAGGCAACTCACATGTAATGAGTAAGTCACTGAAAACAAGAATTGCTTTGTGTATCCTTTGCTTCATTTAATTCCCATTGTTCATGAACCTGATTCACTGTAAAAAATATTAACTGCTTTGAAATATGTACAAGTATAGCATCAAATGAGCACAGCTTCTTATATTTTCACTGAGTTTAGGACAAGAAAGATGAGGATTGGGCTGTGGTATGAAAACATTAAAGCATTACTTGTTTATGTCCAAGTAGTAGAAAAACTGTTATGATTTTTTGGCTTGTTGCTCACATGCTATTTCTACAGCTGTCCCCTTGAAATTTTATTCTTTGCTTGACATTACTTGTTTCTGTGGATAAGATAGAATGATTGTTAGTTTACCTCTTAAATTTCATAAAGTGAAAGAAATTAAAGCTCCTCTTGGTTTTTGTTGTCTTATTGTTAAAAAGGGAAATCTTATTTTTCCTCAATATTCAGTAATATTCAATAAAAGCAAAAAACATGTGGATGTTTGCTCTGTTACATAAGCAGTGAATTGAAACTTGTGTTTTGGAGACCACAAGATTAGATGTTTAGTTTCAGCCTTGATTGAGTGAATTTTGCTGTGCTTTCTCACACAGTTCTCATTGTGAACTTTATTTAATGTTAAATTTGAAAAATTTTTTAAAAAATATCAGTGTTGCCAATTACAGTGTCAAAAATTTGAAAGTTGTATGAGTTAATTTGTTGTGGAATTAGGAGCTCTTTGAGTGGTTGCCCAGTTCTAGGGACTAGATTGGGAAACATGAACATGCATTTCATTTCAACAGGAAGGCATATTTCTCTTGTAGGCTGACATTTTATTTTACATCTGTGCTGTTTCTTGACAGATGATCATGAGACAGGAGGTTTTAGAGACCAAGTCGTGTTGTATCCTGGGACTAATCAACTTGATAGGATGAAAACTTGCTTTTTCTCCCAGATTGTGCTGTTTGTTTTGTTTGTTTTTGTTTGGTTATTTTAATAGAATATGTTTTGTCAGTAGATCAAGAAAAAATCTGTCAAGTCATAATGTGGCCACATTAGTTTGATAGTGTTAAACATTTAGAGGTTATTATAAAATACTAGAGTACATTTGTGTGAGTGTGAGTATTCTGTTTCATGTAATGAGAAATTCACTTATTGAGCCATTTAAGAACTACTTTTAATTTGTTGTTACCATTGTTGCTTAATGATAAATTTTACTAAGTAACTTGACCATAAAATATGCTAAGTGGAAAGATACCTTTTAAAATTTTCTAATTTGGTTTAAGTAAGTTGCTCTTATTTTTAGTAAAATGTTTTAAATTGACTTGCATGTGGTTCATCTGGGAATTGTTGTAGAGTCTTTTTCAGAGAATAAGAGGACGAATGTGTACTGTTTTACAGAGATTTATGTACAAGCTTGACCCTGTTGCTCCTTTCAGTTTTACAATATAATATGGCTACTGACATTTTTACTCTTTTTCTGGACAGGGTGGACCAAGTAAGCTAGTGCAAAAACACTTAGCTGGTTTGTTTAACAGCATCACATCTTTTTACCATCCTTCAAATAATGGGCGTTGGCTGGTGAGTATGTTTATATTTGTACTGTAGTACTTGAAGATTTTCAAGATACAGCCATACGTATAAATTGTCTATTCTATGACTTGTAAAAGCATTTTGTTTGCTTCATGTGAAAATATAAACTTTGGCTGGAAGGGGTACTTCAAAAAGTTTGTGGAAAATGGAATTAAAAGATGGGCATATTTTGGTGTAAAAATCCAATACATAAATTTTTTTCCTTCCAAAAGTTCATAGATAATGCATATTATGAGAACTATGATTTTTCTGCAGTAAAATAAACTTATCTTTTGATTCTTTCCACATTTTAAACTATGTTCTGTATTAAGTGATTCAGTTCACATTCATTTACTGTTTCATAGAATGTATGGAGATAAATTATGACAATATTGATGTGGTAATTAGTGACAGAATGTAACATTTTGGCAACAAAATAGCAAAAATGCCACAAAATCATAGAATCATCTTTTCAATATTAACTTACCAGCAATGTTTTGTGGTTTTGCTTTATTTAAGTAGCCTGGTTAAAATGGCTTTTCATAAAATGGAAAATTTAAGAGGTGCTAGAAGAAGTTCTTTTAGAACTGGAACTTCCAACTCAATAGTTAACTTTCAGTAATTCCTTGGTAAAAGTATGTTTATTCTATCTAAGTGTATCATGTAGATTTAATAAGAGGTGTTCGTTTAAAATCCTTTCTCTTAGAGAAAGGAAACTAGCTAGAGCCTTTTGCTTCTGTGTTCCCAGAACAAGTTAATGAAACTACTTCAGCGGTTGCCAAACAGTGTTGTTAGAAGATTGCATCGTGAAAGATACAAGAAGCCCTCTTGGTTGACTCCTGTGCCTGATAGCCATAAGCTCACTGATCAAGATGTTACAGACTTTGTACAATGCATTATTCAGCCTGTCCTCTTGGCTATGTTTAGCAAAACTGGTAGTCTAGAAGCAGCCCAGGCTTTGCAGAATCTTGCACTCATGAGACCTGAGTTAGTAATACCCCCTGTACTTGAAAGGTAAGTGTAGTTTTGCATGTTTTTATTGAAGCCCCTTCATAGTTAGATTATTCTTGATATCTGTTCCTTTTCCTGGCCTCTTCTACTTGGTTGCTTGTCTTTTCGTTATGGCTTCTGTTTTTGTTTCACCATGCTTATTTCTGTTCATAGAGGAGAAATTCATTGATCAGCTTTGAGAACATAGCATTGACTCAGTGATACAGAAGAAAAGTTCATTACCTATTATTTTCCTGAATTATGTAATTTTAAGTATATTTTTTACAGTGTGAATTTCATTGCATTTGTTTAGTTTTGTATATTGAGACAAATAAAAATAGACCTCTACTTGCCAATCATTATCACAGTATAGTCTTATGCTTCTTGAGAGAGAGCTTTCAATTTAAAAAAAAAAATTGAGAGGCAGGCACACACACACACACATATCATATCTGCTAGTATACTTCTCAAAAGTACACATTGGCTTCTGGCTGGGACAGAAGCTAAGAGCCAGGAACTCAATTCAGATCTCCTCTGTGGATGTCAGGAATCCAGTTTTTTTGAGCCATCACCACTGCCTCCCAGGGTCTGCATTAGCAGGAAGCTGGAATCAGCAGAAACCAGCAACCTAGCCCACACAATCTGCTGTAGGACATGGGCATCTTAATTCCTGCCGTTCAGTTTTTGAGCATTCAAGAGCAAACTACTTAAGCTTTCTGTTAGACCTCTGTTACCCAAACTTGAGCCTATGACTTCTCTCAAAATGCCTTTGTCAAAAGTAGAGGAAGGATGTTGATTTATAGAGCTCATAAGGATCTAACAATTGAGTTCCATAACAGTTTGTCCAGGGTTGCTAGTAGAAGAATTCAAATAACATATTTTCTAATCACTGTTGAAACAGGGTAAGTATTGATCCCATTTACTTGAGATAGGTTACCTTGTTAAAGATCTTGACCCAAGTGGGTCTCCATTATCTATAAATTTCACTTGTTCTGTCTCACTGTGTCTGTCTTGACATAAATATTTAAGTTAGATTGTACCTCACTTTCTCAACCTCTGTTTTTTATGTGTGCATATTATGGCACTGAAACTCTTCCAGCGTGTACAGTTTACTTAAAAAATGGATCATGGGAGGTAGGCAGTTTCTTCTGTTTTCAGCCCTCGGTAATCTTTGCTGCTTGGCTTCCTTCGGATGGCAGAAGCTAGCAGTCAGTGGTAGCTTCCTTGATCCTCCCTGGGAGGGAGGACCTTCTCCTGTCTTCATAGCTGTTTTGCCTGTTTCTGTGTTTTTCTGCTGATCATGAATAATGAGGTACATTTTTAGTCGAAAAAACTTCAACTAACATTAACTTAGGTTTGAATGTTTTTCATCCTAGTTATAAATCCTCCTTTTTCCCCCATCTGAAATATAATGCACTTTCCTTTATTGCTTACCTTTGCTGTATAAGAATAATTTGAAATGACTGTATTCTAGACTTAAGATTCTCAGAAGTAAAATTACTAAGAGTGGATTGGCTCTTAAATAATGAACAGTCAAATCTTCCCCCTGGTTTATTTACTCTGGGGTTAGGAATATTCTGATAACTGATTTGCAATTTTAAAAGACAAATCGTTTTGAAAATTATGCAATAGGAGGAATTTCAGCTTTTTTCCTGAGATTGTTTTTCCTATGAAATGGAAGATTATTTGTAGTTTATTATTCCTGATAATTTAGCATTCACTGGCCATCGGATTAGTATGATGCAAATAGTATAATACAAGTAACGCAGTCTACAAGTTTATGCCCTTTGTCACTGTGGATTTTGCATGGAGAAAGGTAGCAAGATAGCAAGGGGTTGGAGAGGCATGCAATAGTCTTGATATACCTTTTCATCATGTAAATTCTTGTGCTGACCGTAAATCTTTAAATGAAATTGCAACTTATGAATTTATTATATTTAATGTTTTAAAATTTTGTTTTCAACCTGTAGAACATACCCTGCACTAGAGACATTAACAGAACCTCACCAGCTCACAGCTACTTTAAGTTGTGTAATTGGAGTAGCCCGCAGCTTGGTATCAGGGGGCAGGTGGTTTCCTGAAGGTCCAACACACATGCTACCTCTGTTGATGAGAGCATTGCCTGGGGTGGATCCAAATGACTTTAGTAAATGCATGGTAAGTGTATTGATGGTTTAATTTGTTGTTTTGAAGTTTTAATTCTGTTAATGGACATGTTTTTAATTTCTCTTAAAAATACTCTAGAATACAGTTCAATATAAAATCTGCTAAATGGTAACACAGATTGTTTCTAGATATTAATTTTAGTTCTGTGGGCAACTGCTCTGTATAATGCCTTCCTTTAAAAGTAAATTGATATATATAACCTGTATGTATTTAGTGATCATATGATGCCTTAAAGCTCATTACTATTTTTCTTAAATGCATATGATAAAAATCATAGTATATGATCATTTGCACTTCCTTTTATCTACTGCAAGAGGATGTGATGAACAGTTACTAGATGTATGTAATATATCAGATCCTGTTTGTACATGTCTTCTTGGACTTACCACTTTGTTCATCTTCCCTCTTATCTAGTCTGTAGCTTCTGCATTAGCAGTTAGTTCCTTCCTTCCGTCCTTCCTTCCTTGCTTTCCTCCTTTCCTTTCTTCTTTCTCCTTTCTCTCTCTCTCTTTCTCTCTCTCTCCTGTTTCTGTCTTTGTCTTTCTTAGTTACTTATTTGAAAGGCAGAGTTATAGACAGGCAGTGATAAAGTTCTTCCATCCGCTGGTTTAGTCCCCAAATGCCCAAAATGACCAGAGCTGGGCCAATCTGATATGAAGCCAGGAGCCTGGAGCTTATTCTGGGTCTCCCACATGGGTGCAGCGTCCCAAGGACTTGGGCCACCCTCTGCTGCTTTCCCAGGAGCATTAGCAGTGAGCTGGATCGTATGTGGAGCAGTGGAGACTCAACCGGCGCCCATAGGGGATGCCGACACTACAAGTGGCAGCTTTACCTGCTATGCCACAGTGCCGACCCCTAGCAGTTTCTGTTTAATCTTATTTCCTGTGAAATTTTTAGGTGGTAGACAGAGTAACTTATAATTGACAAAAAGTTAGAAAACTTTGTGTTGAAATTTTAACAGATAAGGGGGCCAACACCGTGGAGCAGTAGGTTAATCCTCCACCTGTGGAGCGGGCATCCCATATGGGCGCCGGTTCTAGTCCTGGCTGCTCCTCTTCCAATCCAGCTCTCTGCTATGGCGTGGGAAAGCAGTAGAAGATGGCCAAAATCCTTGGGCCACTGCACCTGTATGAGAGACCAGGAAGAAGCTCCTGCCTCCAGATCGGTGCAGCCCTGTCCATTGCAGCTATTTGGGAAATGAATCAATGGAAGGAAGACCTTTCTCTGTCTCTACCTCTCACTGTCTGTAACTCTACCTCTCAAATAAGTAAATAAAATCTTTAATAAAAAAAAGAAATCTAACAGATAAGTGTATGAAAACAAATTCACTATAATTTCATTTTTTAAATTTATTTATTTGAAAAAGCAGAGTTACAGAGAGGCAGAGAGAGGTCCTCCATCTGCTGGTTCACTCCCCAAATGGTAGCAACATCTGGAGCTGGGCTGATCCAAACCCAGGAGCCAGGAACTTCTTCCGGGTCTCCCATGTGGATGCAGGGAGCCAAGCACTTGGGCCATCCTCTACTGCTTTCCCAGGCCATAGCAGAGAACTTGATCCGAAGTGGAGCAGCCGGGACTCAAACCAGTGCCCATATGGGATGCCAGCACTGCAGGTGGTGGTTTTACCCACTATAACACAGTGCCAGCCCCACTATAATTTCATTATTAAAGCAAAATCTAGTTAATCATGAGGAATATATAAATGTTTAATTCCAGAGGAAATATATAAAGATTTTGGAATTTCCCTCAAAATAATTTATTTGGATACTTTATTGTAGTTTATGGTATACATGTATTGAATGAGAATTAAGTAACATGGAAAATCCTTTGCATCTTCCTGTAGATCACATTCCAGTTTATAGCAACATTTTCTACTCTGGTGCCTTTAGTGGATTGTTCATCTGTACTACAAGAAAGAAATGACCTCACAGAAGTAAGGATATTTTCTGGTTATCAAATGGTTAACCAAGTTGTTTTTTTCCCCAAATTCTAATCATTACTTTATTTATTTATTTATTTATTTATTTATTTATTTATTTTGACAGGCAGAGTGGACAGTGAGAGAGAGACAGAGAGAAAGGTCTTCCTTTTGCCGTTGGTTCACCCTCCAATGGCCGCCGTGCTGCGGCCAGCACACCGCGCTGATCCGAAGCCAGGAGCCAGGTGCTTCTCCTGGTCTCCCATGGGGTGCAGGGCCCAAGGACTTGGGCCATCCTCCACTGCCCTCCCGGGCCACAGCAGAGAGCTGGCCTGGAAGAGGGGCAACCGGGACAGAATCCGGCGCCCCGACTGGGACTAGAACCCAGTGTGCCGGCACCGCAAGGCAGAGGATTAGCCTATTGAGCGACGGCGCCGGCCCTAATCATTACTTTATATGCACAGTAATATGTCATAGTTTAAAAACAACTTTGAATAGATTCTATAAAATAAAGTTACTGTTTTGTGATTAGAATGATACAAATGGAAAGCCAGGCCTTCGTTGGTAAGATTGTGTATAAAACACTCACCACAGCCAGATCAAAAGTAGGCCAATACTATAAACAGCTGACACCTGGAGGAGTATTTCAATTTCGTTTCACTTCTCAGTGAAAAGTGTGTTGTTAAGCAGAAGTGGTATCCATCATGATATAGTGCGAATACATCTGTCTGGGGATTGATAGAATGAATAGAGATTTTCTTTTTCTTTTCTTGACAGGCAGAGTTAGACAGTGAGAGAGAGACAGAGAGAAAGGTCTTCCTTCCATTGGTTCACCCCCCAAATTGCTGCTACGGCCGGCGCGCTGTGCCGATCCGAAGCCAGGAGGCAGGTGGTTCCTCCTGGTCTCTTATGCGGGTGCAGGGCCCAAGGATTTGGGCCATCCTCCACTGCCTTCCCAGGCCACAGCAGAGAGCTGGCCTGGAAGAGGAGCAACCGGGACAGAATCCGGCGCCCCAACTGGGACTAGAACCCTGGGTGCCGGCGCCACAGGCTGAGGATTAGCCAAGTGAGCCGCGGCGCCTGCCATGAAGAGATTTTCTTCATTTCTTTCTAGTTCTGTTAAAACTATTGTGGCATATCCATCAAAATAACTTACTTAGATACTTCATTTTATTTATTGTTCTCTATTGCAAAAATGTTTTTTCCTGATTTTCATTATTTGGGTGTTTAAGTAATGACATTTTTGTTTTATAAAAGATTTGTTAGTTATTTGAAAGAGCTACACAGAGAGATAAGGAGAGGCAGAGAGTTCTTCGATCCACTGGTTCATTCCACATTGGCCACCATGGCCGGAGCTGCACCGATCCAAAGCCAGTAGCCAGGAGCTTTTTCCAGGTCTCCCACATGGTGCAGGGGCCCAAGGAGTTGGGCCATCTTCTACTGTTTCCCCAGGTCATAACAGAGAGCTGGATTCAGAATTGGAGCAACTAGGACCGAACTGTAGTCCATATGGTGTGTCAGCACTGCAGGCAGTGGCTTTACCTGCTACAACACAGTGCCGGCCCCAGTAATGAGATTTTGATCTTTACATATATACCAGCATTTTGAAAACTTAATTGACAATAAAGATAGTTCTCTGTTGGTAGCTTTTTGACGTATTGTTTATTTTGATCCTAAGAACATAGTAGATCAGATCAAGTTCTAAATAATTTTGCAGTGATAATGCTCTTTGTCACAGTACCCAATAGAATTTACTGTTAGATTCATTTGTCAGATGATAACTTATTATTAGTTGAGTAAAATATAAAGCTTTTCATAATTTTTGTCTATTTGTCTATTTGTTTGTTACAGGTAGAACGAGAACTTTGTTCAGCCACAGCTGAATTTGAGGATTTCGTCTTACAGTTTATGGACAGGTGAGCTTGTAGCCCAGATCTGTCCTGTCTTTTATTCAAGAAAATGAATGTCCTGTCCTATTACCTCTGGTTTTCTCCCTGTGTTGTCGTGACCTCAATTAGCCGTTTTTAGTTGCTAAAATTGTACTTTGTTTGGATTATTTAGATGCTTTGGACTTATAGAAAGTAGCACATTGGAGCAAACAAGAGAAGAAACAGAAACTGAAAAAATGACTCACTTGGAGAGTTTGGTCGAATTAGGTCTGTCTTCTACATTTAGTACAATCCTCACACAATGTTCCAAAGAAATATTTATGGTAAGAGAGTGTTGCTACAAAAAATTAACTTCCAGTCTTTTGGTTTTATTTAATGTCTTAAAATTGAATTTTAGGTTAGTTCAAGTGTGTATATCATATCATGTCTGTTTATCCTTTCTAGCCATACTAAAGATTAAAAAGGATATGCACTTGAGCCTCATTATTCATAAATTCTTTATTTTCATATGCACTTACTTGCACAAATTTATTAGTAGCCCCAAAAGTCAATGCTTTTATTAGAACAACAGTGGAGTGGCCAAAAGCTTGAGTTACCTGATGCACATATTCCCAGCTGAGGTGGAACAAGGTAGCAGGCACTCTGCTTTCTTGTTCCACTGTTCCTAAACAAGTGTCCTTTTTGTGATCTGTTCACTGCCTCCTTTTTCAAACTTGTGTTCTTTTCATTGATGATTTCACTATTTAAAACATATTAAAAGTAGATCCCCAAAAGGTTAATGTTTAAGTGAGGGCTAATGTTTCTAAGCTTAAAAGAATTGGGCTGTGTCAAGATTTATCAAATAGGAGTTACAGTGCTGTTGACTCTGTGTTCAATGTTAATGAATCAAAAATATGTTAAAAGTTGTCTATACGGGCTGGCATGTGGCAGGTAAAGCCTCTGCCTCTAATTCAAGTGTTCCATATGGATACTGGTTCCATTCCTGAATATTCCACTTCCATTCTAGCTCCCTGCTGATGTGCCTGGAAAAGCGGTGGAAAGATAGCCAAATCCATGGGCCCCTGCTGTCCATCTGGGAAACAGGGAAGAAACTACTGGCTGTTTTGGCCATCTGGGAAGTGGGCCAGCTTATGAAGGGTCTCGCTCTCTCCTATGCTGTCTCTGTAGCTCTGCCTTTCAAATAAATGAAATCTTTAAAAAAAAATAAAAAGTTGTCAGGGCCTGTGCTGTGCTGTGTGGTATATGGGTTAAGCCACTGCCTGCAGCAGTGGCATCCATGTGGGAACTGGTCAAATCCCTGCTGCTCCACTTTTGCTCTGGCTCCCTGCAAATGCACCTAGGAGTAGAGGACCACCCAAGTGCTTGGGCTCCTGCACCCACGTGGGAGACCTGGAAGAAGCTCCTGGCCCCTGGCTTCAGCCTGGCCCAGCCCCCCCGCTGTTGTGGCCACTTGGGGAGTGAACAAGCAGATAGAAGATCTCTCGCTGTCTCTCTCCCCTCCTTGCCCTCTCTGTAACTCTGCCTTTCAAATAAATAAAAACTAAATTTTTTAAAAAGTTGTCAGTAAACAAACACACTTAAAACAAGGTTATGTACCCATCAATTGTTAACCATATTGTGACCAGAGGTTCACAGGAACCTAATCCTGTATTTCCCTTAACAACAGTGGTTCAGTATTTGCTAACTGCATGTTCACGGCAACTGTAGAACCTAACTGCTGCAAGTAACAAGAAATTATTGTGAAATTTTACAATTAAAATAATTATCTGGGAGAGATGTTTGGGAGTTTTAAAGACAGTGAAAGAAAGAGATCGATCTTCCAACTGCTAGTTCATTAGCCAAATGGCTACAATGGATAGTGTTAGGCCAAGCTGAATCCAGCAGCCTGCCACTTTGCTGGATCTCACACGTGGGAGACAGGGGCCCGGCTACTTGGACCATCATCTGCTTTTTTTCCAGAAAAGAGCTAGATCAGAAACAGAGTAGCTGGGCTTGAACCAGCACTCCAATATGGGATGTTTGCACAATGGATGCCCCCGTTTATGTTTTCACATGATAGAAATTAAATCCTAGGGGCTGATGCTGTGGCGTATGGGTAAGGCATCACCTGGGGCCCAACATGCCATTTGGGTGCTGGTTTAAGTCCTGGCTGTTCCACTTCAGATCAGCTCTGTGCTAATGTACCTGGGAAAGCAGCAGAAGATTGCCCAGATGCTTGGGTCCCTGCACCCACAGGGAGGTCTAGAGGAAGCTCCTGCTTCCTGGCTTTGGACCAGCTCAGCTTTGGCTGTTTCAGTCATCTTGGGAGTGAACCAGTGGATAAAAGACCTCTCTCTTTCCCTCCATCTCTTTGAAACTCTGCCTTTCAAGTAAATAAATAAATCTTTAAAAAAAAAAAAATCCTAAATATATCAGTATCAGTCTGGCTAATTGTGAAGGGTTAGAAATAGTTGTTCTCAGGGCCGGCACCGTGGCTCACTTGGTTAATCCTCCACCTGCGGCGCCAGCATCCCATATGGGTGCAGGGGTTCTAGTCCTGGTTGCTCTTCTTCCAGTCCAGCTCTTTGCTCTGGCCATGGAGGGCAGTGGGGGATGGCTCAAGTGCTTGGGCCCCTGCACGTGCATGAGAGACCAAGAAGAAGCACCTGGCTCCTGCCTTGGGATCAGGTGCAGCGCAGGCCGTGGCGGCTATTTGGGGAGTGAACCAACGGAAGGAAGACCTTTATCTATCTCTGTCTGTCTCTCTTTCTCTCTCTCATTGTCTATAACTCTACCTGTCAAATAAATTTAAAAAAAAAGTTGTTTTCATAAAGGCATTTGATGAACATTAATTTATCTGATACTGGTTGGTACTTTTTAGGTACAGTATGATTTCTTTTTGACAGGCAGAATTAGTGAGAGACAGAGAGAAAGGTCTTCCTTTTTTCCATTGGTTCACCCCCCAAAATGGCCGCCATAGCCGGCACACTGTGGCCGGTGTGCTGTGCCCATCCGAAGCCAGGAGCCAGGTGCTTCTCCTGGTCTCCCATGCGGGTGCAGGGCCTGAGCACTTGGGCCATCCTCCACTGCCTTCCTGGGCCACAGCAGAGAGCTGGACAGGAAGAGGAGCAACCAGGACAAAACCCGGCGCCCCAACTGGGACTAGAACCCTGGGTACTGGCGCCGCAGGCGGAGGATTAGCCTAGTGAGCCATGGCGCCAGCCATGTACAGTATGATCTATGATTTTTAACACCACATTTTATTTATGTTTCTTATCCCTTCATGTGATATTATCACTGTTAAATATATTAATACTGGTTAAAAGTTAGACTGGCAGTCCGGCACTTGGTGTAGTAGTTAAGACACTTGCATCCCATATTGGAGTACCTGGATTCAATACCTGACTCCAGCTTCCAGTGCAGAATATGGGAGGCAGTGATGATATCTGTAGTAATTGAGTTTTTGCCATCCGTGTGAGAAGACTTGGATTGAGTTCCTAGCTTTGGAGTCAGCCCAGCACTGGCCACCTGAGGCATTTGGGGAGTGAGCCGCTGAGGATGGTCGCCCCCTCTGTCTCCCTTTTTGTTTGTCAAATAAATAAGTTTAAATAAAGCTAAATTGCCTTATAGCTATGTGAACTATTTGTCTATGTTTAAAAAATGAACATTAATCATCTCTTGTTTAACTGAAAGTTGTTTATTGAAAACTATGATTGTTAACCCAGGTTAAGACCTCATTCTTTCATTCACCAAGTGAGTTAAAAATCTGCATGATCATGAAATTAAATAGACTGCTTAAAGTCTTTTAGGGTTGGAATAATTGTTTTTAGTTACTAGATTGACAATTATAAGTCTTAAATACTCTTTAAAAATCACTTTATTAAATTGGATTAACCAACAAGATAATTAAAAAGCAATTTGTGTCCACCAGCTACAATTTTTTGAGTAGGTTTCTGTACTAAGTAAATCCTGTACATCAGATGTTTAAAGTTAGATCAGCTGTGAAGATTGTAGACCCAAATGCAAATTTAACAAGCAAATCCTAATAAAAGCATATGGTTAAAAATTACTTGGTTATTTTGGGTATGTGCTGAATGTTCATCATTTTCTTTTCTGGTCAATAACTTGTTTAGTTGTCTAAAAAATGCTGATTGAACTTTCTCCTTATGTTTCTTAACAGGTAGCCCTTCAGAAGGTTTTTAATTTTTCTATTTCACATATATTTGAAACAAGAGTAGCAGGCCGCATGGTTGCAGACATGTGCCGTGCTGCTGTAAAGGTGAGTTGTGTTTTTTTAAAAATCAGTTAATGACTCAGTAACTAACATGTCTATACAGCAAATTATTTCAGACATTATACTTGTTATTTTTTTCATTCTTTGTTATTTCTATACATCAGATGTTATATTCTTGTTATACTTTAACTACACAATTTTTATTCACTACCGAAAATAGTACTAGTATATGTTTTGTGAGTGTTCAATATTTGCCTTTTCAAAAGAACCTAATTTATACAAACATGTTTTCAGTGCTGCCCAGAAGAAGCTCTGAAGCTTTTTGTACCACACTGCTGCAGTGTTATAACTCAGCTAACAACAAGTAAGTCAAAAGGTCTTTACAATTTTAGGTAAAATTTTTTTCTTGGTTTTTAGAAGTTTGTTAATGACAATAGACTCATTAAACTGTGCAGTGTTTTACTTAAACAGTTTTGCAGGGGATTGGAATTACCCCTAAAAGAGATAGCATCCAGGGTAACTGGTAGCTTAGAAATTTTAATTGATTATATTGATACTTTCATACAAAAATCCTCTATAGAGAGTACCTTCAAAAATAACATTTATTTCATGCAATGTAGGGGAGCAGAAATCCTTGCTCATAGGCTTATTTTCTTGAAAATTGAATTTCCCCCTCCTGTTGAAGCCAGTTCTCCTTCATAAAGAAGAAATGAAAAGTCTCTCTTAAAGAGACTTTTCTCAGCATTAGAAATATTAAATAGAAATACTAAATATGGATATTTTTAGTTGAATGTGTAGCTTTTCTCCCTGATAATATTTTGCCATTTTTAGATGATGATGTATTGAATGAAGAAGAGTTAGATAAGGAGTTACTATGGAATCTTCAACTTTTGTCTGAGGTATTGTAAATCTTTGGATTAAGAAAATACTAATATGAGAATGTTACTTGGTCTTAAGATTTACCCCATGGGGCTGATATTATGGTACTGTGGGTTAAAGCTGTGGCTTGTGACACTGGTATCCCGTAACAGAGTACTGGTTTGAGTCTCAACTGCTGGTTTCTGATCCATCTCTCTGCTAATGTGTCTGGGAAAGAAGCAGAGGATGGCCCAAATACTTGACTCCTGCCAATCACAGGGAAGACCCAGATGGAGTTCCAGGCTCCCGCCTTCAGACTGCACAGCCCTGGCAGATTTGGGGAGTGAACCAGAGGATGAAAGACCTCTTTCTCTTTTTCTCTCCCTCCCTCTCTGTCACTCTGCTTTTCAAATAAATAAATAAATCTTAAAAAAATATGTTGGTGGGAAGACAGAATTAGAAGTTTATAAAAAGAAAAAAAAGTATTTAACCCTTTCTGACAAAGGGCTAAAACATAAAAATTTTGAAAATTGGTTTATGCCTGCAGAATGTGAGAATTTCTCATACTCTTGTGTTCAGAGAAATCAAAGGAGCATGGTAATTGTTGATTACTACATGTCCAACTATCTTCTTGATTTTTTTACAGATTAATTTTAATGTGAGTAACATTAATTGAAAGCTTATAATTGGGAATTTTTTCCATCTACATTTTAAATTTGGCCATCAGTCAAACTTTATTTTCTTTTATGAAATTAGTCCATAATTTGGGGCTAGTGTTGTGGCATAGTGGGTGAATTTGCAGCCTGCAATGCCAGGTTCTAGTCTCAGGTGCTCTGTGTATAGTCCAGGTCCATGCTAATGTGCCTGGGAAAGTAGCAGAGCGTGTCTCAACTGCTTGGCCCCCTGCACCCACATGGGAGACCCTAAGGAGGCTCCTGGCTCCTGGCTCCGCTCTGGCCCAGCCCTGGCCATTGCAGCCATTGGGGAGAGAATCAATGGATAGAAGGTCTCTGTCTCTGTCTTGCCCTCTCTCTCTGTAACTCTGCCTTTCAACTAAATAGAAATCTTTAAAAACAAAAAAGAAAAGAAATTAGTCAAGAATTTAATTTTGTCTGTTTAAGGAGATAACATTCCTTTGAAAACTTTGTTACTGTGGTACATGAAAACATAACTCAGAAAATGTGTTTTCACTTTAAAAACAGTTATTAGAACATAATTAATAATTGTAAAATAAGTTGAAGTTATTTTTAAAAATACTATTTTAGTATATACCTCAGTAGCCATACATGGAACTTTGTATTGATTATTGATTCTTGATCTTTTAATTATAACATCCCCACCTAATTTTTTTCTTTTTAGATTACTCGAGTAGATGGGAAGAAGTTGCTTCTTTATAGGGAGCAGCTTGTAAAGATTCTCCAAAGAACCCTACATTTAACCTGTAAGCAGGGTTACACTCTGTCTTGTAACCTTTTGCATCATCTTCTTCGTTCTACTACACTTATCTACCCTACAGAATACTGCAGTGTGCCAGGAGGCTTTGACAAGCCTCCCTCTGAATACTTTCCTATCAAGGCAAGCATTTTCAATAATTCAGTATTCATGGATATATTGGGTTCCTTTTCTAAGAGATTCAAATATTTTTTCTTGTTTTGTTTAAAGAAGCCAGTTTGGTTTTTTAAGGTATACTATTAAAACTATTATTAAGCTGGTGCCACGGCTCACTAGGCTAATCCTCTGCCTTGTGGCACCGGCACATCGGGTTCTAGTCCTGGTCGGGGCGCCGGATTCTGTCCCGGTTGTCCCTCTTCCAGGCCAGCTCTCTGCTGTGGCCAGGGAGTGCAGTTGAGGATGGCCCAAGTGCTTGGGCCCTGCACCCCATGGGAGACCAGAATAAGTACCTGGCTCCTGCCATTGGATCAGCGCGGTGCACCGGCCGCAGTGCGTTGGCAGCGGCGGCCATTGGAGGGTGAACCAACGGCAAAGGAAGACCTTTCTCTCTGTCTTCTCTCTCACTGTCCACTCTGCCTGTCAAAAAAACAAAAAAACAAAAAAAAAACAACTATTATTAGAATGTATTATATTTATACTGTATGACTTTGTGTGGAGCTAAAACTCAGGTTTTCTTTTCTATTTGCATGTAAAACAAATTGTATGCCATATCTAACCTCTTTAGTTCCATATAATTTTATTGCTAAGTTAAATAGCCTCATGTAAACTTACTGTCATGTTGCACTGTTAAAGTGTACTCATTGACTGGCTTTTCAGGGAAACTTTCCAGGAGTGACAATGAAGGAGTAGTAGTTTTTTATGTCACTTTTTTACATGTTATTTGCTAAATTAGGTTTGTGTTATTTACACATTCCTGTGGAACCTTTTACATTGTATATGTGTGTTCTTTTCCACGTCTCAACTTGTAAAACAGTTGCTCTTCTTCTCTAGGACTGGGGTAAACCTGGGGACTTGTGGAATCTTGGAATTCAGTGGCATGTTCCTTCAGAAGAAGAAGTGTCTTTCGCCTTCTATGTGTTGGACTCTTTTCTTCAGCCTGAGCTCACGAAACTCCAACATTGTGGGGATGGAGAACTTGAAATGTCTAGGTTAGTTTTCTTTTATAATCAGTGTCATTTGGTTGCTGGCTAAACAGTTTTTTGTGCCTTTAATCTCTAGCATATATATTTTTTTCAATGTGTGATTTGAAAATCTGCCATAATACGCTTAGAAAATCCTTTGTCAAATTTTGTTGACAGTATTACAACATTTAGATATTTTAAGTAGAAAAACTGGGATTTTTCGTGCCATTTCTAGGAGAAACTGTCTCCTACTTCTATTTCTCTTGTGTATCTTTTGGAAAGTATATATAGGTATGCCCCTTTGAAAGAAACTCTTGTTTTACTAGACTCAGATTTTTTTTTTAGGCTGTTTCTTTTTAGTAATTCACTTTGGTGATCTTTATGTTACTTAAGGAAATATCTCTAGGAGGTTGTTTTATTGAGTCCCTTGGGTGTTTAGCAAAAAATAGTTATTTGAAAGCATTAGGTTTTTATAGTTTGAATCTTTATTTCTGAAATAATAGTAAGAAAATTAGTATGTACCAGAAGTCTTTAATAAGCAAATTCAGAAGGAATGGACTTGGTAGAAACACACTATTTTCCCTTTTTGTACATGGTAGTGATTGTGGTAAAAGCAATTCAGAATTGCTTCACAAGGAGAATTTCTATTGTGGTTTATTATTTAGAATCTGATTAAATGTAAATAGGTTTGATATTAGTAATAATGATCTCTAGTGACCCTATATTATTGAGATGGTACACTGTTTCTTTGCCTTAATTTTGTATATTCTCTTTGTGAAGTATTTTTACCTTGTCCTAGCCTCTAAAGTCTTGTTAAATGGAGATTAGAAATCTAAAATACGGAAACATCTTTTCTAGAGATGATATTCTACAGAGTTTGACCATAGTGCACAACTGTTTAATTGGCTCAGGAAACCTCCTACCTCCGTTGAAAGGAGAGCCAGTTACCAACTTGTAAGTAAAAATGACTACTCTACATATTTTACTATTTTGCTTTTTGGTATATATTTTAAGTCTTACTCAGTAAGTTACTTAACTGGTTTCACTATTGCTGTTGTTTCTGTATCACTTCAACCTTTTTATTGTCATTGTTAGGTCAGAAGTACTTGCAAAAATTAGAAGTTTAGAGCCGGCGCCGCGGCTCAATAGGCTAATCCTCCACCTAGCGGCACCGGCACACAGGGTTCTAGTCCCGGTTGGGGCGCCGGATTCTGTCCCGGTTGCCCCTCTTCCAGGCCAGCTCTCTGCTGTGGCCAGGGAGTGCAGTGGAGGATGGCCCAAGTGCTTTGGCCCTGCACCCCATGGGAGACCAGGATAAGTACCTGGCTCCTGGCTTCCGGATCAGCGCGGTGCGCTGGCCGCAGCGCGGCGGCCATTGGAGGGTGAACCAACGGCAAAAGGAAGACCTTTCTCTCTGTCTCTCTCTCTGACTGTCCACTCTGCCTGTCAAAAAAAAAAAAAAAAAAAAAAAAAATTAGAAGTTTAAACTTAAAGGCTTTATTCAGATGTCCATATGGTACCTGAATAGAGTTACTTTAGGTGTTAATCTAAAAATATGGCAATATCGAGTTCATATGTTAGTTTACTGAGGTTAAGTTAAATGTTGTTCTTTTAGAAAAAGAGAAAATACTTGAGTATTTTTTCTGTAGTTAATGTAGATTTAGGATTCTTTAGCAAATGAAAAACTGAAATTTTTTAAAAAAATTTCTTCAGTATTGTTCATAATAATTTGAACTCTTTAAAGCTACCAAATAGATTTCATGATTTTAAGTGTTTTTCAGGGTATTATTTTAATGAATATCTCAGTTTAATTCATTGCTGTTATTTATGCTGAGAAAATTGTTTTAGGGAGAGATCGGTACGTAACAACTTAAGCTTAATTTACTATGTAAAGGTTCATTTCAGTATTCTAAGATCATTTTGTTTTCAACATTAATGTCACATTACTGAATAAGTTAATGGAAACCACATAAAAAAGTCAGTTACCCTTCTTTCACCTCAGAAGACCCAAACGGAAGAATTATTTGCTTATGCTGCAACCATCTTGAAAAGCTTAAAGGGGTAGTTTAAAAATGTGGCTTGCTTATCTTTTCCATATTTTGTAGTCATTCTTGGAGCCATACTTTTCCATAATTCCTGCTTATTTCACAGTGAAAACTTTCTAGCCATTGAACTTTTTAGGTTGCTTATTAAGCTTTAAGAAGAAGTAGGGTCATTTCAGGTAAGAAAATCTGTTTTAAGTTTGCCGAGGACTTTGCTGAAATCTTTTTAAAGACTTAATTTTTTTTATCAGTTTTATAGTTTTGATAGAGGAGCAAGTTTTCCAAAATTAATTTCTTGCAAGAAGTCATTGACTTTAGACTATTTAAAAATTAGAGACCTAAAGAAATTGTTGATTTCCTCCTTCCAACATGATCTTAGCAGAGTCACACCATAAAAACTTGATCCTTTTATGGCATTCAAAAAGTGATTTTATACTCAATAAATTTAGCACATCAGTAAATTTGAGTTCTGCCTGAAGATGTTTAATTATTGTGCTCATTTCATCCAATCATTTATCTAGGACAGCAGCATGTATGACTGTTCATACTGGAACATGTTCAGGATTGAGTGATCATTAGTGTTCACTGCTGGAGGAGTGGCTCAGGGGGCTTTTCAGTTTTCTTCATAGCTCATATCAACATGGAGCTCTGTATTGTGTAGTATCATACTGAATTAAAGCCAAACTGCTGATTTTCCTTTGAAAATATGTTCATCCTGGCAAGAGTTCTGTGTATTTGATTATTTTAAAGCCAATTAGATTTTTTTTGTAATGAAATGGCATTTTTATTAAGGAAAAGAATATATTATGAAACTTTTTTGAATACCATAGAACATAAATACATTGTTAGTCTATATTATGTAGCATAAGCTGTAAAATTAATCTTAAAAGTATCCTTATAGGCTTTTCCTGGAAAAATTAAAAGGGAAGCAAATTAGACTGAAAAATGTTATTTCAGACTTTTCACATTTGGAGTAAAAAATCAATGTAAATACTGTATAAGGATAACATACAATATATTTGATAGTATAAATACAGAAAGTTTATATATTTAAATATGAAAATATAAAGTATTTCCTAATGTATACTTAATATTCTATACTAATAAGACAAAAACTGAAATTTTTAAAAATCATTGAATAATGCTTATTTTTCTGGTTCTTTATAGTTAGATACATCCATTCCTGATAATTCTACACAAAGTTGAACTAGAATAAATGGGCAGCTCTTTGCCTTTAAATTCCAAGAAAGCAAATTTGTAAAGTTTTACTTGAGCTTTTAAATGTTTCTTTAAAAATTCTTTCCAGTTATAGCTGACATTACCTTCATCTGAAATTTCAGTTTACTTTGGTAAAATGTAATTTTTGTATTATTTCTTTTTTAAAAAAAAAAATTATTTATTTATTTGAGTAGTATAGTTACAGACAGAGGTAGAGACAGAGAGAGGTCTTCCATCTTCTGGTTCACTCCCCAAATAGCTGCAATGGCCTAGCCAAAGCTGGGAGTCAGTGGCTTCTTCTGGGTCTCCGACACAGGTGCAGGGGCCTAAGCACTTGGGCCGTCTTCTGCTGCTTTTCCAGGCCATAAGCAGAGAGCTGGATTAGAAGAGGAGCAGCTGGGATATGAACTGACATCCATAGGGGTTGCCAATGCTGCAGGCAGAGACTTAGCCTACTACATCACAGCGCTGGCCCCTGTGTTTATTTCCCATAGAAAACATTTTGACACTTTTGCAGCTGGTGAATTCTCACCAAAGTATTAAAATAACAAAAACAAAATGCCTTCAAAATACCTAAAATGCTTAATGTAATAGAGATCAATGGTTGTTAAAATCTTCTAAATCTAAGTTGATTTGAAAAGCCTCAGGTGGTTCCATTTTTCTGTGGTGTGAATTCATGTTAGTACGAAAAAGGAGTATCTGCGCATAGCCTAATTCACGGGGAATATCAGCAGTTTGAAACCAGTAAATGTAAAACCAAAAAACTTCTAGTTTAGGATATTTCTCCATAGAAAATAGAGAAAAATGTACTAGATGGGAGAGAAAAGGGAAAGCTTAATTGTGATGAATGCTTTAGTGTAAGACAAGGCACCTGGGATAGTATCTCTTGTTAGTTTCAGTTTGGTTCTGGTTTCATCATACACTATGCATTTCCTGAAATGCCAGCACATAGCAACTCAAATGATTTTTTAAAAATTTCTTTGTTATATAAATCTCAACTATGTCAAATACTGTAGCTTCTACAGTTATTTTTGTTAGATTACTCAGTATTAAGTTTGCCCTCTGCATGATTTGGTAGTGTATAGTATTTGTCTTCTGGAAAATCTGGTGATGAAAAAATAGAAATGTAGTTTATTTCTGAGTTCTCTTGTAAGAAAATCTAACTTAGTTCTTAATAGAATATATAGGATGGTCTTAATGTGTCATTGTTCAGGGAAGTGGCTACTAAATGTGAAAATCTATTTTCTGTATTATGTGATTAGAGACTGACAGAAAATAAAAGCTAAGTCCTAAGTATAAAGGTAAATGATCTACCTAAGGGTATCCACATTGTACTTTTGAGGCTTTGGCAATATAGGGTTATGAAAAAACGTTGGAGCTATAAATTTTGCAGTTTCAAAGAATGTATATAGTAAGGTTCTTGAGGGCATTTAAGGGTAAATTTTCTTTTAGTTCAATTTAGAGCAATTTGAATAGTTAGCAGTTTTGTCAAATATCACAGTTGCTGAATTAATCTTAAAATGGAACCTCTATTTTGCTGTTACAACTTTCAGTGTTTTAAGAGAAATATCTGTGGCGTAGTTTATACTCATGGTTCTGCCCTTCTAGATGTGGAAGTTGGATTGTCTTTTCAGGATCACACAGAAATTTTGGACACTTGCCTTTATTCCTGAAATCATCATTAATTTCTCCTTTTGCAGTCCACTCTATATAATAGCCTTTTAGGTCTAACCAGCTATCACAGGATGTAAAAAACTAACATCTAAAAAAACAGGGTTACTCAAGGTAGAGGAGTCATCACTTTTCATCTCAAAATATTTCTTTTTACTTTGTGCCCCCTTTCCTCTGATAGATCTGTTAAATCATTCTTAGGACCTTAGCTTTTACTAACTTTTCATTCGAAAAAAAAATTCATACTTAAGGTCTGAGAGTGAGACCATTTCATTGCTATGTAAAAGGATGTGTTGCTTATGCAATGAGGGGCAGGGCTAGCTAACCTCTCTTGGCACCTCCAGGAAACTACCCAGCTCTGCTGGGGAAGCTGCACACAGAAAAGGAAACAGTTACTACTCCACGGTGAGTAACCCTGTTTTCTCCTTATTTCAACTTCTGACTGTTTTCATTGATTTTTTTTTAAAAAACTTGTGTGTCAGACTTGGGAATATTTCCTATTCTCAGAGTTAATTTTAAATCTAGCAGTATATAGGATTTCTCTTTACCTAGCAACCCTTTATTCATATAAAAGTGAGAACTAGCCTTTCATTTGTGTTTATAGTTATCGATGCCAAGGATTGAATTAGATAATAGAACACAGAAATAGGCCAGATGTCTCTTGTGATTCTCTTATACCTTGAAGTGGGAAGAAACATATCAGTGCTTGGTTTTATGTCTTTTATGTTTGTTTTTATTTGGGAGGAGGATTATTAGGATGAGTAGGGTGTTCCTTCACTAATACATAGGAGAAATTTTGTGTTATTGATCACAGCTGTTCCATGACAAGTCATGTAGCCCATATTTACATATTTTATTTGTGTTATATATCTATATTTTTATTTTGTTAGTCATTTCTTCCTTTTCTACCATCCTTCCTTTCCTACTTATGGTTATTTTCATAGTTCTTCTATAATCAAATCTAAAGAGGATTGCCACCTAGTGGTACAAATAATATAGTTGTGAAAAATTAGTATGTCTTTTTAGTGGCAGAAATATTTTAATAGAAAGGTTTTTTTTTAAATAAACTAGATGGTTTGGTACTCTAGGACCTATGAAACTGATTTAAGTTTATTATATAGATGGTATCACTTAAAATGTGTTGAAATTATTTCTCAGAATTAGATTTACTTCCTGGAGTGAAATGATACTAGTTTTATAAAATGAACTAGTGAATGAGTATTGGTAGAGTGATGATATTAAAGTTATATATATTCTTATTACGTTAGCCTTTTGTTTTTAATATTTATTTATTTATTTGAAAGAGCAACAGGGAGAGATGGAGAGGCACCCTCTGGTTGACTCCCCAAATGGCCACCAAAGCTGGTCTGGGCCAGGTTGAAGCTAGGAACCAGCAACCCTCCACCGTTACCTCCCATATCGGTAATAGGGGCCCAAGTACTTGGGCCATCTTATTAACTTCCCAGACACATTAACAGGAAGAGCCAGGACTCAAACGGTCTTTCTAATATGGAATGCCATCCCTTCTAGAGTGGCTTTCAATCAGCAGATAGATCTGTAAGTGTAGACAGCATGTTAAAGTCTGTTCAGCTGGCATAACACACATAACTAAAAGTTATCAGAGCAGTACAACCTGGGCACACCTATGCCTATAATGTGACCATAGAGATACAATCAGGAAGTCTTCCTTGGGTAGTGAAAAGAAGAAGATCAGAAGAAATATTTTGTGTAAATATTTATACTTGCTGACAAATACTTAGCATAAAACATGTCAGCTCAATTAGAGTATGATTAATTTGTGGTATGTAAGAAAAGATCAAATTAAATCTGAATCTTAGGTAAGCATAAAAGGAGCTTGTGGTAGGTAAGAAGTAAATTAAAACTGAAATATGTATCTAACTAGATACCTTATTTACATATTTATATATATCTGTATCTGGAACAACCCTATTTTCTTATTATGTTAATATTTAAAATCTTATACAAGATGGCATTTTTTAAATAAAAAATAGTATTTCTTTAGATTTTTTAGTAGGAAAGAGATTCACTGACCTATGGATTAAAAAGAAATAGCAAAAAGGACTCTGCTACCATTTTTTTTTTTTTTTTAATTTTTTTGACAGGCAGAGTGGACAGTGAGAGAGAGAGAATGGTCTTCCTTTTGCCGTTGGTTCACCCTCCAGTGGCCGCCGCGGCTGGTGCGCTGCAGCCGGCGCACCGCGCTGATCCGATGGCAGGAGCCAGGCGCTTCTCCTGGTCTCCCATGGGGTGCAGGGCCCAAGCACTTGGGCCATCCTCCACTGCACTCCCTGACCACAGCAGAGAGCTGGCCTGGAAGAGGGGCAACCGGGACAGAATCCGGTGCCCCGACCGGGACTAGAACCCGGTGTGCCGGTGCTGCAAGGCGGAGGATTAGCCTAGTGAGCTGCGGCGTTGGCCCTACCATTTGTTTTTAAATGCGATTACAGTGTGATTGGTATTACTAGAACCAGAAAAACATACAACAAAACTTCAAACTGTCAAATGATAATAGAGATTACTTCTTAAATCTTAATTGTAAGAGTGATGTGACCATAATTAGAATTCATGCTTGATTGATTATTACATGGTAGTAGTTATGGACTGGGTAAGATATAATTACAGCTGTACATTGGAAAACTACTTATGTTTATAGAAGCAGTGGGGAGACAAGTATTCTCAAACGACAATCTATGACATGCACTTACCCGTGCTCTAACAAGAATGAGGTGGGAGAGGCAGTAACCCTCTTGCTTTATCCTTAGTACTCTCTAAGCACAGGCTTTTCTCTTTGTTGATGAAATCTAATTTCAATTGACTCAAAGTTCATTGTAAAGGAATTGGAGTTTATTTTTTATCGACCAGGTTTTGGATATTTATGTACTTTTTGATCACACACAAATTTTCAGGATGCATATGGAAGCTGTTGCCAAAGGTTGGGGCTTTATAGAATGAAAACTAAATTTAAACAGGATTTTGAACTTCAAAGTCTCTTAAAAAGCAAACTAGCATTTTATCCTATAAAATACTTCTAAGTTTTGAAATAAGTTAGTAAAACAGAAGCCACGCTATCAGCTTTGTTTTGCATCTTCAGAAGGTTTTGCTATCCTAGGCACCAAAGTATGGCATAAAATACAGTTCAGTATTCAGACATTTTAATAATAATGTTATCAATTACTTAGATAAATAGCAGAATTCATAACTCAAATAATGACATGGAAATAACCCGTTTAATTGAACAACTTTTGAAAGGTATGCAGTAGATCTGTGGGTATGTTTGGTTAAAAACTAGCATTTTCTTCATTACAAGGGCTGAGTGGTCAGTTCATCAGTGATAAATAGTAATAATACAATTTCTCTTTATTAATTAGCCTCATATGAATATACTTACATGTTTCCTGGACCTTTGTGCCCATGTTCCTCTTCTTAGAAAGTAATGTGTCTTTGTTTATAAGCTACTGAATTTAACCTCATATTTTGAAATGTTGGAAATTATTTTTTCTTTGAAGAAAATTGAATTTCAGGTAGATAGATTCTTATTGTATAAAATCTGTTCTTGCATACCTAAAAAGTGACATGTAACCATTTGATGAGTTTAGCTAGATTTTATTGTGGTGACAATTCTTTGTGGCAGCTCTTTAATTAAAAAGTATGTTTTTGCATCTGAATTTCTTCAAAATGAGTAGCATTTTGCTGCAGATGTTAGGAAATATCCCTTTTGCTAGTTTTAAGAGGAAAGGAGCTGATCATCTAAAGCAGCTTATATTATATATGCTTAATAAAATTTGATTGTGAGTTTTAACTGTTATTAAACCATTTTAAAGCTGACTTTTCTTTGTAAAGGTATAAAAGTTTATCATCAGATCTAAGCTTTTACAATTGAAAATTAAATATCAACATGTTTCTTTGGGAGATGAATTTTTTTCCTTGAAGTCACTAAATTAACATTTTCTTTAAGATTAATGTTTCAGTAAAAAATGTATTGTTAATCTTCAGAAGGATAGAATAAAGAAGTGTTGAAGATGGGAAATCTATATTTCATAAAAGAACATTTTTTTGTTTTAATTTAAACATTCTAGCAATGAGACTTTCTCCTTTAATCCTTCATGATGCTTCATATTGGTATTATTAGTAAGTGTAAGCACTCTTGTTTTTATACAGGGTACCAAGTATGGTGTCCTTGGAAGAGACAAAGTTGTATACTGGGCTTGAATATGGTATGTGACTCCTAATCTGAGTAAATCTGTGCATTGTTTTGGTCAGTTACTCTCCAAGTGTTAAAATGGAATAGTTTAATAGCTAGGGTTTTCTTAGTCTCTTTGTTATAAAAATGTATATTAATTATACAGTGAACAATAGTCATTTTTACTTTTTCTGGAGAGGCTAGACAATTTTTTAAATAGTCAGTAGGGGCTAGCGTTCTGGTGTTGCAGGTAAAAGCTTCCGCCTGCAAACCAGCATCCCATATGGGTGCCAATTCAAGTCCTGGCTGCTCTATCTCCAATCCGTTCTCTGCTAATGCTCCTGAGAAGGGAGCAGAAGATGGCACAAATCCTTGGGTTCCTGCCACCCATGTGTGAGACTCAGAGGAAGCTCCTAGCTTCAGCCCAGCCCTGCCCTGGCTGATAGGGCTATTTAGGGAGTGAGCCAGCAGATGGGAGGGTTCTGTCTGTCTTTCTATGTCTCTGTCTCTGTCTCTCTAACTTTGCCTTTCAAATAAATAAATACATCTTTAAAAAATAACAATAAAAAAAGAATAGCCAGTAAACAGAAACCTATCAGTAAATCAGTATTTGAGTGATTTATGTATGCAGATGTAGGTGCCCATGTGGGATGTCGGTGCTGCAGACCATGGCTTTAACCTGATGTGCCACATCACCACCCCCAGAAGTAGGCTTTTATACTGTTCATTTATAGTTAGAACTCTTTTAGGACTGATACACTTGATGTGAATGAAAATGTTGTAATCCTTATATTCTAATAATCTTCATATCGTAGTGATTTAAATTTTTTAGTAATGTTTATTGGAAACATTTCATTGTATTAATTTAATGTTCTGAATCTAACACTAATAGATACTTAGCACATTTCTTCATTGCTGGATAAATAGTTATGTACATTGATTGCTAAGGTATAATTATTTTCTTGAGTTGACTTACCAATGACTAATTCAAAAATTCATACACTTCTGATCTCTAATGACTAGAGCATTTGAAATATTGGCAAAAATTGTTTTTCTCTTCCTCTTCTCCTTGTCTTTTCCATGATCCTGCCAATAAGGCTTTATAAATAGTTCATTTCAAATGTGGAGGTTTTAGAAGTTATTCTGCATCTTGCATAGCCACTAATCCAACTATGATAAAGATAGACTTGTTTATTTTTTGCCCGGATACTTTATCTCCTCTTAACATAAGCTGCTGCTATAAATTTTGATAAGTCTGAAGATCATTCTGTGTCTAAAATTCCTTCTATTTTTTTTTTTTTTTTAAATAGATCTATCTAGAGAGAACCATCGAGAAGCAATTGCTAGGGTCATAAGGAAACTTCTTAGTAAGTATATATGTGCATTTCACTTATTTGTACTATTAAATAGTTAGGAATTATATTCTATAGCATGCATGCTTTTTACTTAACATTTTAAATTCTAAGTGGTGGGGCCAGCATAATGGTGTAGCAGGTAAAGCTGCCACCAGTGACACCAGCAAAGTGCCTTTTTGTGTCCCAGCTGCTCCACTTGTAATCAGCTCCCTGCTACCCATGTGGGAAATCCACAAGAGGGTCCTGGCTCCTGGTTTCAGCCTGGCCCATTGCAGTCATCTGGAAGTGAACCGTGGATGGAAGATCTTTGTCTCTGTCTCTTGTTCTCTCTCTCTAACTCTTTTAACTAACGGAATGGGATTCATAGAGTAGTTCATAAAGTATTTTAACTAAAATTTTTTTTCTTCTATTGTAGACCACATACTTGTTAATTCAGAAGATGATACAAAGTCATTGTTTCTTATCATAAAGGTACAGTTGTCATTTGATAGTTGCATAATTATTGTGATTAGGCTTGACTTGATGACTTGTAAATAAAATTTGAAATTTTGTGACACAGATTATTGGAGACCTTTTGCAATTCCAAGGATCTCACAAGCATGAATTTGACTCCCGATGGAAAAGTTTTAACTTAGTAAAGAAATCAATGGAAAATCGGGTCAGTATTTTCACCCAAGTGTTTAAATTAGTTTTTTTAAAAATGTGTAATAATACTTTGATTTGGGTATTAGTCATTGTACAGAGCGAGTTTCCCTATAAGTCAAGGCAGCATGTTTAAAAATACATAACGACTGTAAAAAACATAGTGTAAGTCAAGTGGGTCCTGGAAGAAAATATATTTTCCTTGCGCAGATTCATCTATCAGTTTCCATGATTGTATCTGAACTCCCAATAGAAATGTGAAGAACATTATTTAGCCTGCCTTCTAAAAGCTTGAAGGAATTAAAAATAAGGAATTGTCACAAGCATAAATTTAAAGCATTGCATTTCATGTAAATAAATCAGAAAAAGATAACATTGCATTTGTGCTCTGGCAGAAATCTGTGTAAACTTCTCTGGGAGCAAAGAAGGAGGACCACCTAAATGAGCCAGGAGGTGTTCATAGCACTGTTCTTCTGTAGGAAGACTTTCTTTTTATAAGAGACATTTACTGAAATCGGTTCTTCAAAGATGATATGAAGTAATTGTTTAGAGAAGTGGTGTTAAGTATTTTAGACAGAGGGTATGTCATATGCAAGTGCAGGGAGATAAAAAAAAGTGTGGCACGTTTTAGGGAGCAGTAGCTGTAGGGAAGAGTGGTAGGGGGTAAACTAGGTTGTTTATATTTTGCTTGTTGAGAAAAAATGCTTTGGTTTCATATTTAGTAGTGCAGGTGCCATGAAAGGTTCTTAGGTAGATCTGAGCTGGACATTGGAAAGATCAGTATTCAGTTCACTAACACTGAAAAGCTTTGCTACAGCTGAAAAAATAAGTGCTGGGAGATTGATACTGGAAACAGGGAGAGCTGTTAAACTACTATAGTCCAAGTGAAGATACAGAGCCTGAATGAAATCACTTACAATTGGGATGGAGATGAGGCATTTTGAAGAAGATGCAGTTGTGGGTACTTGCTGGCTAATTAGATGAAGATGTGAAAAGAGAACAATCTTTGAAACATGGATATGTATTTTGGTGACTAGGTAGGAGATCATGTGTGTTAAAGCTTGTACTAATACTATAATTTTTAGCAATATAAATGATTCTCTATTCTGTAGTAAACTTGGAGTTACCCTAAAAGGCTATTAATATAACAGATGAGCAGTTTTCTTAGTAGCCTTTTTTTCTACTTAGAGTATTTAATTGAGTAAGAAACAACTCTGTTGCTCTCCGTATCTGGATCTGTTAATAACCTGTCAGAAAAGAGCAGTGTTGGATATGAAAGGGAGGTGATTCTCTTATTAGCCTTAACATTAATACCATCAAGATGGTATTTGTTTAGAATTAATGAAGTTAGGGGCCAGCGCTGTGCCATGGCCAGTAAAGCTGCCGCCTGCAGTGCCAGCATCCCATATGGATGCTGGTTCAAGTCTTGGCTGCTCTACTTCCGACCCAGCTATCTGCTACAGCCTGGGAAAGTAGTGGAAGATGGCCCAGATTCTTGAACCTCTGCACCCTCATAGGAGATCTGGAAGAAGCTCCTGGCTCCTGTCTTCAGATCAGCGGAGCTCTGGGCTGGAGAGAGATACAGAGTTGCATAATTATATGGAGTTGCGGCCAACTGGAGAGTGAGCCAGCCAAGTAGAAGACCACTCCCCACTTCTCTCTCTGTGTAACTCTGACTTTCAAATAAATAACTCTTTAAAAAATAATAATAATTACCCCCACCTTTCAGCGTTGGGACTACCATGGACCTTTTTTGAAGTAATTTTTCATTAAGGGATTCAAAGGAGTCTGTTGAAATCATTTTGGGAAAATCTTGAGGTGTTTGCTGCTTTGTTTTCCAGCTCCATGGGAAAAAACAACATATCAGAGCACTGTTGATTGACAGAGTAATGTTGCAACATGAGGTAAATTGCTTTTTCACTTGTGACTTTTTTAAATGCCAGTTTTCCTATGTTTATTTACTTATTTATGTTTTTCCTAATAAACTTTCAACAAACACTTTGGTTTGTATTGTTTTCTTAGTTAAGAACACTAACTGTCGAGGGTTGTGAATATAAAAAGATACATCAAGATATGATTAGAGACCTTCTTCGTTTATCCACAAGTTCCTACAGTCAGGTAAGGCTTGTCTACAGACTGTCATCCTAACACTCCCATTTTATTACATGTCATAGTCAACCTGGTAGGAAGTAAGAAAACCAGAACTAAAGGCAAGGGCCCTTTAATTCATATTGGCTCAGGAAACACTTCATATTGCCAATATATTCAAGTTAATTTTGCTACTTTTTTTTAATAATATGTAATTTTACTGTTTGGAATTGCTCCTCGATTTTGTTTCTTAATATAAAGTTGAAAGACAGTCCTGGCATGGTGCTACTGGCACTTAATTAAATTAAATTGTAAGGCCAGTCTATGAAGGCCATATAATTTTAGGGTCAGTCCTTTAGCATAGACCAAGACGTTATCCCCAAGCACAGTTAACTGGAAAAAGTAAGAAATCAAAGTACAGGCACTTACTTTATCTTTGCAAAATGATGTAGATCAGATAACTGGTTTCTACCCCAGAAATTCCCTCTTAAGATTTAAAAATATGTATGTTACTTTTTTAAAAAATCAGTTATTATCCACTGTTTAAATAGCTCTTTGTTTATAAATCCATATAAATGAATCCTTTGGGTTCAAAATATGTGAGGCTGTATTTATGGCATGCTTTGAAAAGGTTAAATTCAGGGCTGGCATTATAGTGCAGCAGGTTAAGCTCATTCCTGCATCCCATATGGGCACCTGTGAGTCCCAGCTGCTCCACCTCCCATTGAGCTCCCTGCTAATGTCCTGGGAAAGCAGTGGAAGATGGCCCAAGTGCTTTAATGGTCTGATTATTTTATCTGTTTTTTAAAAAAATGCCTGTTGACTCCTTTTGATTTCCCCTTTATCAGAACTATTTGAACCAACATAATCTATAATTTGGATTTGGTTAGTTGGTGGTAATGTACTTTTCTTTTAATATGAAGATAATAATATATTCATTTTTTAGCATATACCTTCTGATCTATTTTGCTGTTAATTAGATAACATTTATATTATTACTTTTTGATAATTCAGTAAGGAGTTGTGTTTTTTTTCTGCCACTTAAAGTCTTTTGTTAATAATACTTTCTGCAGGTCAGAAATAAGGCTCAGCAAACATTTTTTGCTGCCCTGGGAGCATATAACTTCTGTTGCAGAGATATCATCCCCTTAGTTTTGGAATTCTTACGGCCTGATAGAAAAGATGTTACGCAACAACAGTTCAAGGTACAGGTTTTGTTTTCTTTGACTAGGAAAGTTTTCATTATAGAGAAGTTGAAAGAAGTCTGCCGTGAACCTCCTATAACCACCAGATTCTGTATTTAAAATTTTATATTTGTCATACTAAATATCTGTCCAATGACTTACTTTTAAATATATTTTAAAGTAAAGGACATAAGTACAAATTTCCTTTTAACAGGTGTAGTCTTTTTTTATTCCCTAATTCTTTATGTATTTATCTGTGTTTATGATCAGTATTATGAAGGAGAAAATACGGAGTGCATAACTCCCTGAGAAAAAGAATTCTTTTAATTGAACACTAGCGGCTGAGTAATTTAGCTGGCCCATAAGAGAGATGAAATATTAAAAAGTTGAAAGTAGTATGGGGCCGGTGCTATGGCGCAGCACATTAACGCCCTGCCCTGAAGCACCAGCATCCCATATGGGCGCCGGTTCTAGTCCTGGCTGCTCCTCTTCTGATCCAGCTCTCTGCTATGGCCTGGGAGAGCAGTGGAAGATGGCCCAAGTCCTTGGGCCCCTGCACCCATGTGGAGACCCAGAAGAGGCTCCTGGTTCCTGGCTTCAGATCGGCATAGCTCCGGGTGTTGCAGCCAACTGGGGAGTGAGCCATTGGATGGAAGACCTTTCTCTCTCTCTCTGCCTCTCCTCTCTCTGTGTAACTCTGACTTTCAAATAAATAATAAATCTTAAAAAAAAAAAAAAAAAAAGGTAGTATGATCAGCATGAAGGAATTACCTGGGACATTACATCCCATAGGGAGCCATAGAATGTAAATAAGAGGGGCCGGCGCTGTGTCACAGTGGGTAAAGCTGCCTCCTGCAGGGCTAGCATCCTATATGGGCCAGTTCAATTCCCTACTGCTCCACTTCCAGTCCAGCTCCATGCTATGGCCTGGGAAAGCAACAGAGGATGGCCCAGGTCCTTGAGCCCCTGCACCTGTGTGGGAGACTCAGAAGAATCCTGGCTTCAGATCAGCACAGCTACAGCCATTGCGACCATGTGGGAAGTGATCCAATGGATGGAAGACTTCTCCTTCTCTCTCTCTCTGTCTCTCTCTGCCTCTCTGTACCTGCCTTTCAAATAAATAAATCTTTAAAAAAAAAAAAAAAAAGGTATGATTGTTAATACCATCACATCGAGAGAACTTTACCCATGGACAATGATTCAGGAGAGAGAATAGATTGAACTTGATGGATGAATGTGAGGGTGCTGAAAAAAGATACCAAAATTACTAAGCTCTGGGATTGTGCAGTGTTTGTTGAACATATCAGAGAAAGAGACTAGTGAGAATAGATGATGAATTAGTTTATTTAAACATTTAAAAATTGAAGTGTTTCCTATAAACTAAGAGGCAGTTGGCACTTGGACATGAGTTTAAAGACACCATTTTCATATCTGTTGATGACAAATTGAGTCTTTGAGCATGGGTAAGAAAGCCTACAAGGAGGGTGAGAAAAGAAACAAGGGACATGTGTTGAGAAACTCTGGGCACAGGAGTTGACTGAAATAGACAAAGTCAGAAGTATCAAGAAATGAAGAATCACAGGAGGCAAAGAGAAAGGGAAACTCTGTCAGTAGTGCTAGGATTCTAGAGTGAATTTAAAACAAGCACAGAACATATTCCTTGACGTTAGCTTTTAAGGTAGACATCAACAAATTACAACTGAGGCTCAGTTACTTGCTTTTGTGAGTAAAGCTTTATTGAAACTACCATGTCCATTCTTCTGTGTATTGTGTATGGCTGTTGACATGCATCAGTGAAGAGATGAGTATTTGAGACAGAGACAGATAGCTCACTGTTTACTTTCTGGCCCTTTATAGAACATGTTCACTTGACCTCTGTTGTCAAATGTCAGAGGGGGCCCAACTCATTGAATAGTATCTTGTTGATCTTGTTGAGAGCAATTTAAATGGATAGAATCAGGTTGTATAAGATCAAAAGTGAAAAATTAGCTAAGTCAAAGAATCAGGGTTATCACAGAACCTTACATAGAACCTGTAGAGAGCAGAGTGGAGTGAATAAACTGCACAGTATAATTAATTAATTTTATGTATTTAGTAAAATTCTTGGCAGCCAGGTATTTCAGACCATTTGCTCTAAGATAGAGTGGCATCTTTTATAACCTTTGTTACAGTAAAAGAGCAGAATGGAATATTCTTACATTCTTACTAGCAGCCATTCTCTGAATAAATCATCTATTAAATGAATCAGAAAAAATAAAGTGTATGTCATATAATTAAATATCAAATTCACATTTTTATTGTGAGCCTGTTTTACCAACCAACATTAAACATTTAAGTAATCAATGTAAATTTAAAAACAATTAAGTGCTTTGGTTGAAACTAAATGATGCATACTATCTTCCATATAAATTTATTTTTTTCCTGCAGGGTGCATTATATTGTCTCCTTGGAAATCACAGTGGTGTGTGCCTGGCAAATCTTCATGACTGGGACTGTATTGTACAGACATGGCCAGCAATTGTTTCTTCAGGGCTTAGCCAAGCAATGTCACTAGAAAAGCCATCAATAGTGAGACTGTTTGATGATCTTGCAGAAAAGATTCATCGGCAATATGAAACAATCGGCTTGGACTTCAAAGTAAGCAAAACCATTTCTTCATTCATATTTTAGTGGAGATACTACCTTGTTAAAATGCCCCCCCCCCTTTAATGAATATGTTATGACATTTGATTCTAACTTCTTTAAAAAGCTTTTGTTTTTTATTTCCATTTTGTTCTTTTAATGATCTTTACTATAGATAACAGGGTGGAGTGGCAACTTGGAGCATGTCTATTGTTTTCTACCAAGAGGTTATAAAGGTTACTACATTGTTATAGTTTGCATTATCCCATATTTGTCTGCCGCTTCATTTGTAAAATGCTGATTATTTTTTGAAAGCTTTTCTTTAATAAGTACAAATTTCATAGTCAACAGCTTTTGGAATATACTGGTTCTTCCCCTCATACCCGCCTTACCACCCCCAAACCATCCCACCTCTTATTTCCTCTCCCATCCCAGTCTTCATTAAGATTCATTTTTAATTATATACAGAAGATCAACTACATACTAAGTAAAGATTTCAACAGTTTGCACTCACACAGACACCCAAAGTATAAGTACTATTTGAAGACAAGTTTTACCATTAATTCTCATATGTACAACTCATTAAGAACAGAGGTCCTACGTTTGGAGCAAGTGCACAGTGACTCCTTTCATTGATTTAGCAATTGACACTCTCATTTATGACATCAGTGATCACCAGAGGCTCTTGTCGTGAGCTGCAAAGGCTATGGAAACCTTTTGAGTCCACAAACTCTGTCAGCATTTAGACAGGGCCATAAAGTGGAAGTTCTTGCCTGCCTTCAAAGAAAAGTACCTCCTTCTTTGGCCCCTTCTTTCCACTGGGATCTCATGGAGTTCCTTTGTGTAGATCATTTTTTTGCCACAGTGTCTTGGCTTTCCATGCCTGAAATGCTCTGATGGGCTTTTCAGCCAGATCCAAATGCCTTGAGGACTGATTCTGAGGTCAGAGTGCTATTTAGGGCATTTGTCATTCTATGAGTCTGCTGTGTGGCCAGTTTCCCATGTTGGATCATTCTCTCCTTTTATTCTATCAATTATTATTAGCAGTCACTTGGTCTTATTTATGTGATTCCTTTGACACTATCTGTATGATCAGTTACACACTTAATATGATCACTTTAACATATACGATGGCATTAGTACCTGGCAACTTAATTGATTTCAAACACAGTGTTAGAACCAGAGAGAGAGGTCTTCTATTCTGCTGGTTCATTCCCCAAATGACCGCAATGGCCAGAGCTGACCTAATCCAAAGCCAGGAGGAGCCAGGAGCTTCTTCCAGGTCTCCCACACAGGTGCAGGGGCCCAAGGAGTTGGGCCATCTTCTACTGCTTTCCCAGGCCATAGTAGAGAGCTTGATTGGCAGTGGAGCAGCCCGGTCTTGAGCCAGCACCTATGGGATGCTGGCGCTGCAGGCTGGGGCTTTAACTCACTGTGCCACAGCATCAGCCCTGGCAAATTTTTAGCTTTACCCTTAGGTGTAATTCCATGTGAACATGTGCCAAACTGTACATCTCCTCCCTCTCTTATTCCCACACTTAAGTTTTTACGGGGATCAATTTTCAATTGGAATTAAACACGTAAGAATATTTCTGTGTTAAGAGTTCAACCAATGGTATTAAGTAGAAAAAAAATACTGAAAAGAATAAAATAGTAAGTTGTTCCTTGACAGGACAAGCACTGATCATGGCATTGCTTCTCATAGTGTCAGTTTCACTTCTACAGGTTTCCTTTTAGGTGCTCAGTTAGTTGTCACAGATCAGGGAGAACATATGATATTTGTCCCTTTGGGACTGGCTTATTTCACTCAGCCTCATGTTGCCCAGATTCCTGCATTTTGTTGCAAATGGCCGGATTTTTTTTGTTTGTTTAACCGCTGAGTAGTATTCCATAGAGTACATATCCCATAATTTCTTTATCCAGTCTTCTGTTGATGGGCATTTAGGTTGATTCCACGTCTTAACTATTGTGAATTGAGCTTCAATAAACATTTAGGTGCAGATATAGCTCTTTTATTTGCCAATTTAATTTCCCTTGGGTAAATTCCGAGGAGTGGGATGGCTGGGTCGTGTGGTAGGACTATATTGAGATTTCTGAGGAATCTCCAAACTCTCTTCCACAGTGGCTTTACCAGTTTGCATTCCCACCAACAGTGAGTTAGTATGCCTTTTTCCCCACATCCTCTCCAGCATCTGTTGTTTGTTGATTTCTGTATGTTGAGCCATTGTAACCGGAGTGAGGTGAAACCTCATTGTGGTTTTGATTTGCATTGCCCTGATGGCTAGTGATCCTGAACATTGTTTCATGTGTGTTGACCGTTTGGATGTCTTCTTTTGAAAAGTGTCTAAGTCCTTGGCCCATCTCTTGAGTGGGTTGTTTGTTTTTTTTGTTTTGTTTTGTTTTGTTTTGTTTTGTTTTGTTTTGTTTTGTGGAGTTTCTTGATCTCTTTGTAGATTCTGGTTATTAATCCTTTGTCACTTACATAGTTTGCAAATAACTTGTCCCATTCCTTCAGTTGCCTCTTCACTTCCCTGTCTCTTTCTTCTGCGGTACAGAAGCTTCTTGATTTGATGCAATCCCAGTTGTTAATTTTGGCTTTTGCTGCCTGTGCCTCTGGGGTCTTTTCCAAGAAGTCTTTGCCTGTGGCAATATCTTGGCAGGGTTTTTCCAGTGTTCTTTAATAATTTTATGGCATTGGATTGTAAATTTATGTCTTTAATCCATGTTGAGTGGATTTTTGTGTAAGGTGTAAGGTAGGGGTAATGCTTTATACTTCTGTTTGTGGAAATCCAATTTTCAACCATTTGTTGAATAGACTGTCCTTGCTCCAGAAATTGATTTTAGCTCCTTGATCAAATATAAGTTGGTTATAGATGTTTGGGTTGATATCTGGTGTTTCTATTCTGTTCCATTGTTCTATCCATTTGTTTTTGTACCAGTACCAGGCTGTTTTGATTATCACTGCCCTGTAGAATGTCTTGTAGTCTAGTATTGTGATGCCTCCGCCTTTGTTATTGTTTTATAAAATTACTTTAGCTATTTGAGGTCTCCTGTGTTTCCATATGAATTTCAGCATCAATTTTTCTAGATCTGAGAAGAATATTTTGGTATTTTGATTGGTATTGCATTGAATCTATAAATTGCTTTTGGGAGAATGGACATTTTTATGAAATTGATTCTTCCAATTCATGAACATTTAAGAATGTTTTTATTTTGAGAGTCAGAGTTACAGAGAGGAAGGACGAGAGAGGGAGATGCAAGGAAAGAGAGAGACAGAAAGAGACGGGATCCAGGAACTTCGTCTGAATTTCCATATGGGTGTCAGGTCTCCAAACACTTAGACTGTCTTCTGCTTTTCCCAGGCTATTAGGGAGCTAGACTGGAAGATGAGCTGACAGCACATGAACTGGTACCCATATGGTATGCTGGTGTTGCAGGCCCTGTCTTTACCCACTGTGCCACAATAGTGCCCCCCCCCTTTGTTATTTGTTAAAGATTTATTATTTACTTATTTCAAGGCAGAGTATCACAGTGAGAGAAACAGAGAAAGGTCTTCTAGTCCCCAAATGCCTTCCAAGCCAAGACTTGGCCAGGCTCAAACCAGGGACCAAGAACTCCATCTTGGTCCCTGTGTCAATGTCCGGGACCTAAGCAATAGGCATCATCCCTAGGTGCATTAACAGGCAGCAAACTGGAAGCAGAACAGCTGGGACTTGAACTGACAGTGCTTACAGAATATGGGATGCTGCTGTTGCAAGTGGCTGCTTAGCCTGCTATGCCACAACACTGACCCCTCTCTTCCTTTTTAAATAAGATAGTCTTGCTCTTTGCAACTATCATTACACTTTTTTGACTTGAGCTATATATAGCTCACATGCCAAAAAAGAAATAATTTTATTTATGTGAAAACAGACAGATCTCCTATCCACTGGTTTACTCTCCCTACATGTCTTCTATAGCGGGGGCTTACCACACTGAAGCCAGGAGCCAGTTTCCTGTGTGGGTGGCAGTGACCCAACTTCTTAAGCCATCACTTTCTGCCTCAGCAGGAAGCTAGTTGGGAGCGGAGCTTGGACTTAAAACTAGGCACTCCAGAAAGGGGTGGGGGGCAGTTATCTCAAGTGGCATCTTAACTGCTACACAAAACACTTACCTCGTTCAGTTGTACAGGTACATGTTCACAATCATATATTCACAGGGTTGTGTAACCATCACAACTCAAATCATAGAACATTTTCATCACCCACAGAGAAACCTTTTACCCAGTTGCAGTTGCTTCCTGCTTCCGCAGCACCTATAGCCACTGGATAACTAATCTACTTTTTTTTCCGTGTGAATTTGCCTGTTATTAGATATTTTATAAATGGAATAATATGTGGCCTTTTAGGTCTCACTTCTTCACTTAACTCTAGCATGGCATATTTTTGGGTGTGTCAGAATATCATTTTTTTCCTGATTTTTTTCATAAGATTCCAGAGTCATGTGTTGAAATAGCAGAATTACTTCAGCAATCAAAAAACCCCTCTGTCAACGAGACATTGCTTAGTCCAGAGAAAATTAAAGAAGGACTTAAACGCCAGCAAGAGAAGAATGCTGATGCCCTAAGGTAATGAATAGCTGCTAACATAGACAATGTAGATATTAAATTTTAAATCTCTCTGAAATATAGATGTACCATAACTACTTATTTTTACACATTGACTTTTGAAAAAAAAAAAAAAAAAGACAAAATTGCTGTAAGGATCTCTGAGTTTTTCACTTTGACCTGTTGAGGTGGAAAACACCAGCCTAAAATAGTTATTTCAATATTGCATCTTTTTTTAGTATTAATGCTCTTCAATTTTTAAAATTATAACATTTCAAAATAACATAACTGGTATATATCAGTTGTTGAGCCCTAAATTCAAGTTCAGTACATGAACTTAATAACTCATAATAATTATTTTCTGGTCATATTTGGTATTAGGACATTACTAAACTGTTTTTCAGTTCTTGGAACCAAAGCACTTAGTGTTTCAGTGATAACACTCAAGCAGTGGATTTAGCGTGATTTCTTTTTTTTCTTTTTTTTTTTTTTTTGCTTTATAATTAGTATGTGACTTAGTATATACCTTCTTGCTGCTTTCTAAAATGCCTTTATAAATAATAAATTCCCCAATAAGATAGCCTATAGATACCCAGAGTGCCATATAAATAGAACACTTGTAACTAAATGCCTTAGTGCTCAAAGATGTGCCTTTGAATGCTCACTCAGGAACACTTGAGGGGTTCACTGTACCTAACCTCCTGTACCTCCTTTCTTCCCTCATGTCTTCATGCATTCATCTGCTTTTCACTCTTTGTTCCTACAAGGCCTTTACCATCAGGCAGTGGGAAGTAAGGGGAAGAAAATTGGGCTAGAATTCAGATTTGTTAACATTATTTGATGTTCCCATCTTAGTATTACAGTAAAACAGTACTTCACCTGATTTTGTTTTTCTTTAAGGAACTATGAAAATTTGGTAAACACTTTGCTAGATGGTGTGGAGCAGAGAAATCTGTAAGTGTGAAAAAATTTTTTTTAAATTTTCAGAGTATTTCTTTTAAATTTTCTGTGTGAAAGACCATGAAAGGTTCTGTCACACACAAAAATTACACTGTCTTGTGTATTTAAAAGAAAACTAAGATAGGAGGAGATGGAGGGAAAGTTTGGAATTGGAGATAGAAACAGCATTCTTCATTATAATGGTTTTATTAGTGACACCTTTGTGATCTTCTCCCCGCCCCCCACCCCTGTAAGGCCCTGGAAATTCGAACACATAGGCATTGGACTTCTGTCTCTGCTCTTAAGAGATGACCGAGTGTTGCCTCTTCGTGCCATACGGTTTTTTGTTGAGAATCTCAACCATGATGCAATCGTAGTTCGAAAGGTAAATACTTCATGTTAACTACTGTCTTGGTTTTGGGAATATTTACCTTACCTAAAGTCTTTGAATTCTTTATAAACAATGCATACCTTATAAATATTCTTATATGTATTGATTTGAAAAATCCCACTATTGGTTATTATAATAATTATATAATTAGTATAGTATTTTATAATTATAGTATATATTTATATAATCATATGTTATTATATAATACATAATTACTATATAATAAATTATTATAATTATAATTCATCCAGAAAATATAGGAGAACATGTTTGGGCATTGTGCATTTCAACACTTGGAGTGCAAAACAGGGAACAATTTATCAGCTAATGGGAAAGATCAAGACAATAAAAGAAATTAGATACTTAGTGTTTCAGGAGTAAAAAGAAATCAGGGTATATAACTTTCTGGTTTTGCTTTGAAAGTGTTAAAGGTGAGGAGCAGGGGAGTAGGGTTGTGGTCTAGTGTAGTGTATTGGAGAAAGATGCTTAAAAAGACCCTTAGGTTGAGATTTGAAGAATGAACAGGTGTTGATTTAACAAAGGAAAGGTTCCAGGTATTCTGGGTAGAGAGACTAACATGGTAAGGTTCTCTAAGTCAGATTTAGCACTCATGTGACTATGCCACTATATGTCAGTGGGTGAGGTGTTTCAGAAAGAAACAGAATCCAGCTTCTGTTTTAGGTGAAGCAGGCAACCATTTTAGAAATTTTCAAATTTTGATAAATATCCCTTATCTGTTTTCTTATCTAGATGGCTATCTCAGCTGTTGCTGGGATTCTCAAACAGCTAAAAAGAACCCATAAAAAGCTGACTATCAATCCTTATGAAATCAGTAAGTATTATCAAAAATAATTTTTTAAATATTTATTTATTTGAAAGGCAGAAATAGAGAGAGGGGATAGGTAGAGAGACAGAGATCTTCCATCCTCTAGTTCATTCCCCAAATGGCCTTAACAGCTAGGGCTGGGCCAGGCCAAAGCTAGGAGTCAGGAGCTTCTGCAGGGTCTCCCATGTGGGTTCAGGTTCCCAAGTAGTTAGGCCATCTTCCACTGCTTTCCCAAGCATTAGCAGAGGGCTAGTGGAGCAGCTGGGACTTGATCTGGTGCCCATGTGGGATGACAATACTGCACACGGAGCCTGAACCTTGTATGCCACAGTGCTGGCTCCATAGCAACAATAATTAATACTGGTTTTCAGTAAAACTCAGAAAATCTCCTGGAAAGGTAAAAATTCTAGTTCTTGACTTGAAATACTGTTCTTTTTAGGTATTAATTGAAAGTATGAAATAATATTGTGAAGCTCACAGTTGACTTAGTAAAAACTAGTGACAAACTAGTGATACTCTGGGAAATACATCTTGTATGTCATATCATTTACCTCACCTACTAAGTTATTTATACAGCTGTACTTCAAAGATTTAAAATACCATTAGCGAGCCGGCGCCGTGGCTCAATAGGCTAATCCTCCACCTTGCGGCGCCGGCACACCGGGTTCTAGTCCCGGTTGGGGTGCCGGATTCTGTCCCGGTTGCCCCTCTTCCAGGCCAGCTCTCTGCTATGGCCAGGGAGTGCAGTGGAGGATGGCCCAGGTGCTTGGGCCCTGCACCCCATGGGAGACCAGGAAAAGCACCTGGATCCTGGCTCCTGCCAGGATCAGCGCGGTGCGCCGGCTGCAGCGGCGGCCATTGGAGGGTGAACCAGCGGCAAAGGAAGACCTTTCTCTCTCTGTCTCTCTCTCTCACTGTCCACCTCTGCCTGTCCGAAAAAAAAAAAAAAAAAAAAAAAAAAAAAAAAATACCATTAGCAATTTGTTAAATGCTTTTTGGGGTAGAGATTAGGGGCAAGGTTAACTTTCTCCTTTATACCTTAAATCTTTTTTGGTTATAAAGGATGAAAACATTGCATTTGGTTGTCATGTCTCTTTAGTTTTCCTTTAATGCGGTGCTTAATTCTAGATTGGATTATAATGTTTAAAAATGTAAAAAAAATGTTTAAAATTTTTTTCTTTGGATGTAAGGGACAATTGACCAAATTTGAATAAGGTATGTTAATCACATAATGGTACAGTGTCAATGTTGCCCTTTTTTCTTTTGCCTTTGTGATTTTTGAAAATTGTCTTTTGGTTATATAAGAAAGTTGTTTATAGAAAATGGACACACATGACTCTACGAAGTGTGGGTGTGTGTAGGGAGAGGGAGAATATACATGTGACATAAACTTAAAATTTGAAGTATTTGAAGGCTGTGTTAGAATTCTTTGAACTCAAGTATGAAAATTCATAGCTAAAAAGTTTTAACAAAACTTTCTAATTTTGATAAAAGAAGTAAAGTATGTATCAGAGTTGATTTTCCTCCCCCAAATAACTATCCCAGTACCATTTAGTAATAATGCCATCTTTTCCTCTCTGGTTTGAAATGCTCCCTTAATTTCTCATACATATATACATACACACACACACCCACACACACATATAAAATCTTAGAATTTTGATAGTGTCTTATTATAAAGACAGTTAAACTAGTGGTATAGTTGTTAGAAGAATATTTTAAAATTTAACAAATGAGGGGGCCATCATTGTGGCAAAGTGGGCAAAGCTGCCTCTTGGGATACCAGCATCACATGGTGGCAGCAATTTGAGTTCTGGCTGCTCCGCTCCTGATCCAGCTCCCTGCTAATGCATGTGGAAAAGCAGCAGAACAGGGTCCAAGGGTTTGGGAGACCCAGATGAGGCTCTTGGCTTCAATGTGGCCCAGCACTGGCTGTACGGCCACCTGGGGAATAGACCAGCAGATGGAAGATGTCTCTGTCTCTCTCTGCCTCTCCATCTCTCAGTAAATATGACTTTCAAGATTTTTTTTTTTTTTAATCAAATGTGATTTTCTTTTCCTTAGGTGGATATCCCAGACCTGCCCAAATTCTTGCTGGTGATAGGCCAGATAATCATTGGTTGCATTATAATAGCAAAAGTATACCAAGGACTAAAAAAGAATGGGAGTCAAGTTGCTTTGTGGAAAAAACTCACTGGGGGTACTACACCTGGCCAAAGTAAGTCGTAACTTACTCTGTACCTTATCATTAAATAGCCTTTGATAATAATTTGTTTTATCATATGTAGATTTCTGGGGAGGTTCAGAGGCACTTGAAGGTTTTTTTCCTCCTCTCTTCCTCCACATTTTTTTCCTCCTCTCTTCCTCTCTTTCTTTTGCTCCTGCCAATGCTGTGCCTCATTCCTGCCTCTTTCCTTGCACTAAAATTCTTAGCCTTTCTTAATCCCATAATTATATGGCTAAAGAGGTTGTTGATAGCTGCTCTAAATTATATTCTTACCTATTAATATTAGATATGCCTCAAACCAGCCCAGAGAAATATGTAGTGTCTCTCATTGTTGACTCCAGTAATTCATGTGTTAGGACACAATGATCTGATAGATTTTTAAGGCCAAGATTGTTATTAATGTACTCATAACCCCAAACTCACCATCTAGTTGGAGTTCAGTAAAAGTGCCTTCTAATGCTTTCTATTCATGAAGCTCCTAATATTTTTATGCGTATTATAAACTCTTACTGTATAGGAATATGGTTGTTTATGCTGGTGTGGAAGAGCAGCCTAAGCTTGGCAGAAGCAGGGAGGATATGACAGAGGTAAGCATCCATTTCACCATGGTTCAAATGCATCTTATTTTTGGCCACTGATTTATTTCAGTCTCAGTTCTGATCTTTTTTCCAGTTCATGTATATGAGGATAACACTGAGTAAATCCTGGTGGATGTCTAGTCCTTCCCCCTCCTGCCTTCACTGGTGCCAGTTGACATAGGTCTTGATGTATTTAAGGTTGCTCTCAAGTTAGCGCTCCCTTAGGTAATGCCCTATGAGGGTAGCTGCTAATTCCATTCTGTCTGATAGAAGAGCCTCTTGAAGACAAAGATAATGACTGAGTTTAAGTTTTTTATTGCATAGAAATGAGCAATAAATAGATATTTATAGGTTTACTAAAACTTTAGTTTGCTGAACTTACCACTTTTAAAGTTAAACACTTTTAAGTTTATTTATTCCTCAAGTTAATGGTACTGGCACATTTCTAATTCTGAACAGATTACCTTGTGATTTCTGGTGTTATCCCAATAGCGAGATGAATTGTTTGGGCTTGTAATTCAGGTAGTACAATAGCATTAGGTGCTCATTTCCCAAGAACATGTGTTGGTATTAATGCACAATATAAGAAATTGGGTCCAGACCTAAGGATATGAAGGAAAACTTTAAGCTATTCTGGATTTAGCATGTTTAGGAGGAGTTACTATTTTGGTGCTAGAAAGCATTTTAGTATGCATGAGAACTGAAAAAATTCTTTAATAGAAAAATACAGCCTATTATTTAGTATCAAAGTCATAATTAATTAGAATTTTCTTAGAGTTTTGCTTTTAAAATCTGAATATTCTCTTTTTTTAACTTTATAGGCAGAACAGATTATATTTGATCACTTTTCTGATCCTAAATTTGTTGAACAGTTAATTACTTTTCTATCTTTAGAAGACAGAAAGGGAAAAGATAAGTTTAATCCTCGACGTTTTTGCCTCTTTAAGGTAATTATCTTGTTTATAAACTCTCCTTCATAAAGCTTAATGACTATTCAGTTTGTAGGGCCTTAAGTTTTAAATGTTTGATCAAAGTTTGAATTTAGCTTTAACTTCATCTAAAATGGCACTAGAATTTCTATCAGTTATACTGATCTTGGGTTAAGGTCCAAGAGTCTCTTCAAAAAACTAATGAACTGGGCCAGCAATGTGACATATCAAGTAAATTGGCCTTCTTCGACACTAGCATCACATATGGGTGCTGGTTCATGTCCCAGCTGCTCCACTTCCAATCCAGCTCCCTGCTAATGTGCCAGGGAGAGCAGCAGAGGATAGCTGCAGTGCTTGGGCCCCTGCACCCATGTGGGAGATCCAGAAGTAGTTCCTGACTCCCAGCTTCTGTGTGGCCCAATCTCGACTGTTAAAGCCATTTGGGGAGTGAACCAGCTGATGAAAGATTCTCTCTTTCTCTCTGTCTCGTCCTCTCTCTGTGTATACTCTGATTTTCAAAAAAAATCTTAAAAAAGGCTGGCACCGCGGCTCAATAGGCTTATCCTCCGCCTACGGGGCCAGCACCCTGGGTTCTAGTCCTGGTCCGGGCGCTGGATTCTGGCCCGGTTGCTCCTCTTCCAGTCTAGCTCTCTGCTGTGGCCCTGGGAGTGCAGTGGAGGATGGCCCAAGTGCTTGGGCCCTGCATCAGCACGGGAGACCAGGAGAAGCACCTGGCTCCTGGCTTCAGGTCAGCGCAGTGCGCCAGCCGCAGCACGCAGGCCATAGCGGCCATAGCGGCCATTTCGGGGGTGAACCAACGGAAAAAAGGAAGACCTTTCTCTCTGTGTCTCTCTCTATCTAACTGCCTGTTTAAAAAAAAAATAAAAAATAAAAATAAAAAAACTTTTTAGTGTTTATCTTTAATGTTTATAATTAGCACTGAAAGTAAAAAGCCAAAACAATGCTTTTTATGTTTGTTTTTTTGAGGTGTGATATTTTTAATGTCTTTTTCATATAAAATGGCAGTTTTCTTAGCAGTTTAACTTTGAGATTTTGTTAAAGCGGGTAAATTCTAAAGGGCAGAGGACTTGGTGTTTTATTTATTTATTTATTTATTTTGCCAGGCAGAGTTAGAGAGAGAGACAGAGAGTTATAGGCCATGAGAGAGAGAAAGCTCTTCCTTCCATTGGTTCACCCCCTTAATGGCCGCTGTGGCTGGTGCTGCTCCAATCCAAAGCCAGGAGCCAGGTGCTTCTTCCTGGTCTCCCATGCGGGTGCAGGGCCCAAGCACTTGGGCCATCCTCCACTGCACTCCCTGGCCACAGCAGAGAGCTGGACTGGAAGAGGAGCAACCAGGACAAAATCCGGCACCCCAACCGGGACTAGAACCCGGGGTGCCGGCGCCACAGGTGGAGGATTAGCCAAGTGAGCCATGGTGCCGGCCTGGACTTGGTGTTTTTAAGTGTAGTAGTAATGCAAAAAAAAAAAAAACTGTAGTCATTATGATTATAATTTAGATGATATTTGTGTTCTGAAAAACTTTTCTTGGTTTTTATAGGGTTTATTCCGAAATTTTGATGATGCCTTTCTGCCAGTTCTGAAGCCCCATTTAGAACGTTTGGTTGCCGATTCACATGAAAGTACCCAGCGATGCGTTGCAGAAATTATAGCTGGTTTAATCAGAGGTTCTAAGCATTGGACATTTGAAAAGGTGATGCATTTTTTACAGCATGTTTCTGTTAAAGCTGTGTTATTTATGTAGCTACTTCCAACACATTAGGCACTGATATTTAAAATATATGGTATTTGAGTCCATAAAATGTGCCAAATATGAATATATTGCTTTTCACTACATGTCAGAAGCTCAGTGATTTAGAGGTGATATTCAATATCCTTAAAAATTAAAATTATTTACTAACTGGTGGGGAAAGTCAGGATAAATTCTAGTTTCCTTTGGAAAAAAGGTGAAGATCCTAGAGCACTGGCCCTGTGTTATTGCTGCATCATTTAATTAGTGCTGCACATGATCTTTCATGGAGCCTCTCCAGCTTCTCATTAAACCCTTTGTGTTAGACTCCCTGCTTACCCACATTACTCATCTAGTCTTGTAGATAGTTTGAGTTTGAAACTCTTTTTTTTTTTAGAGTATCGCACTTTTGCATTTTAATATTTAATTTCCGTAGCTGCCTGTTAGCAAAATGCACCAGACTGAAAATAACCTGTGTAAGTATTGGGACTACCTGAAGTTGAGACAGGCCACTGTTTTTTCAAAAGTTCCAAATATGGATTTTGGCTAGCATTTATGAGGACTGTGAATATTTGTGCTCACATACAGTTCATGAAGCAATAAGACTGTGGACGCTTTTGCTTGCCAGCAACAGTTTTGGGGCAGGTAGTTGGTACAGTGGTTAAGACACCGCTTGGCATGCCCACATTCCATATTGGAGTACCTGAATTTGAGTCCTACTTCCAGTTCAGCTTCCTGCTAATGCACACCCTGGGATGCAGTAGGTGATGGCTCAAGTACTTGGGTTCTTGCCGCCCATATGAGAAACCCTGCTTGAGTTAAAGAGAGACAGTTTTCTTTAAAATACACATACATCGTTTTTATCCTGTCTTAATTATTAAGACCACTTCTGAATTTCTTATTTTCTAAAAACCTCTTTCTTACAATTGTTTGAGATAACATTTTTCTTTTCAATCAATGCCTGGTTCTACCACTGGACATCTTACCCCAATGTTGCCACCCTATTGGTGCTTTTTAACTAACTTGTGTTCCATGGGCCTGCAGCATGGGCAGATCTAGTGAGAAATAAGATCAAAGGTCCCAGTTGAAGTGAATTAGAATCTACTTTTTATGAAGATTTCAAGGTGATTTGTATACTCATTAACCTGTGAAAAATATCAATGCACAGTCTCTCTACAACTGAAAGATTTTCAAGGCTGTTTATAGTAACCTGATACTTTACAATTATGGATTATATCTCTGGCTAGTTACAAAATTGTATTAACATGACATTGCCTCCTATTTTAAGATTCAGTTGGGGCCAGTGCTGTGGTGTAGCAGGTTAAAGCCCTAGCCCACAGCATCAGCTTTCCATATGGGCACCGGTTCAAGTCCCAGCTGCTCCGCTTCTAATCCAGCTCTCTGCTGTGGCCTGGGAAAGCAGTGGAAGATGGCCCTGGTCCTTGGGCCCCTGCACCCACCTCAGAGACCTGGAGGAAGCTCCTGGCTCCTGGCTTCAGATCAGCTCAGCTTTCGCTGTTGTGGTCATTTGGGGAGTGAACCAGTGGGTGGAAGACCTCTTTCTCTCTGTCTCTTGCTCTACCTCTCTCTATAACTCTATCAAATAAATAATATAAAATCCTAAACACACACACAAAAGATTCAAGTGACCTGATAAGTTAACAAAACTTAAAATTGAGGTTTTGTTTCAGCCTAGCATACTGTTTTATTCAAAAATTTAAAAAGAGGACTTTTCAGTAGTGTGAGAGATTTTATAGGGAACTGTATAGAATTTCTTTTCTGAATAATTTTCTGGAAAAAAAAATTCACCTAGGGCTGGATTGTGTGATAATTTGGTAAAGTGCTTCCTTGGCTTATTTGGATGCTTTCAAGAATTTATTAAACTATTTATAAGTTTGTGTATACATTTCCAGGAAAAGATATTTGAAGAAAAATGTCATTAAGTCTTACCGTTGGACTTTGTTTTGAGCAGGTGGAGAAGCTTTGGGAGCTTTTGTGCCCTCTGCTTAGAACAGCATTGTCCAATATCACAGTGGAAACTTACAATGACTGGGGAACTTGTATAGCAACATCCTGTGTAAGTTCTCCTGCTTCCTCTGTCTAACTTTTCTTATTCTGCCTCATAGCATGTATGAAATCTCATCATACCTCTGAATCTTGAAATTGTATTCCCTCTTTTGTCATGTTACATAATTAGAGTTGGTTGAACATTCAGCCTTTCAAGTAAGCCTTGAGCAATAACTCTGCATGATTATTATTAATAGTCTGTGCTGTGGAAATGGCATTTTAAAATTAAATGAGTGAAATCATGTATTTGGAAATAAATGTAACTTACATGCAGTAAAAAACCAATATAATACAAGATTATAGGCAATTTTGACACCAAATATATCCATAGTTCATCTGTTGGTTTCAAGACAATCTGTTTAGCTAACATTTTTCTCATTATTTACATGAGCTATGGTAATTACATTTGGATGTGACTCACCTGTTAGCTTGATTTTCTTCCTTTGTTTCTATATGTATTTTTGATATATCCACAACTGGATGTTTTTTGTGTACAGATTTGTTGGTTCTCTACTCATGTGTTATTTTATATTTTCAACACAGGAAAGCAGAGATCCCCGGAAGCTTCACTGGCTTTTTGAGTTGCTCTTGGAATCACCATTGAGCGGTGAAGGAGGATCCTTTGTAGATGCATGGTAAATAAAAAGAAAACCTGTGGGGCCAGCACTATAGTATAGTGGGTAAAGCTATCACCTGCAACACCGGCATTCCGTATGGGCTCTGCTCTACTTCTGATCCAGCTCCCTGCTAATGTACCTAAGATAGCAGCAGAGCATGGTCCAGGTACTTGGGCCCCTGCATCCATATGCGAGACTGGAAGCAAGTTCCTGGCTCCCAGCTTCACTCTGGCCCAGCCTTGTCTGTTGTGGCCATTTGAGGAGTGATCCAGCAGATGGAAGATCTCTCCCTCTCCCTCTCTCTCTAGCTCTACCTTTCAAATAAATAAAAACCTTCTTTTAGAAAAAAAGTAAGGAGAAAGAAAACCTATGAGCTTAACATAATGTTAAGGTTTTGTGTTAAATTGATGTATGAATGGAAATGAGTTGTCTATATTTCTAAAGGCTAGATGAAGTTAATACTTTTGGAAGATAGTGTGATCCAGTTCAACAAAATAGGGTTAAAAAAATCATTTTAAGAAAAATGGGTTGGTGAAGAGATATGAAGCTGGAGAAAGTTAGTGGATAGAAAGAATTCTGGAAAATTCTGTTATGAAGAAGACTAGGTACTTCGTAAATTAGCTAGAAAACTTGAATCCTGATGCTTAAAGATTAACTCAATTAGTATTATTTTGTTTTTAAGAACTATTTATTTATTTGAAAGAGTTAGAGAGAGAGAGGGAGAGACAGAGGAATCTATCCGTTGGTTCACTCCCCAGCTGGTCACAATGGCCAGTGCTGGATCAGCCTGAAGCTGTGAGCTAGGACCTTCATCTAGGTCTCCTATGTGGGTGGCAGGGGCCCAAAAACTTGGGCCATCTTCTGGTGCTTTCCCAAGCCATTATTAGCAGGGAGTTGAATTGGAAATGCAACAGCTGGGACACAAACCAGTGCTCATTTGAGATGCCAGTGTTGCAGGCAGCAACTTTACCCACTATGCCAGAATTCCGGCCCCTCAATTAGTCTTAAGTCAGTGTGTCTTGTGATTCTATAGTAGTAGAGATAAAATACACATGCAGAAAAAAATGAAATTTTCATAAAGATGCTATTTTGATTTGTAGATATTCATTAGAAGAGAAAATAGACCAGTTTTAAGTGAGATACAGACATTATTTGTTGCCAATATGTAAAGGCAGAAATGGGCTCTTAACATATCATTCCTGTGCTTGAATTTTAGTCGACTTTATGTCCTACAAGGTGGCCTTGCCCAGCAGGAATGGAGAGTACCTGAGCTATTGCACAGACTACTGAAGTACTTGGAACCCAAACTCACCCAGGTTTACAAAAATGTCAGGGAAAGAATAGGGAGGTAAGTACTGTTTTCTCTGTGGATGGCAGATCTCTTCAGTCCTTGTATGGAATTTTAATGTCTAACAATACATGTTGATTGTGAGCTTGTAGTGTCTTATGCCTTAAATTTTGTTTACTATTGTGTTATGAGAAACAGGATCCTCTAAACTTTAACCAAGAATTGTCTTGGGAAGATGTACTTTCCTTGAGTCGTAACATTTGAGCCTCAATTTTACTGATTATGTTGAAGTTCTTCTTACTATTATGTATTTTATTATACAGTGTGCTGACCTACATATTCATGATAGATGTGTCTTTGCCAAATACTGCGCCAACAACATCCCCTTGTGTCCCTGAGTTTACTGCTCGAATTCTTGACAAATTGAAACCTCTCATGGATGTGGATGAAGAAATTCAGAATCATGTCCTGGAAGAAAATGGAATTGGTGAAGAAGATGAACGAACTCAGGGCATTAAACTCTTAAAAACCAGTGAGTGGCTAAAATCAGCAGAAATTTACTTAAAACATTTATTTTGATTCTCCTGTGTGTTTATTTCCCATACTTCTTAATTTAATTTTTTTGCTTTTAGTTAAAATTCGTGTAATATAAAATTTGCTGTTTTAACCAGTCTTAAATGTACAGTTAGATGACAGTAAGTAACATTCACTCTGTTGTGCATCACCACTATCCGTTTCCGGAATTCTCTTACAGAACTGAAACTCTGTCCCCGGTAAACAATAACTTAGCATTCTCCCCTCTTCTCTCATAGTCCCTAACAACCACGATTCCACTTCCTCTAAAAGAATTTTCCTGTTCTAGGAAGCACATGTCAGTCAACTTGTACAGTGTTCTTCCTTTTGTGCCTGGCTTATTTTACTTTGCATAATATTTTCAAGGTGGATCCATGTTTTTGCATGAGTCAGAAACTCATTCCTACTGCATTTTCTTTGTACATTTATCTGTTGATGGACATTTTGGTTTTCTATGTTTTGGCTTTTGTGAATAATGCTCCTATGAGCATTGATGTGTAAGTGTTAGAGTCTGTACTTTAAATTTTGGGGGATATTTAACTAAAAGTGGAACTTGGTATACCATATGGTATTTCTTTTTTTTAATATTTATTTGAAAGGCAGAGTTACAGAGAGGCAGAGGCAGAGAGAGTGAGAGGTCTTCCATCTGCTGGTTCTCTCCCCAAATGGCTGCAACAGCTGTAGCTGGGCCAATCCAAAGTCAGGAGCCAGGAGCTTTTTCTGGGTATCCCACATGAGTGTAGGGGCCCAAGCATTGGGCCGTCTTCTGTTGCTTTCCCAGGCACATTAGCTGAGAGCTGGATCAGAAGAGGAGCAGCCAGGACCTGAACTGGTACCCATATAGGATGCCAGAGCCACAGGCTAAGGCTTAGTCCGCTGTGCCTCAGTGCTGGCCCCTTTCTTGTGCTTTTTGACTTGAGTCTTTTTTGGAGAAATGTGTTCTTAAGTCCTTATCCCATTTTTGAAATAGGTTGTTTTGTTGTTGAGTTGCAGCTCTTTGTTTTGGCTATCAGTTCCTCGGCAGATACATGATTTCCAAATATTTTCTCTGTGGATTAATTTTTTACTCTCTTGATAACTGTCCCTTTATATCTTGAAAATCATTGCCAAATCCCAAAGTAAAAGATTTTTATAATCTTTTCTTAGTTTTTTTTTAATGCACTGAGTAAATGGTTTGTATATAAGTGTAAAGTAGGGGGTCCGATTTGATTTTTTGCATAGGAGCAGTTTTCCCAACACCATCTGTTGGAAAGACTATCCTTTCTCCATTGAATAGACTTGGCATTCTTGTCAGAGATTAATTGGTCACATTATAAGAGTTTGTTTCTGGCTTCTCTCTTCTGTGCCATTAGGCTTATGCCTCCCTAATGCTAGTAACCACACTGTTGATTTCTCGAACTGTGTAGTAAGTTTCTAAATCTGGGAGTATAAATCCTCCAACTTTTTCAGAATTTTTTTGGCAACTGGGGATAATGTGTTGTTTTTATATTTAAAAATTTTTCAAGAATTCTAAGTATGAACCCCTTGGCCAGTATTTTAACTGCCTTAGAGTTATTGAAGGCTAGTTCATTTGGTATAGGTACTTGGTGGGCTGTTAGTAATTTACAGATTTATTCTTCAGGAGTGTCTTTAGTACCCTGGCTTGGCTGACACTCTATCATGAGTCCTGTCATACTAGTGATGAATCAGTGTCTGATTTATGAAGTAGCATAGGTTATCTGTTAGAACATTGATGAGATACTAGAGTTGCTGTCTGACAAAAGGGTTACAGTGCTACTCTGCTTTGGTCTCTAATTAGATAGCAAAAACTGATTCTACATATTTGCTTCTGAATAGTATTGAAATGGCTGATGGCAAGTGCTGGACGATCATTCTCTACAGCTGTCACAGAGCAACTTCAGCTTCTACCTTTGTTTTTTAAGGTAAGGATAACCCATTATGCCACAATGCCAGCCCCAGAATTCATGCTGTTAACCACTATTCTACCTGCCTCTCATTATCTACATAATGGACAGCTGAAATTAAAGCGAACATCTATGACTAGAAACTAAATTAGATACTTAATCCTAGCAGCCAATTAAAGAAGAGTACGGATTCCTACTCACCTGGAAAAGTGTATAATGTATTGATTAGGTACAATAAAAGGGAAGCACAGAGAATTTGACATGATCCTATTAAAGATAACTTTCAGGAAACAGTATCTGGAGAAACAAATAAAACTACAAACATTAGCTTTCTGTAGCTTTCTATGTGCTCAACTCCCTAATCTATGAACATTGGTTTAATCCTTGAAACTTTTTTTCCATCTATATCCACTCCCCTGATGATTTTATTTGTCTCAGTTTTAAATATCATCTGTTGTGTTAATGACACCCAAGTTTGTACCATCACACTGAACTCCAAATGCCCACTCATCTTCACCTACAAGCAACATCACATTATAAACATTTTCCCTCATCAATTTTATAAGCATCTCAAATTTGTTCCAAACAATTTCTGATTTTCTCTTGAACTACCCCTATTAATGTGCTCCTCTTAGTTGAGTAAGTTTCTTTTAAACTCTTTTGTATGTTTACATTCTGTACATCTGATCTGTAAAACAGCTGTGCTATGATGCCATGAACTCCATTTATCAATGATTGTCTAAAGCAGATCTTCAACTTCAGTATTAGTAGTGTATCCAGCTAAGATTATAGATACGTCATTAGTAACATCTGTGGTGTAGCTGCTGATGATTTGTTTTTCTGTTTTTGAAAACTGATTTTTAAATTTATTTGAAAGGCACAGTGATGACAGCTAGAAACAGTTTTTCCATCCACTGGATCACTCCCCGCAAAACACATCTACCTGCTCAAACTGTTACCATTGTTTGGTGTGGTTGAAAAAAAAACTTATCAAGATAGCATAATAAAATATTTATGGTTCAAGTGTGTGCTGGATTTGCTTCAGATAATTTAGTTGAGGGAAAAGGAGTCAGGAGCAGAAAATGAAGCAAAAAGGTTGTCCATGAATTTGTCATTATTGAAGTTGTAGGGGAGGGGATGGGTTCATTACGCCATTCTCTAGTTGTGTGTGTGTTTGAAATTTTTCATAGAAGTTGTTAAAAGTGAAAATGTGATTTATTTCATGTGAGATGTCTTTGTACTTACTGGCAGTTATTTTTCAATTTGTCTTTTCTCTTTTAATTGTTATAGATTGCTCCAGTAGAAAATGACAATAGCTATGATGAGCTGAAGAGAGATGCAAAGTTATGTTTATCACTAATGTCTCAGGGGTTGCTTTACCCTCATCAAGTGCCTTTGGTACTTCAGGTGCTAAAACAAGTAAGAATGTATAACTATAATATTTACATGTTTTGGTTAAGAACCCAAAGAATTTCATAATGTCAACTGTAATACACATAATACCTCTTTCACCTATTTTTTTGTTTTTGCTTTTGTTTTCAATTTTCTTTCAGTATAAGAGAGATGTATTTTTTATATTAAGATTTATTTATTTATTTAAAAGTCATTTACAGAGAGAGAGAGAGAGGTCTTCCATCCGATGATTCACTCCCCAGGTGGCCGCAATGGCCAGAGCTACACCAATCCGAAGCTAGGAGCTTCTTTTCTTTTTTTTTTTTTTTGACAGGCAGAGTGGACAGAGAGAGAGACAGAGAGAAAGGTCTTCCTTTGCCTTTGGTTCACCCCCCAATGGCTGCTGCAGCCGGCGTACTGCGCCAATCCAAAGCCAGGAGCCAGGTGCTTCTCCTGGTCTCCCATGGGGTGCAGGGCCCAAGGACTTGGGCCATCTTCCACTGCACTTCCGGGCCACAGCAGATAGTTGGACAGGAAGAGGAGTGACCAGGGCAGAATCCAGCGCCCCAACCGGGACTAGAACCCTGGGTGCCGGTGCCACAGGCAGAGGATTAGCCTATTGAGCTGCGGTGCCGGCCGCCAGGAGCTGCTTCTGGGTCTCCCACGTGGGTGCAGGGGCCCAAGGACCTGGGCCATCTTCTGCTTTCCCAGGCCATAGCAGAGAGCTGGATTGGAAGTGGAGCAGCCGGGTCTCGAACCGGTGCCCATATGGGATGCCGGCGCTTCAGGCCAGGGTGTTAACCTGCTGTGCCACAGCACCAGTCCCAGAGAGATGTGGGGAGCAACCCGGACTAGACTGTTACTCGAATTAAGACTTATTCTATGCACCTGCTCTCCCACAATATGGCGCTGGGAGAGGAGAAAACAGCTTCTACCCAGCTGCCTCCAGTTCAACCAATAAACAGCAGGACCTGCTCCTGATTGGAGGAGAGCAGCGTACTCGGCGTGTGGGCAGCCGAGTTAGGATTGGCAGAGGAGGACTATAAAGGAGGAGAGAGACGGCATGCACCAGGAACATCTATGGGGAACATCTAAGGGGAACACCTGTGCAGCCCCCGAGAGAGCCGGCCAGCGGTGTGCCGCTCCCCTGCGGAAGTGGGGAATGTGGCCAGGGGGAACTGCCCTTCCACGGAGGTGGAAGGGACAGTAGCCAACCCGGGAAGAACCAGCAGCAAACCCGGGGAGGGCCGAGCAGACGAAAGAACAGCGCAGGGTCCTGTGTCGTTCCTCCACGAAGAGGGGGAGCGACATAATGGTGCCGTGACTCGGATGTGAAGCCTAGGCAGGGCTTGGTGTCGTTCCTCCACGAAGAGGGGGAGCGACAGAGAGATGTATTTATTATCCAAAGAAGCAGACCTAGATTCTATACCTAGCTCGGCCACCAACTTCTATGGACTTGCACAAGTCATACAAGCCAAAAATTGCATATATGAACAAAGAGCTACTTAAGCATCTTCTATACAAAGTGCTTATGAAGAAAGGGGATGGCAGTTCTGTTTTACCATGTCTCCTGTGTTTTATTCACTTCTGTTTCCTGGTCTGTGCTAAAGAGACATACAGTGATTCTGTATTTTCTAACTACATTATTAGTGTATTGTAAATGTAGCTTTATCCAGGTCATACACATGTAATACTCATATAAAAGTGGACTTATTCCCATAGCTTTTAAGTTTGACTGCCATTGAAAATTATTTAACAATCTAAAATAACTTGCTTTTTTATAATGGATTTAGTAATTTTTAGTCTTGTTTGCTTTTAACACCCTACCTGAGGCTACCAAAAAGTAAAATATATAACCTTTCGAGGATTGAAGAGCCTTTAACCACGAGTAGTTTCTCTTCTATTCATTTTTATTGAAGTGTTTCTTTTCCTACTCTCAACCACATTTATTCATTCTGAATAAGTACCTGAAACAGCTCATTCAACATTTTAGAAGGAAATGTAAGACTAACTTGCCCTAATTAAACATACTATGAAAATAGAATTAAATGATGACCTTATTTGTGTGTGGTGTTACTATCTGCCATTTTATGTTCTTGTTCATTTTCAGTGTACTTATTTCTCATTCACAGACAGCAAGGAGCAGTTCGTGGCATGCAAGATACACAGTACTGACCTACCTCCAGACCATGGTATTTTATAACCTCTTTATTTTCCTAAACAATGAAGATGCAGTTAAAGACATCAGGTGGCTGATTATAAGTCTTTTGGAGGATGAACAACTAGAGGTAAAGTTTAGGTTACAGCAAATAAAAAATCAGTTATTTTAAAGAAACCCTCATGTTCACCACTTTGAGGAATTATTCGCACACAGATAAGATATATTTTAAGATTTATGTATTTTGAAATTCAGAGTTAGAGTGAGAGAGAGAGAGAAAGTGATCTTCCATCCACTGGTTCACTTCTCATATGTCCGCAATGGCCAGCATTGGGCCAGGCTGAAGCCAGAAGCCAGAATCTTCATTCTGGTCTCCCACATGGGTGGCAAGGACCCATACACTTGAGCCATCCTCTACTGCTTTTCCCAGGCCATTAGCAGGCAGCTGGATCAGAAGCAGAGCAGCCAGGACAGAACCAGTTCCCATTTGGGATGATAGCATAGCTGGCAGCAGTTCTACCTACTATGCCACAATGCCAGCCTCAAGATGTATTATATAAGATAAATTACTAAAAGTAACTGTTTAGTTTTAACTAACACTTAGTAGTTTTGATATACTAATCATGATTTCCCGTAGTATAAACATTGCACATGTTCTTGTTATGTCTTCTCTTTGCATTGAGAGCACTGAGAATAGATTTTATCCATAGGAAACTGGGAATGAAAATTTCTCCACTTCCTTGATAAACCTATCCAGTTTTCTTGTGTTCTGAGAGTGAGTGTAGTCTAGTCCCTAGAGTACTGACAAGCTGAATTTGATTTCTTTTATAGTTTTTAAAGCTGAAGTAATAGAAATGGAAAAGTGGAAATTTCAAAAATAACTGTTCTAACTTTAATTATTAATAATACTTACATTAAAATTTGTAGTTTTCAGAGGTCTACTCTGTGGCATAGAAGGTTAAGCTTCTGCCTGCAGTGCCACCATCCCATATGGACACTGGCTCAACTCCCAGCTGCTCCACTTCTGATCCAGCTCCCTGCTAATGCACCTAGGAAAGCAACAGAAGATGGTCCAAGTACTTGGGTCCAGGCACCCACAAAAGATACCTTGAAGAAGCTCTTAGCTCCTGGCTTTGGCCTGGCCCCACCCTAGCCTTTGCAGGCATTTGGGAAGTAAACCAGTGGATAGCAGAGTTCTCTCTGTCTCCTCCTTTCTGTATCTCTGCTTTTCAAATAAATAAATAAATCTTTAAAAAATATGGTTTTTCAGAGCTTCTTTTAAAACATTTTTATAGCTTATTCTATATGGTAGGTTTAAAATAGCTGTTCTAACTTTGACATTTATTAAAGTCATCATATTTTTAAAGCAACATGTGATACTAAATAATAGTAATGATGAGCTAAATCTTATTCAGGGTAGCATTGGGGAAAAATACTTGGTAATCTAAACGAGAACTGCTTTTTAAACCTTTCTCGATTTAAAGGAAAATTTTTAGCAGTGGTGGAAGATAGTATGTTTATGGGTGGGAAAGCTAAATAGAGTCTTTTTTCTTACCTTCTGAAATTAATGCTTCAAAATGTTCATGGAAAATGAAATTAAAAGTTAAGTTTGGGGCTAGTGTTGTGGTGTAGTGTATTAAGCTGCTGCCTGCAACTCTGGCATCCTATGAGAGTGCCTTTGACCGACTCCAGCTCTCCCTCTCTCTCCCTCTGCCTTTCAAATAACTAATCAATCCTTTTTTTAAAAAAGTGAAAGTGTACATAGCTTTGGATTAGTAATCCTAATTCTTGTAATCTATCAAAAGAAAATATTCTACAATATGACAAAAGTTATGAATTAGGAATATTGTATAGTATATAGGTAGTAAGAAGTTGAAAGTATTCTAATCAATAAGTAAGTATAAGAACAAATCAGCGGGCCGGCGCCGTGGATCAATAGGCTAATCCTCCACCTTGCGGCGCTGGCACACCGGGTTCTAGTCCCAGTCGGGGCGCCGGATTCTGTCCCGGTTGCCCCTCTTCCAGGCCAGCTCTCTGCTATGGCCAGGGAGTGCAGTGGAGGATGGCCCAGGTGCTTGGGCCCTGCACCCCATGGGAGACCAGGAAAAGCACCTGGATCCTGGCTCCTGCCATCGGATCAGCACGGTGCGCCGGCTGCAGCGGCGGCCATTGGAGGGTGAACCAACGGCAAAGGAAGACCTTTCTCTCTCTGTCTCTCTCTCTCACTGTCCACTCTGCCTGTCAAAAAAAAAAAAAAAAAAAAAAAAAATCAGGGTGGAATAGTGTTTCGTAGCAGCTTAAGCCATCAGCTGGAATACCCATGTCCCATATTGGAGCACGTAGGATCAAGTCCTGCCTCTGCTTCCAATCCAACTTCTGCTAACACACACCTTGGGAGACAACAGATGATGGCTCAAATACTTGGGTTACTGCCACCCAGGTAGAGCTCCAGGCTCCTAGCTTTGACTTGACCCAGCCTCACCTGTGGTGGTTATCTGGGGACTGGACCAGTAGATGGAAGATTTGCTGTTGTTTTTCCTTAAAAATAAAAATTAAAAATCGCAGTATGTAAATTTTATGGGAAATAATGTATCCAAAACACAGTAGTGATGAAAAACATACAAATGACCTTTAGAAGGAATAGAGAGTAAAATATTTGTTCTTTTAAATTATTATGTCTTTTTGAATATTGGGCAGGAAGTTTTGAGATTTATATTCAAGAAGATGACTTACTACTGTCTTTTTTTTTTTTACTTTCCCAAACTGGAATTTCCAGTTTGAAATGAACCATTATTTAGTGCTCATGTGAATTGTGTTTGTGGTCTGACAGTAGCCATTGAAACTCAGTTATCTACAGTGTATATCAGTTTTAAAAATAGGATGAGATTCTTCATTTTTTTACCAACAGAAACAACTACAGCAGTGGCTTTAAGAGTTGTGGAATCTAGGAAAACTTTATTTTAGTGTCAGGCTGTGGCACTGCTTTTATAGTTAAAAGCAGAGATAGATCTTCCATCTGCTGATTCACTCCCCAGATGGCTACAAACACCAGGTCTGGGCCAGGCTGAAGCCCAGGAGTTTCATCCAGGCACCCAAATCGAGTGCAGGGGCCCAAGCACTTGGGCCATCTTCACCTGCTTTTCCCATGCCGTTAACAGGGAGCTGGATCACAAGTGAAGCACCCAGAACTTGAATTGGCAACTGCATGGTTTGCTGATGTTGCAGGTGGGGGGCTTTACCTGCTATGCCACAACACCAGCCCCCCTAATGTAGCTTTTATCCCTGTTCAGGCCACAGATCCTTGAGAATCTGAAATTGCTATCAACAAACTGCCAAAGAGTATATGCAAAATTTGCACACATTATCAGTTCCCACACTACTCTGTGTCCTTCATTATTCTCTCAGAATAAAGATCTCAATTCTAATAAAAGTTATCTCTGCAGGTTCGGGAAATGGCCGCTACCACCTTAAGTGGTCTGTTACAGTGTAATTTCCTTACCATGGACAGTCCTATGCAGATTCATTTTGAGCAACTTTGCAAAACAAAACTACCTAAGAAAAGAAAGCGAGACCCTGGTTCTGTAGGAGATACCATCCCTTCTGCAGGTAACATTGGTGGTAGAGAACACCCATATTCTTTTGGGAATTAGTTTTAACCAGGTTTACTGACCAGATATTTATAGTATTTGTACACAGGTCTGTTCAGGGATCACATTCCTGCTTTGGAAGAGTTTTGCATATAAAAGGCAGGACCTGGAATATGAAAGCTAAAATTGAGATAGATAGGTACAAAAGAACCTGTACACTCCTGCATACAATTATTCTAATAAATCAAGTGTACCTCTAACCCAAAAAGAGATCCAACAGTTAGTTGTAAGTAGGAAATTTTTGAATTTGTGTGACATAGTTGGATATGAAGCTCTTAAGTGCTGATATTAGAATCTTCATATAGATACCTAATAGCAAAGTGTTTTTTAGTTTTCTTTTAAATTTTATTATTTAATTTTATTTAAGTTGTTTAAATGTCATGTATTTCATATACACATATTTAGGAACATAGTGATACTTCCCACCCTAACCTCCCTTCCACAAACCCTCCAACCCTTCTTCCTCCTCTCTCTCCCATTCCTACTCTTTTTTTTTTTTTTTTAATGAACATAAATTTCCAAAGTACAGCTTATGGATTACAATGGCTCCCCCCCCCATAACTTCCCTCCCACCCACAATGCTCCCCTCTCCCCTTCACACCAAGATTTTCAATTATCTTTATATACAGAAGATGAATTTAGCATATATTAAGTAAAGATTTCCACATTTTGCACCCACACTGAAACACAAAGTGTAAAATACTATTTGAGTACTAGTTATAGCATTAATTAAACACCTAAGAGTAATTGTGTATTAATTACAGAGTTCAACCAATAGTTTTAAGTAGAACATAAAATGCAGCTTTTGTATTGTTGTGGCTTCCCCCCCCACCCCCAACCTCCCTCCCTCCCGTGGCCTTCCCCTCTCCCACTCCCTCTCCCATCCCACCCTTCATCACATTTCATTTTCAATTACCTTCATATACTGAGGATCAGCTTAGTATATACTAAGCAGGGATTTCAACAGGCTGCACTCACACAACCGAACCAGGTATAGGGTATTGTTCGACTAGTAGTGTTGTTTTTAAGTTTCATAGTTAAACACATTAAGGACAGAGATCCTACATGGGGCGCATGAACCCAGTGACTCCTGTTGTTGATTTAACAATTGACACTCTTATTTGTGATGTCAGCAATCACCTGAGACTCTTGCTATGAGCTGTCTAGGCTATGGAAGCCCCTTGAGTTGACCAACTCTACTTGATTAGTCAAGGTGGTATCACAGTGGAGGTTCCTTCCTCCCTTCAGAGAAAGGCGCCTCTCTCCTTGATGGCCTGATCCTTCTGCTGGGGTCTTGTTCACCAGGATGTTTCATTTAGATTGTTTTTTGCCACCGTGTCATGGCTTTCCATGCCTGTGAGACTCTCATGGACCTTTTAGTCAGATCCGAATGTCCCAAGGGTTGATTCTGAGGCAGGAGTGCTGTTTTGGGCGTTTGCCATTCTATGCCCACTCTTAACTTTTACAAAGACCTATTTTCTGTTTACTTAATGATCATCAAGCTAACCCTACACTAAGTAAAAGAGTTGAACAAATAGTATGAAGAAAAAAAACACTATACTTGAACAGAAGAGACAAGAGCTGTAAATAATCATCAAGCAAAGTCTAATAGAATAGCAATGTACATTCCAGTTTCTCTGTTGAGAGCTATGTTTTTATTATTTTTAGGTCTTATTTGTACCAGGTGACATCATTTACAATTGGTTACTCTAATAATTTTTCTTAGATCCAACTCCCTGTGCTCCATGTTTCATGTGTATGCATATAATATACTTACAGACACTCTATGTATTAAGAAACAGAATCTGGAAAGCACTTTTAACATATTCTGCTACAGAAAGAATAGAGAACCATTAGAATACAAACACATTGCAGTTCTGTTTTGAGAACTTAAATGATGTGTTTACCTGTTGAACTGATGCATTCTCTGTTGGGGGTAGTCACATCCACAGAAATGTTTACCTTATTGGAGATTGTTTTAAGGTCAGGGTTTCCACTTTTGAATACAAATAAATTGATTAGAAAAGACATTACTCTGTTAGATTTTAACAAGTCCTAGCTAATACTAGTTGCCCTAGGTACAATTATGCTGTCATTGAGCAACATAGGATGTCTGGACAAATTCTTAAGTATAGAGTTATTTTTAGTGCAGTCTCAAAGTCATGTTTTTGATATGTGATTATGCAGATTGATTTCAAATGTAGATATTCACACACTGGAAATAACTAGCATAATTAAAAACCACATTTCACTGTAACACATGCATAGATACTATAAATGTTTGCACATATATTACTAGGTGTTTTTTTGTTTTTGTTTTTGTTTTTTTTGCGGCTTTTTTTTTTCTTGCAGAGTTGGTCAAACGCCATGCCGGGGTGTTAGGACTTGGTGCATGTGTTCTTTCCAGTCCTTATAATGTTCCCACCTGGATGCCCCAGCTGCTTATGAATCTCAGTGCACATCTGAATGACCCTCAGCCTATTGAGGTATAATTCTTCTTTTTAGTTTTTTTGCACATAGAGTTTCAGTGATGTCTTATAAGAAATCATTTATAGGCCGGTGCCGCGGCTCACTATGCTAATACTCCACCTGCGGCGCCGGCACACCGGGTTCTAGTCCCAGTCAGGGCGCCAGATTCTGTCCCGGTCGCTCCTCTTCCTGTCCAGCGCTCTGCTGTGGCCCACGAGTGCAGTGGAGGATGACCCGAGTCCTTGGGCTCTGCACCCACATGGGAGACCAGGAGAAGCACCTGGCTCCTGGCTTCGGATCAGCGCGGGACGCCGGTCGCAGCACGCCAGCCACAGCGGCCATTATGGGGTGAACCAACGGAAAAAAGGAGGACCTTTCTCTCTGTCTCTCTCACTATCCACTCTGTCAAAAAAAAAAAAAAAAATCATTTATAGTAAATTCCTGTACACTCTGAACTTTTTGCTTTGCTGAAGCTCCTGCCTTTAACAAGAGCAATTCTGATCTCCACTAATTATTAAAATCCTGTAGGGATCTTATTCCCTGTATATTTGAGATCTTTTGATAGCAAAAATTATTTTACTTTCCAGTCCAATGGAAATACCATATTAACAGTGTCAGAATTGTCCGATTTCATGCTTCTGTTATTTCTAACATTTTATAGCTGGAAACTGTCTTACTAGAAACAAATGTTAAAATAGGAACTTCCATGGTGTTACTTAGTAGTGAACCTGGGTTACACAGCTCAGAATATCAATGACTTAGTCTGTCTCACCTTTATAAAAGGATGTATATGTACGTTGCAGCTTGTTTAATGATGTAATGTAAATTCCAGTGGTTTGTCCTAAAGTAAAGCTAGTAATTCTTCAGTGTTGCTGTCTTGCAGAAGTAAAATTGACTTGTTGGTTTTATAGTATTTGGTGATGGGTAATTTTAAATTCTAGAGGGATTGTTACTTAGCTGAAGGTATCCGTTATAGAATTCCTGTTTTTAGATGTTAAAATGTCTGTGGGTTGTCTATTCCACAGATGACTGTAAAAAAGACCTTATCCAATTTCCGAAGGACACACCATGACAACTGGCAAGAACACAAACAGCAGTTCACTGATGACCAGCTGCTAGTTCTCACTGATCTCCTTGTGTCACCATGCTATTATGCGTAGAAGGGTAAGTCAGCAAACCTGGGTTTCAAAAAGCAACATCCTCAGGCAGATGCCATTGGTTTTGTGACTGATAGTGGGTATGCATCGGGATTTGTTTATTTGTTTTGATTGGTTGTTTTTGGTTTTTCCTGACATTCTTAGATGATACTGTTTAGGTGGGGGAAGGGGCTTATTTGTTTAATTTTAGTTACTTTTGAGGCAAAAAGAGATCTCCCATCCACAGGTTCACTCACACTGACCAGAACTGGACCAGGCTGAAGCTATGAGCCAGGAACTCAGTCCAGGAGTCTCATGTGGGGAGGAGGGACCCAGCTACTTGAGCCATCACCAGCAGCCTGCCAGGGTGCACATTAACAGGAGGCTGGACAGGAGCAAAGGCAGGACTCGAACCCAGCCATTGTGACATAGGATGCAGATGTCCAAAACAGTGACTAAACCAGGCACCTGCTCCCTGCCCACTCCCATGTTTGTTTTTCAGCATGCTTTGTTGTGGCTGGTGGAAGTACATTCCCAGAGACTGTCTGCTTCAGACATTAAGCAGAGGATGGATGTTACTGCTTTTAGACCTTTATAAATGAGTTGTCTTAGTAGGCTGGGTCCACGTTGGAAAGAAATGATATTCTGAGTTGCCTCTTAAGTAGGGTCTGCACATTTTGAGTTCCCTTGGAAACTCTGGGTAGTACAGTTAGGAGAATGTTTCATAGGGATTCTTAAATACTTGTTACCTATTCTCTCTAAAAAGGGAGGACCTACCAGGATAAAAAGAATAGATAGTTTCATTTATTGAGCTTTTAGAATTGAATGTCCTGTTACCTAATTGAATTTTTTTCTCTCTGATGCAGATGACTAGTCCTCACTTCAGGCTCTTCTCATCAAAAATTCCAGATCCTCAGGTACCATCTGTGGTGGCTCTCAGCAGGCTTGAAAACTCTGCCTCTTTTGAGCTCTCATCATTTTGGTGGTTTCTGTGTTTGGTCTCACTAGTCTGCGTTCCACAGGTTCTCAGCTGCCATTTTATTTCCTAATTTGTCTGGAAGTGTTTCCAGAATATTGATCACTTTTCCTTTGAGGCATCAAAGTCACAAAGTTTCAGACTAGAAATTATTACTCAGTATGATCATGGCGTCCAAAACCAAACAAAATCTAAGAGCTCATGAAGAAACAGTTGATTGGAATGGAGACTATCCATCAGTAGTACAGGTCCTGTCATTTCATTCATCTCAAATGATTTTGAATTCTTCCCAAACAGATGTTAGGTGTAGATGGTAGTAGGGCTATGGGCCATAAATCTGAAGCCTTGGGTCTGGAGAACCATGAAGAGAGAAGGAAAAGAGGACAAGTCTTGAACCTAACTAGTGGATACCTGACAGATTGCTTGACTAAGGCACAGGAGTGAAGTCTGTGTCTGCGCACTTCCCACAGACTGGAGTTTTTGGTGCTGAATAGAGCCAGTTGCTAAAAACTGGGGGTTTGGTGAATACATTTTTGATTGAGTGTTCTGTGTGTATACAATGTGTGATTTTGAAAATAAACAGCAACAACAATGAAAACCCTGACTGGTTGATTTTTACCTATATTCTTTCTAAATACTGTTTGAACCCTCTTTGAAAACTGTTGTACTTCACGTAAATGGAAGACTGCTGTGTTGTGGAAATTCTGTAATTTTTTTTTCTTTCTGTCTGTTTCTTTTGCTTGCAGAATCGCTGAGAGACTAATAAGGCTTGATATTTAATTGACTGGTTTAATATATGTTACATAGATGTAAAAGATTGTATAAACTGTAGAGATAGCATTGGCAAGACTTTGTACAGATGGAACAAACCTTTTACACAACACATTGTAATTAATTTGTAAAGATTCACATGTAGTTCTTATAGTGATTTTTGAGCTTTTGTACCCACTGAATGCCTTTTTTTGTGTTTTTAAATTATTTTCTTTATCTTTTCATGTTACAGAAGCTTAAGTGTGGGGGTTTTGGTTTTGGTTTTTTTTAAATTCATTTATCATTAGAATGTCTGAATTTTTATGTAACTTGTGTGTGCATCTCTAAATGCTAACACCACATGTTTGCCTATGACAAGTTAATTGAGTGCAAGGTATCTTCTAGATTGAAGTAATTCACAAGTTGGGGATTGTCATCTTGCAACACAACCTGTACAGTCTTCCTTAAAGGAACACTACAGTATATTTTTTAGTATCTACTTGCTAAATGACTCAATACAGATCTAAGCACAGCAGTGGTTCTGGTACAGTATTTAAGTGTCAGCATACACAGGCATAATCCCTGTATAGAGTAGTGCCAAACTGATTATTTCAATTGTGTAACTAGTTTAAAACCTAATAAATGGATTGTTTTTAACACCTGGCTTTTGTCTTGATTAAGAGGAGAAGGCAGTTGTGTAGACTTTTATTTTATTCTTTTAATTCATTTATTTATCTGGAAGACAGAGACTTCATCCACTGGTTGTCTCCCCAAATGGCCAGGGCTGGACCTCCCATGTAGGTGGCAGGGACCCACATAGTTGAGTCATCTTCCGCTACCTTTCCAGGCACATTAGTTGGCAAAGAGCTGTATTGTAAGTGAATCAGCTAGGACTCAAACCATCCTTCGAGTACGGGATACTGGTGTCACAGGCAGCAGCTTAACTTGCTGTGCTACAACACCAGCCTCTATGGACTCCTCTTGGAGCCTCAGGTGTTAATTCACACCCTGAAACCAATATGAATGCTCTATATCTTTACTGGCCAGTAGCTACCAGCAACATGGGAGTATTTACATTTAATTAAATAAATGATTCCCTAAGTCTCACCAGGCACATTTCAAATTATTATTTTCACTATATGTGGCAAGTGATTATACCACATTGAATAGCACAATTGAATTTTTCCAACAGCACTGGACAGCACTGGCCTGAATGATTGGTTCTCAGACTAATGTGCACAAAGATGATGTGGGCTTTTTGGAATTATTACCTTAATGTTTCCCCCAAATTATACCGTAAATTACTGAAGTTTTCTACCAGTGGCCTCAGGAATGAAAAAGAGTGGAACGGCAGTTGTCTAAAATGGTTCTTAAAGTGTATGGTGTGGGCCTGGCGCTGTGGTGTAGTGGATAAGACTGCTGCCTGCAGTGCTGGCATCCCATAGGGGCACCGGTTCGAGTCCTGGGTGCTCTACCTCAGATCCAGCTCTCTGCTAGGGCCTGGGAAAGCAGTAGAGGATGGCTCAAGTCCTTGGGCCTCTGCACCTGTGTGGGTGACTTGGAGGAAGCTCCGAGCTTTGGATCAGCACAGCTCTGGCCATTGTGACCATCTGGGGAGTGAACCAGTAGATGGATGACCTCTCTCTCTGCCTTTCAAATAAATTTTTTAAAAAATAATAAAATGTATGGTACATTAGCAAGGGTGGAGATGGATGGAGCAGGAACACTAAGGGAGGCAGACCCACATTTGAAAATCATGGTGGGTGAGAAGTGATGGTAGGGAAAAACCTATACATCTTTAAGATCATAAGGGCTAATCTTGAGATTTTAAGTGGATTCTTAAAAAATACATTGCAGATAGTGTTACAAATTTTTTAGTTTGTTTACCTAATTCAGGTATAAGTATTTTAGTGCAAAACATTTTTGAAATCCGCATTTTGAGTTCAGAAAGCTTATATGATAAAAACCAAGCATGGATTTCAACGTTTTTTGCTCCAAAACTTTCAATTCCATTTCTACAAGCTGAAGCACTATCATACATGCATGTAATAATGAAAAAGTTGTTTCCAGAGATTTGTAGTGTTGGCATTGCAAAATTCTCTTGGTTGCAGGCCAATTTTGGTGACTGGTAATGTGACCAGAAAGGACTGATGGGTTTAGACTTTGTCTTAAGCTGCCATTTTCTTTTTCATATTCCCTTGTTGAGTGTCAGGGTTTTCCATTTTCTCTACTACAAATTAACATGGCAGTGCACATTTTAGAACTTCGTGCTTTAAAACTTTTGATGTAGCTGTTTTAGGAAAGAAGTTTTTAGGTCCAGTATCTAAACCTTTCTACCTGAGAGGTAGACAGTGAGTGAGCTTCCATCTGCTGGTGCACTCCTGAAGTTCCCACAAAAGCTAGACTGAAGCCAGTGGCCAGTAACTGGAACCCAACCAATAGAGGGATCACCTGCTGCCTTCCAGGATTTGCATCAGCAGAAAGCAGCAATTAGGAACTGAGCCAATCCCAGACACTGATGTGGGACATGGACATCACAGCCGCTGTTCTAACTGCTTGGCTAGGTGCCCACCCCAAAATCTAAATATTTTAATGGCTCTAATATGTTTTCTTAGGTACGTGTATCAACTTGCATTACAATTGTAGTGTGTATTGGAATGCTGGTTCCACTCTAGGTCTGTAGGCTATCCATGTTTTAATGTATAACTAGTTCTGGAACTAGTGAATTTTAATTTCCTTTTCTAAATTTCTAGGACCCTTTACAACTTGTGATTTTTTTTTTTAAAGTATGAAGTCATTTCTCCTGTAGGGGTTAACAACTGGTAACAATCCAGCCCAAACCCTTGGCAATCCCTTCCCTTCATATGGCCAGATAGAGATGAACATGAACTTGCATTTTTTGTTTTATGTAGCAGTTAACTTAAAAGAAGCAGCATATAATTTTGGTGAGAATTCCTACTCTATAACAAGTCGTCTTTTTCTGTTGACTGCTTCTAGGCCCCAGGGTCACCGTTACTGACAGCATGTATTAGAACTGGTGCGTGCCTGTCTCTCGTCTCCTGACCTCTGTCTCTGCTGCAAGTGATTGATTAGTGGAGTACGATTTATGTGGGAATTAACTGGAAAGGTTTCTTGATGGCATGATCAACACTTGGACTGAATGTGTACTTTGTAATTAGCCAGCCCTCTTGTTTTTGTTTTGTTTATTGTTGAAAGCACCTGGACACTGAGAAAGAAACTATGCATAAGTAAAATTATTGTATTTGTTGGTTCTGTGTTTAACTTAGCTTGAAAGATGATTACAGTAACAAAATTCTCTGTTTCATCTGAACAGAATCAACTTTTTGTGTTTTTCCTACCTACTAGGGTGGATGAAGGAAAGAGCATTCAAATAACATTTCTAAATAGCTTCCCTGCGGAGGTTAAGAAAATAAAGGAGTAAGGGGCTTCTGGCACATCAGTTAAGCTGCTGTTAGCAACCTTGATGCTTGCATCCCATAGCAAAGAGTTGGTTCCAGTCCAGGCTACTCTGCTTCGGATCCAGCTCCTTGCCTAATGTGCCTCGGAAGGCAGTAGAGGATTGGCCCAAGTGCTTGGACCCCTGGCACCCATGTGGGAGACCCAGATGGGAGTTCCTGGCTTCTAGCATCCGCCTGGTCCAGCCCTGGCTAATTTGGCCATTTGAGAAGTGAAGCAGCAGGTGGAATCTCCGTTTCTGTTACTCTTTCAAAGTAATTAACATGCCTTTAAAAAAAATCCTAATTAGTTTAGAATACTGAAGGGGTAAAAGTTGAGCTGATTTGATGAGGAGTGTTATCTGGTGACAGAGACTGGAGTTAAATCCATTTTAAGAATGCGTTAGAATGAGAGGACGGTAGTTTTCTGTATACTTGCTCACTAACAGCCCAGCCACACTGCTTGGCGGATTTTGAACATTCAATACGGTATTAACATCTGTGATTTCTTGGCTTGGTTATTTGCACAGGTAGTTTCTGTCTACTAAGTTCCCTAATGCTTTAAGTTAAAGGTGGCTTGATTGAAGTTGTTAAAATGATTTACACATTATTTCTCGCGCAAAGTTCCAAACTGGACAATGCCTAAATTTAGGAGAAAAACCGAGCTGCAGCCTCTAGTGGAAATGAGCAGACTGGCTTGAAAGCCCCGGGCTTTCCGGGGGAGCGGGGCGCCAGGTGCGAAGGCCAGGGGCCGACCGTCGTGACGGCTGAGGACGCCAGCTCGCCCGCCCCGCGGCTCCCTCCTCTGCAGCAAAGGCCTCTGTGGGGGGCGCTGGGCCCTGGCCTGGCCGCGCTCTTCCTGCTCCGTAGTTCTCAGCGCCGGCCCTGCTCAGCGGCTCAAGCGCCCCCACGCGCGCGGCGGGAGCGCCCGGGCTCCGGGCACGAGACCGGGCAGGCGGAGCGCCGGCCCGAGTGTCCGGCGGAGGGGGTGGCGCCCTCCGCGGCTCCGTGACTGCGCCTCCGCGCCCCCGGCTCGCCGCGGCTCCCGGGATGCGCGGAGGCGGCAGCGATGGCGATGATGCCTCTAGCCCCGCATCCTTCGGGGCGGCGGGCGGAGCTGAGGTCCCGGCTGCGGGATGGAGGAGGAGGGTCGGCGCGGCGCCCACCCGGCAGGTGAGAGACCGCGGGCCCCTTGAGGAGGACGACCCCACGGGTCGGGGGGTGGAGGCGGGTGCCGGTCGGAGGCCGCGGGTTAGCGAGGAGCGCCGCTGCGCTGGGCCAGGCCCGGCCGCCGCGCACCTGTGCCCCCAGCGCGGGCTGCGGTAGAGGCCGTCTCGCTGGTCCTCGCCAGCGCCCTGGAGGCCCCCGCCCTGCCTGACCCCTCTTCACCCCTGCGGCCCTCTGCCGGTTTTCACAAGCTTCCCCGCCTGGCCTAGGCCCTCCTCACCATCACCTCTCCCGGCTCCGGGGAGCCCCGCAGCTGGAGCGACCTCCCTCCCTCCACTCTCTCCCTCCACTCGTTGGCTCGGCCTCCCATCCCTCCCACCAGTTGACCCACCCCATCAGCTGCTCCAGGCTGCAAGAGTAGTTGAAGGCTTTCAAAAAAAAATCAGCTACACCTGGCTTGAATCTTAGTGACCTTGGGTGAGTTATCCAACCTCCCGAGGTTTTCCTCGTCAATACTAATGCAGGGGGAATGGTAATATTGAGGGTTAGGCTCTGGAAATGCCTACCCTGGGGGAATTTAGGACCGAGAAAGAGAAAATGGGTGGGAAGAATCCAGGTCATGAATTGAGTTGTGAAAGATGTTTTAATGATTACTAAAGATTAAACCAGAACAGAGACTTGTCTCACATTTTAATGAGAAATCATTGCCACTCTACAAAATTTTCTGTTTCTTGCCTAACTCTTTACTTCACAGTCAATTGTAATCAGATGCATGTGAATTCATTGTCTCTTCATTGTAGTGAATAAGCCTGCTTAAGACAGACGTTCCAGCTTAAAATCTTTTGGGTTTTATGGCTTTTAATCACATCTTCCAGGGCCCATTTGTGGTCCCAGAGAGAGTGTAGCTTGTACGCTTGCAATGAAAATGACTTTGGTAGTGTGTCATATTTAGAAGTAGCAAATAGATGTTTACTCCCCCAAATCATCAGGTTTTGTGTTCCTGCCATCATAACTTTGTTCTAAATTGTGACCTCAGCCTCCACTTTCTAAAAGTCCCAGAACTTGGCTGATTCTAACACCTGGGTTTCCTTCCCCTCTGTTTCCTGTGTTGCTTCTGCAGTCTCTGCCTAAACTGTCCTCTGTTTTTCCTCCCTTTTCCTTTTCATCCACTGATTTCTTCTTCTCTTCCTCTTCTTTCTTCTTTCTTCTTCTTCTTCTTCTTCTTATTATTATTATTATTATCCCAATAGGAGTAATTTGTAATAACCTTATACTGGAGCTATGATTATCAAGCTTTCTAATCAGATATGTGAAAAGGTTTTGTATTTACATCTATAGATAGACATGGATATCTAGGTCAATAGCTTAGAATTTGGGGTTCTAGGAACCTTTTTTTCAGGAAGGAGTTGCAGTCAATAACTACTTCATAGGATTATTGTGAAAATGAATTGAAGTTTGATAACTTGTATCAAGTCTCTAGTATAAGTTCCTGCCATGAAATAAGCACCCAATGAATTTAGCTTTGGTAATTTTCTTCTAACCTGGTGATCCCTGCCTGCATTCTTTGCTGTTCTGTTTACATTGTGGTGGCAGAGTGCGTGGGCTTTGGTTAGGTTCACATCCATGTTCTTGCATGGGTTAAGTGTTGACCTTCTAACTCAGTTTCCTCATCTGCAAAATGGAAAGGTTATGCTAACTCGTTCAGTTGTGAGGAGTCAGTAACAAAAGTGTGGAGCATGGTGAACCCTGCCAGGCACCTTATCAGCACTTGATAAGAATAATACAGTATACCATATAATAATATGGTAATGACACTTACGAAAATTATATTGCTGTTATTCTTTCCTGTCCTGGAATTTGTTTTTACTTTTCAAAAATTTGTTGAAAACCTTAAAAAGTTATTGAAAACATGTAACAATTTGAAACGTGAGAGTTTTCCCTCAATTTGTCCTTGGATTATTGGTCCTGCATCTTATCCTTGACTAATGTTGGTGTCTCATCATTTCATTTTTTCGTTGAGAAATCAACCCCCTTTCTGATTATCTCCTGGCCCGGGGTCTTCATAACTTCCATCATTCCACTTCTTCATTATTTCCCACTTTCTCGTTATTTCTCTGAGCATCCTGGTTTCAGCTTCCTCATTCGTGTAACTTCCCCAGTCCAGTTTTCTCCATTGCTCTTCACTCTTCCTTATTCTTCTCCTTCCAAAAAGGAAGCCCTTGTCTGGAGAGAGGGAGCTTGCTCTCTACCCTAGTATCACCTCTGCTCTTCGTGCCTTCTTTCACTGGGTTTCCTCTCACTGGGTTTTCCTTTCTACTTCTGCTTCTATAAAGTTAGCCCCAGGCCTTTAATTATCAGTTTATTAAAAACAGTAAAAATTTGTCATTTTCACTACATAGGTAACAAATTGTTCAGAAACAGTTTTATAGACTTTAAGTAGAAACAATGAGAGCTATCCATTACTCTTGCTTTTTTTTTTTTTTTTTATTCTCATCTCTCATGGAACTTTTTTAAAGGAAAGTACAGAGAATCTGGTCTCATTTTCCAGTGGAGAAATTCACCATATGGTCGTCAAATCCTCTGTATGACCATTAAGAAAGCATTAATGAAGGACACCAGTTACATGGATCTCCCAGGGCTGTGTGTGTCCTATACTCACTGTTGTTCATTGCCAAGACTTATGTTCTGAGTAGTTCATAGCTGGTACTTGGAGTCCTCAGGGATCCATCTCTTACTGACCTGGCCTGTTCCTCTACTCCCTGATCCAACAACTCAAGGTTAGCATTGGAGGCCTCTGGGATACAACTTGAGCAGGTGGTTAAATATTCTGAACAACATCAGTCCTGGACCTCCACAAAACAATTGGCTATTCCTAAATGTTCGATGAAAGCAAATGCTTTTTGGTTGTCAGGAGCATAGTGCCAAGCAACGTGATCCATCCCACTAGATGCAACTATCGGAAAAGGTTGGGCACCTGGCCCACAAAGCATTGCGGACTGGGACAATGTAGAAGATTTGTGTGAATGTACAGCACATCTCATTTCAGAATGGGGGGAAAAGGTCAATAAAGGAAAGAGGGAGCAGGAAAGACTGTGTCTTTCTAATCTCTGTGCCCTCAGAATTAAATATAATGTCAGCATATGGTATGCACATTGTCACTGTCAACTGAATGGATGAATGTTGGAATGAGTGCATGCTTCTGGTTTTATTGGGAGGATATTCCTGTTGGAATAATGTCAATTCACATTTAATGGCAGTTTAGAGTTTATGAAGTAGTGCCTTGCCCTTTGTTAATTTTGAGTATAATTCCAACATCTCTTTGTTACTATTTTCCCCCTCTTAGATGTAGTCCACACAGTTTCCCTCACTCCCCCAAAGGAAGATATGGAGTTGGCAAAGACATCTCCAACTGGGAAAATAAATGATAAATATTGGGAAATAAAGGATTCTTTCTAGGGGAAAAATAGGATATTTTTAGTGATTCATGGAAATTGTATTGAAGGGCTTCGTAATGTATCCACATTACCCTCTTGCTTATATTTTCAAACTCACCCTGTTTCCGGCCCCAGTCTCTGTGGGGAAGACTGACTTCATCTCCATGAATCCTCCCCCGCTCACCCTTCACCCAGCTGGCTCCTTTTACCAAAGCTCCTGTCATTCATGCATTCCCAGCTCCATCCCCGACTGCATTAGCTTCCCCTCTTTGCTTGCCCAGCACCCTGAAACCACATTAGGCTGTAATAACATAGGTAGACGGATCTCCTCCACCAGACTGTGATCTCTGGTGGAGCTGTGTCTCTGTATAGCCCCAGTACCTGACATGGAAACACTGCTGAAAGTAGCACCTGCGCGTCCTCAGTCAGAACCTCAAGGGTAAGGCCCAGGAATCTACTCTCCATGTGATACTGAAACTTTTGTCACGGGCTTCAGGTGTGACTTAAAGTATGTTTTAAACCCACAGTGTTATAGAAGTAAGTATTAGCTGTTTGAATGTATTTTGAGGCATTTGTGTCTTTTCAGTGTTGGACTTAGTGAGGAGAAATGCTTGCAGTGTGCTAGATCAGAGCTGAAAAATTCTGGTGCTTTTGAAAAAATAATGAAACCACTGTATTAATTCCTTTTTGTTTCTGGGTGTGCATTTCCGTGTACAGGCTTATCTGCCTTGGGCCTCTCTTGTCACGTATCACTCATCTGTGAGTTGAAGCCCTGACTCCTTTCCCATTGAGCACTTTTGGAGAACAGAAGGAAGAGGCATTTCTCTCTGAAGATGAACTCAACAGACCCCCTTGAGGATGCCTACAATGCCACCTTGCTACGCGTGCCTCACTGGCAGGGAGGGAACAGCTCCTCTCTCCAGGAGGGGCTCGAGGATCTCATCCACACGGCCACCTTGGTGACCTGTACGTTTCTGCTCACCGTCATCTTCTGCCTGGGCTCATATGGCAACTTCATTGTCTTCTTGTCTTTCTTTGATCCAGCCTTCAGGAAATTCAGAACCAACTTTGATTTCATGATCTTGAACCTGTCCTTCTGTGACCTCTTCATCTGTGGAGTGACGGCCCCCATGTTCACCTTTGTGTTGTTCAGCTCGGCCAGGAGTATCCCAGATGCATTCTGCTTCACCTTCCATCTCACCAGTTCAGGCTTCATCATCATGTCCCTCAAGACGGTGGCGGTGATTGCCCTGCACCGGCTCCGGATGGTGCTCGGGAAGCAGCCTAATCGCACAGCCTCTTTTTCCTGTACCTTGCTCCTCACTCTACTTCTCTGGGCCACCAGTTTCACCCTGGCTACTTTGGCTACCTTGAAAACTAGCAAGTCCCACCTCTGTCTTCCCATGTCCAGCCTGATGTCTGGAGAAGGGAAAGCCATCCTCTCTCTCTATGTGGTTGACTTCTCCTTTTGTGTCACTGTGGTCTCTGTCTCTTACATCATGATCGCTCAGACCCTGCATAGGAATGCTCAAGTCAGAAAGTGCCCCCCTGTCATCACAGTTGATGCTTCCAGACCACAACCTTTCATGGGGGCCCCCGTGAAGGGAGGCGGAGATCCCATCCAATGTACCATGCCAGCTCTATATAGGAACCAGAATTACAACAAACTGCAGCATGTTCAGACCCATGGATACACCAAGAATCCCAACCAGCTGCCAACTCCTGCAGCCAGCCGACTCCAGCTGGTATCCGCCATCAACCTCTCCACTGCCAAGGATTCCAAAGCTGTGGTCACCTGTGTGATCATTGTGCTGTCGGTCCTGGTGTGCTGTCTTCCACTGGGGATTTCCTTGGTGCAGGTGGTTCTGTCCAACAATGGGAGCTTCATCCTTTACCAGTTTGAACTGTTTGGATTTACCCTTATATTTTTCAAGTCAGGATTAAACCCTTTTATATATTCTCGGAACAGTGCCGGGCTGAGGAGGAAAGTGCTCTGGTGCCTCCAGTACATCGGCCTGGGTTTTTTCTGCTGCAAACAAAAGACTCGACTTCGAGCCATGGGAAAGGGGAACCTGGAAGTCAACAGAAACAAATCCTCCCATCATGAAACAAACTCTGCCTACATGTTGTCTCCAAAGCCACAGAAGAAATTTGTGGACCAGGCTTGTGGCCCAAGTCATTCAAAGGAAAGTGTAGTAAGTCCCAAGATATCTGCTGGACATCAACACTGTGGTCAGAGTAGCTCGACCCCCATCAACACTCGGATTGAACCATACTACAGCATCTATAACAGTAGCCCTTCCCAGGAGGAGAGCAGCCCATGTAACTTGCAGCCAGGAAACTCTTTTGGATTTGCCAACTCATACATTGCCATGCACTATCACACTACTAATGATTTGATGCAGGAATATGACAGCACTTCAGCCAAGCAGATTCCAGTCCCCTCTGTTTAAAGTCATGGGGTCTAGAGACTCTTTTGTAAATGGTTTTGCCTCAGATGCTGAGTCTTTTTTAACTTTTTGGCATCAGTGTCAGATCAGAACTTAAAGACTGAGCTAAAGAGTTGGCAACTAAGACTTTCTTATGCCTGAAATATTAGTATCTGTTAGTTTGCTTTATAGTTTCCTGATACTTTAATATTTAATGTAAAAGTTTATTTAGATTTCTACCTTGACCTGTGTCCCCATCTTTTGTACTGAACCTTTAAATAGACCATGAATCATTATGCTGCCATGTTGAAGTAGAAAATCAACTGATTATGATTCTTTGAGTCAATATTAAGGATTTTCAAAAGTATATGTTTGCTGAATTTTTAGAAGAATGTGAAGGTATGATCTTTGCTGAGGTTTTATGACTACTTCTTATTAAGTGAATTATGAATTTTGATTCTGTGGAGTGCTAAAACAGGAAAGAGTACACTTTTTTTTTTTTGCTGGCAGGTTGATTTGAATGATATATTGTTAAAGCAGAAAATCAAAGTATATTACCCATAATCTGTCCTTACTAAAAGTACTCACACAGGCAGTAGTACTTTTCTTACATAAATATAATATTATAGTTATTGCCATTTCTTATTATATATATTATTTTTGTGTCAAGTGAGTAGCTTCATCAATCATTTTAAAAGATATGTCTTTGCTTGTTAAAGTGAATTATTATGTTTCAGAGTAATCTTATATGCAAGAATCCTATTAAAGAGAACTGCTTCTCTAATGGAAGTACACTTTCCTGGGAGATTAAGACTACTGCAGGCATAGTTGATATTCTTGCATGGGAAGCAGTGTGGTCTGTTCTCATACATTGGGCAATCTATTATTGCCTAATAAGGCTTGGAGATGAGACTGGGAGTGTTTAATTTGTGTTTCCTTCTGTGTGAGAAGAGTTTGGTAACCACCTGACCTATTGAAGTAACATACTTAGAAATAATTTCTTTATTATCTTTATTTATAGATTGCTATGGTAAAAAAATCTCAAGATTACTGTTTTCACACTATTGGTTTTATTTCTTTTCCATTAATCTTAAATTAGAAACAGGCAATGAGGAAAATAGATTAAATAATTCTGTACCTGAAACTAATTTTATTTTATACTCTGTGGTACATTAACAACTGCAAACTCATGTTTTTATGTAAAAATATTTTCATTATGCAATTAGTGTTTGAACTCTACAACTTTGTAACTGTTAGACGCAGGATGAGCATCAAGATACAAAAGTCTGCATTTATAAACTGTCATGTTCAATGATTATTATTGCAGTTTGGAATGCACTTTGTTCCTTTGGATGAAAGGACTCTGTTTATAGTGCCCTCTCTCTGACTCTTCCCAAATACAGAGATTGTGATAGGCATGGAGAAGGCAGAGTAGAACTAGAACTACTACTCAGCCTAACTATTACCTTCCAGTATTGGCCAATTATTTCTGTTTCAGAAATGTAAGTGTGAGGTGTAGGTTTTATTTTGTTTTTAAGTTCACCTTTTAGGACTGATTTACCTTCCTTCCCCCCTCCTAAACTCTCTCCCTCCTCTCTTTTTTTTTTTTTCCTTTCTTTTGCTATTAAATTTTGTAACAGAAAATATCCACTATCTCATTTTTCATGTAATTAAATGCTATTTTTGGAAGTCACTGTTAACTGTTTCAATTGTACTTTTATATTTTAATACTCACTATTTTCATTTATTAATGCTCCTATCACATAGGTTAGTATATTACCTCTTTTTAACAATGAATTAAGAAATCAAATATTCTCTTCCAAGATCATTTGAATAATTGTGGCAAATTAGGAATTAGACTCTTTTTCTTAACTCACAACCTGTTTATTCTAGTATGCCAAACAGCTTTATATTTAATAACATTGATCAAGAAGATACTTCATACTTTTTAAGATATCTATCTTTTTTTCTGGCCAGGCATTTTAAATGTGATTTAATAAAAGGTTAAAAGTAATTTCTACTTGTAAAATTTTAAATGTCAGGTTTCCTATAAGATCTTTGGACTTGAGATGATTTGATCAGTATGGGGCCCATCTCTTTGGGACTTAAAAATTATAGCCTACAACAAACTTAGCATGTAGATATGAGGTATTTACTCTCTTTATGTGCATAAGAAATTATTTAATTAACTTGCATGAAATACATAGTGGGCTAGATTCTTAGCTCCCCTCTGTATCTATATCTACATCTACAGGTAGATGTAGATATAGATATATAGATATAAAACTTGTCTCTTCAAAAGTTATGTATGTCTAGCTAATCCTATAGCTAGACATATATAACTTATCTCTTCATGAGTTATATTTATATATATCTATGTATGCCTATAGTGTCACATTATAGGTATAGATAGACATATATAACTTTTCATAAGGGCTAAAATGAGAACTAAAGCAATGAGAATTCAGTTGAACATGATTCATTAGAAGGGTGTGTTAATTAAGTTCTCTTGATGCTTTACTGTGATGCAAAATATGTGATATATTTAAAACATTTTATAATAATTGTTCTTATGTTAACTATTAGGTCAGATTTGTATTTCTGATGCTTTTAATGTTCTTTTAAAATAATGTTTGGAAAATAAAATACTGAAAATCCTAACATTTCTGAACACCAGATTGCACTATAATGACTTTTTATCCAATAATTTTCAAACTGTCAGCATGGAAATGATCATTTTTGCACAATGGGTAATAGTTTGTTCAGAGAGAGAGAGATGGAGAGAGAGAGAATTCTTTTCCTTTAAGAGATAAAATAATTTGACCACCATTAGTAAAACATGTGCACAGACTAATGCGGAATAGTTAACTTCAAAGGTTATTTACTAGACTTAGTTTCTCACCCAAAGGGAAGAGTCCCAGTGGAAAAATTTCAATGACTTCTTTAAAATGAGATCAACTTGGGAAAAGAGAGAGAATTTTGAAATTTGTAGTTCCTCAGTCAGGAACTGAGATTCAGAAACATGAAGATAAATAGGAAAGGATTTAATATAGAATATCAGATGTCTACAAATCATTAGATGAGCAGAGCTCTATGATATGTCTCCAGAAAGATTCTACAATAGAAAATACAAGCCTGCCCAGCCAGACACACTATTAGTTTTGCTACAACAAATAAGGGAAGGAGACTGGAAGCTTTCCTTAGACTTGTGACTTCAAGGACACATTGTTGAAGTTTTCATCCAGGAATCAGGAACCTGCTGTTACTGCCACTATGTACACAAAAAGTCCTCTTAATTACTGCAAGTAAAGTAGCTGAGCACCAAAAGAGAAAAATGCAGAAAAATTTGGCATCATGCATTGAGTTGGGGGGACCTAATTTGCGTCTATAACCTTCAGAAGAATCTGAATCGTGTAATTACACTACAAGGGTTGGTTATGTTTAAAAGGATGTTCAGGATGGATGCTGAGTTTCATTCTATTCTGTCCACAATGATTCACGTTCTTGGTACTCAGTATTGATATACTCGCCTCTAGTCATGCTCCCAAACCACAGCAATAATGACACCACCACTCTGCTTCTTGAAATAATGAAGCCTTATTTCCTCCAGAGAGAGGATGCAAAGTGGAATCATTCTGCCTCTCTAGTTCAGACATCCCAACTTGCTATTCTGTAACATAAGGACTAAATTCTAAAGTTTACTGCCAACATTTGTATCAAGTATTGGGGAAAATGGTAGAAAGAAGAAATTGGTTAAAATGTTTGATAGACACACACATACAAGCTATAGGATAAACAATAAAAATTGGAGTTAATACTGACCTTGAGGCCAGCGCCGCGGCTCACTAGGCTAATCCTCTGCCTGTGGCGCCGGCACCCCGGGTTCTGGTCCCAGTTGAGGCGCCAGATTCTGTCCCGGTTGCTCCTCTTCCAGTCCAGCTCTCTGCTGTGGCCCAGGAAGGCAGTGGAGGATGGCCCAAGTCCCTGGGCCCTGTACCTGCATGGGAGACCAGGAGGAGGCGCCTGGCTCCTGGCTTCGGGTCAGCGCAGTGCGCTGGCTGCAACGCGCCACTTGTGGGGTGAACCGACAGAAGGAAGACCTTTCTGTCGCTCTCTCTCACTAACTACCTGTGCAAAAAAAAAAAAATAAATAAATAAAAATACTGACCTTGAGTGCTTCTGTTAACTGGTCAGGAAATTGTGGCTAGTATATTATAATTTGCTCCCTCTGCTCCCCATGTCCTATCTTTTTGACCTCCACTAGCAGAAAGCTGGATCAGAAGTGGAGGCGAGACTTGCTTCCAGTGCACTCAGATATAGGATGAAGGTTAACCGTCTGCACCACAACACCCACCCCAGAGACAGTTTTAACTCCATTTATCCTCATCCACCTTTGTCGCTCCCCCTCTTCATGGAGGAACGACACTAAACCCTGCCTAGGCTTCATATCCAAGTCACGGCACCATTATGTCGCTCCCCCTCTTCGTGGAGGAACGACACTAAACCCTGCCTAGGCTTCCTATCCGAGTCACGGCACCATCATGTCGCTCCCCCTCTTCGTGGGGGAACGACACTAAACCCTGCGTTGTTCTTTTGTCTGCTCGGCCCTCCCCGGGTTTGCTGCTGGTTCTTCCCGGGTTGGCTACCGTCCCTTCCACCTCCGTGGAAGGGCGGTTCCCCCTGCCACTTTCCCCACTTCCGCGGGGGAGCGGCACACCGCCGGCTGGCTCTCTGTGGGGGCTGCTCAGGTGTTCCTTCAAATAGATGTTCCTGGTGCATGTTGTCTCTCTCCTCCTTTATAGTCCTCTTCCACCAATCCCAACTCTGCTACCCACACGCCGAGTACGCTGCTCTCCTCCAATCAGGAGCAGCTCCTGCAGCTTGTCCAGTTGGTGAGAGGCAGCTGGGTAGAAGCTGTTTGCTCCTCTCCCAGTGCCATATTGTGGGAGAGCAGATGCATAGAATAAGTCTTAATTCCAGTAACAGTATAGTCCGAGTTGCTCCCCACACACCTTTACTTATTTTTGCCATCTTTTAATTCTCTCTTGTCTTTGTTTTCAGCCTGACATTATAGTTACGATTTCATATGGTTAATATTCATTAAATTTACTCATACTTTTGTCACATTTCTTGCTCATCAATTCTTTCTTGTATCTGAATCCTTTCATTTGGGATTGGCTTCCTTCTACCTTAAGTGCATCATTTAGATGTTCTTTTGATGTTTCTTTTCTGTTAGTGAATGATCTCATTTTCTGGACATAATTTAATTTTGTCTTCATCCTTAAGAGACAATTTTTTTGCTAAATAAATCTTATGTCTCTTGAGTTTGGCAATTTTAATATGTCATTTTTAAAAAAGTATTTCATTGAGAGGCAGAGATGGCTCTCATCCTCTGGTTACTCTCCAAATGCCTGTGACAGGTAGGAACTCCATCTGGGCCTCCCATAAGAGTGCGAGGGACCCATGAACTTGAGCCATCACCTGCTAATCTTGAGATTCATTGGACTTTCAGAGTTCTGTAGCTTGGTGTCTTTATTAGTCTGCATAATTTTTAGCCACCATCTCTTTGAATATTGCTTCTGTCCCATTATTCCTACTGTCTCCTTCACTGAGCTTTCAGTATTGTGTTGTGTTTTGTTTTGTTTTAAAGGCAGAGAGAGAGGAGGATGTGCACAAGCACTCTCTTCTACCTGCTGGAAGCTGGATCAGAAGAGGAATCGGGACTCACCCTCGTGCACTCCAGTATGGGAAGCAGGTGTCTCAAGTGGGGGCTTAACCCACTGTGCCACACACTTAAACCTGGTTTTCAGTTTTTCATCTGTTAGTTTCTTCATATTCTGAATAATTTCTTCCAAACCAGCTTCCAGTTCATGAATTCCTTTCCCACGTGAATCTAGGTGTTGAAATTGACCAGCAACTCTAATTATTAATATGTTTTATATATCTAAAATTTTATTTTCTCATGTAAAAAGACTTTTACGTTTTATTTTTAGAGTTTTCTGTTTCTTCATATAATCAAAAATGAATAATTTACTTGTTTTTAAAAATTTGATTCATTTGTTTCAAAGGCAGAGAGAGAGAGAGACAAAGAGATCAAAATCTTCTGTCCCCTGCCTCCCTTATCAAATATCTGCACCGACCTGGGCTGAGCCAAGCAGAAACCAGAAGCCAAGAACTCCATCTGCATCTCTCTTGTGGGTGGCAGGGACCCAAGTACTTTGGCCATCATCTGTGGCCTCCTAGGTTTATCAGCAGGAAGCTGGATCAGAAGTAGAGACAGGACTCTCTATTAGGCACTCCAATAAGAGATGCAGGTGTCCCAAGCAGCAGTTTAACTTGCTGTGCCACAATACCCCACCCTCATGTCTGTCCATTTTATTTTCTTTTAAGATTTATTTGTTTGAAAGGCAGAGTTTACAGAGAGAGGAAGAGAGAGCTTTTATCTGCTGGCTCACTCTCCAAATGGCTACAATAGCTTGAGCTGGGCAAATCCAAAGCCAAGAGCAGGAGCCTCTTCCAGGTCTCCCATATGGGTGCAGGGGCCCAAGCACTTGGGCAATCTTCACTGCTTTTTCCAAGAATATTAGTAAGGAGCCAGATCAGAAGTGGAGCAAGGCCGGCGCCGCGGTTCAATAGGCTAATCCTCCACCTAGCGGCGCCGGCACACCGGGTTCTAGTCCCGGTTGGGGCGCTGGATTCTGTCCCGGTTGCCCCTCTTCCAGGCCAGCTCTCTGTGGCCCGGGAGTGCAGTGGAGGATGGCCCAAGTGCTTGGGCCCTGCACCCCATGGGAGACCAGGAGAAGCACCTGGCTCCTGCCATCGGATCAGCATGGTGCGCCGGCCGCAGCGTGCCGACTGCTGCGGCCATTGGAGGGTGAACCAACAGCAAAGAAAGACCTTTCTCTCTGTCTCTCTCTCTCACTGTCCACTCTGCCTGTCAAAAAAAAAAAAAAAAAAAAAAAAAAAAAAGGAGCAGCCAGAAACTGGCACCTGTGAGGTGTGCCGGCATTGAAGGGGTGACTTTACCTGCTGTGTGGTAACGCTGGCTGCCAGTATTTGATTTTTAACAAAGGCCTCTTGTCTATTACTTAGGCTCCTCATGGTACCCTGTTTCCTTCATGCTTTCTTTACTTTTATTATGAACTGCTAAAATTCCTTGAAATTTTTATAGTGGGAATTCTCACCCTTGATTGAGAATACCAGCTTGGATGAAGACAGAATTTGCATTTGCTTCTTTGAGGTACCTAAGTGTATCACCAGTTTAGAACCACTTTAAACTGAACTTGAAGGGTTGTTTTTGTTTTCTTTTTTCTTTTGTTTTTTTAAGAACCTAGGTAATGTGGGTACATGGGCTGATTGTCTATATACAATGGTGGGGAGGACTGTTAAGCCCATGAAAGGAATTTTATTTTCATTTCTTTGTCAACTTCCAAGACAACTATTTTTTTTAGGTCCCTGAACACAGGGTAGAGTGTCAAGTGGGTTAGGTTTGTTTTTATTTACCCCAGCTTTGAAGTTGTAGCTCTTGGGAGTTCCAATTTTATGGGGAGTGCATTTCCTTTCAAGAGGAGGGAGTAGGGACTGGCGCTGTAGCATAGCAGGTTAAACTGCCTCCTGTAACACAGGCATCCCATTTAGGCACTGGTTTGAGTCCCAGTTGCTCTACTTCTGATCCAGCTCTCTGCTAAAGCATCTGAGAAAGCAGAGAGGATGGCCCAAGTACTTGGGCTCCTGCACCCACTTGGGAGGTCTGGAAGAAGCTCCTGGCTTCTGGCCTCAGCCTAATCCAGCCCCAGCCATTAAGGCCATCTGGGGAGTGAACCAGCAAATGCAAGATTAAGAATGTGTGTTGTGTGTGTAACTCTGACTTTCAAAGGAAAAATAAATCTTTTTTTTAATTTTTTAAACTTTTATTTAGTAAATATAAATTTCCAAAGTACAGTTTATGGATTACAATGGCTTTTTCCCCCCTATAACTTCCCTCCCACCTGCAACCCTCCTATCTCCCACTCCCTCTCCCATTCCATTCACATCAAGATTCATCTTCAATTATCTTTATATACAGAAGATCAATTAAGCATATATTAAGTAAAGATTTCATTAGTTTGCACCCACACAGAACATAAGGTGTAAAATACTGTTTTAGTACTAGTTATAGTATTAATTCACATTGAACAACACATTAAGGACAGAGATCCTACATGGGGAGTAAGTGCACAGTGACTCCTGTTGTTGACTTAACAATTTGACACTCTTGTTTTTGGCGTCAGTAATCTCCCTAGGCTCTTGTCATGAGTTGCCAAGGCTATGGAAGCCTTTTGAGTTTTCTGACTTCGATCTTATTTAGACAAGGTCATAGTCAAAGTGGAAGTGGAAGTTCTCTCCTCCCTTCAGAGAAAGGTACCTCCTTCTTCGATGGCCTGTTCTTTCTTCTTTCTACTGGGATCTCACTCATAGAGATCTTTCACTTAGGGTTTGTTTTTTTTTTGTTTGTTTGTTTTTTTTTTTTTTTTTGCCAGAGTGTCTTGGCTTTCCATGCCTAAAATACTCTCATGGGCTGATCCGAATGTCTTAAGGGCTGATTCTGAGGCCAGAGTGCTGTTTAGAACATCTGCCATTCTATGAGTCTGCTGTGTATCCCACTTCCCATGTTGGATCGTTCTCTCCCTTTTTGATTCTATCAGTTAGTATTAGCAGACACTAGTCTTGTTTGTGTGATCCCTTTGACTCTTAGACCTATCAGTGTGATCAATTGTGAACTGAAATTGATCACTTGGACTAGTGAGATGGCATTGGTACATGCCACCTTGATGGGATTGTATTGGATCCCCCTGGCACGTTTCTAACTCCACCATTTGGGACAAGTCCGATTGAGCAGGTCCCAAATAGTACATCTCCTCCCTCTCTTATACCCACTCTTATATTTAACAGGGATCACTTTTCAGTTAAATTTAAACATCTAAGAATAATTATATGTTAATTAAAGAGTTCAACCAATAGTATTAAGTAGAACAAAAAAAATACTAAAAGGGATAAAGTATTAAATTGTACATCAACAGGACAAGGGCTGATCAAGTCACTGTTTCTCATAGTGTCCATTTCACTTCAACAGGTTTCCTTTTTGGTGCTTGGTTAGTTGTCACCAATCAGGGAGAGCATAT